TAAAGCTGAGCCTTATCCAGGGTCAGAACTTCAATGTAAGGACATCGAGTTCGCGAGTCATCAACTCGAGGGAGGAGGGTCATGGTCAGGTCCTCACAATAGGAATTAACCTCAATCCAAAGAGGCAATAGAGAAAGAGGGGCATATCCTCTATTATAGATACGGGACAACACCGGTATCAGGTCTAAGGAGAAACCAAGTTAAAGAGATGGAGAAAATGGAGACAGATCCTCCAGCCTCCACCTCACGGGTTCCTCAACCGGAGGCAAACTCCTCGACTGTGAAGGGCGGCACGGAGAGCCAAAGTCCAACCGTGGAAGGGTGTGTACCCTCGGAGGAAGAACTGTTGTCAGAGGAGGACGGGAAATACCCTGTCCCTTCTAGAACAGGGGTATGATGGGTTTGGTTTGGTTATAGACTGTGTGATGACTCAAGGAAGGGGGGCACAATAGATCTTTTAGGTCGCAGTGATTAACCCCCCTCTTACTCATTCTACATCTACAAATTGATAAAAAAGTATCTTGAGAACACAACCTTTCTGAATACATTATTTATAGAATTTTCATTAATTTTTCACCTAAACGCTACAAAAAAATCTAATTGAAATATATTTATTTTTGTAATATAAGTAAATATAGAAATATTTAACAAAAAAACTACTTAAAACCCTGGAAAAATATTTATTAGTTTTGAAAAGTACCGCAAGTAAAGAAATCTCTGGTAAATAAGACTTTTTTCCAATTCGTTCGCTTGTCTAATTATCATTCAGCGAATGTTTTTCGAAATCCTGTTCCAATTAAGATTTTGCACGGAGTGCGTTAAGATTAAGAACTTCCAAACTTAATTCAGAAAAGAACCTACAGTTAGATACCACCATCGAGTTAGGATTGGCTAGAGAAAAAAAAAATATATATATATAAGTTACTTAATACTTTTTCTTTGTTTTAAAGAAAAAAAAACAATCTCGATTTGAAAAATAACAATTCTTTTAGCGTTGAAAATTAAATAAATTAATAATAAATTTCTCTAACATTATTATTAACTAAATCAAGATTATAGATGATAGTATCTTGAGTTAATCGTGTTTGACGACAATGACAAACCCCGTATTGTATTTCTGCCCGTGGCGCAAAATTCGCCAACTGCTGCTAATAAACTGTTTCCTGTTTATTCTTTGTCATACAGAAGGGCTGTAACTCCCTGCGGTATTAAGCGAAGTACCTGAATACAGCGACACAAGACAGAACTTCATTACTAAAAGCTGATTGTGAATGATATACACACACAACATTGTTCAGTAATCCTATTTTGAATTGCATGCATAAATATTTTTCAATATTCCTGACGTTTCCAAAATGAATTATTATTATGAAATTATAGTTTTTAAAATTAATAAAATAAAATAAAAATGTTCTAAATATCTGCAAACTAAATCTTCTAAATATGTAGCTAATGTGTGGCACAAAAAAAAGGAATTTGTTGATTTTTTTAAGACCCAAATAGCCATAAATAATAGCCACAAATATTAGCCATAAAAAAAACCACTTTAAAAAGCATCCGAGCTAGGCGTCGTGTTGTGTTGTGACAATTTTGTTAATAAAATTGCCAAAAAAATGTTAATATGTAAAGAATAACGTAATTAGGGCGTTGTTGGGTGCAATAACATTCAATAACTCAACTTTCCTGGATATTCAACTCTCCCGGAACAACATTTTATATAAAGAATTAAATAGACATTAAAGGATAAAATTATAAAATATAATTTGCAATATTAATAGTATACTTTTTGTAATCAACTAGTGATTAAATGTTTTATGAACATCTTCTAAAATTATAATATGTACCTTAAAAAAATTGCGTTATAGCCGAAATAGCTCCAATTATGACCCCACTAACAAAACCCGTGATTAAAACTATGCTCATTACCGTAGTTGAACCCATCTAAATTTTTTTTAGCTGGAATAATAAATTATAATACAAGGTAGACCTTGTGACGATATTAAAATATTTACTTTTTTATTCTTATTTTTAGAATTTTCACAAATTATACTTCCTAACACTTTTAGAACAATGATATAATAAATTTTTCGTATACTCACTATTTAAACCCGTATATTTGTAAATACCAATTGTTTACGGTATTCTCCGATGGTGGCAGCACCGGGGGAGAATGCACCAAGTATAAATGTTTATAATCACACAGAATCCATTTTTTATTCTAATATCCTAGTTTAAAACTGAACAAAGCACGAAAATTATAAGCATGCTCTTATATTTTTTGTTTTATGCCAGTAGGTATACCCTGCTGGCAAGCAAAACCTTGGATCGGCGTTTACATGTATAGAAGCCAGAAGTGAATCGCTATGGCAATCTAGTAAGTCGGAGAGAGCAAAAATGCGAAGTATGTATTACATAATCACCTAATCTGACGCTAGATTCCATGCGCCTGGGAAAATACTTACCTTCTATCTTTATTCAGTACATCTTATTTTACTAAGCGTGTTGACCGTACTCTTCGTACACACGAAAATCGGCACCTAAGACCAGAAATTCCGACCCTAGTATACCTAGTTATCATAAAACAACTATTATAAATTACACAGAAAGAAGAATACAGAAAATAATATTTATGGTATAAATACGATATACGATTGATTTATTAATTAACCAGGAAGTCCCTGTTTAGGAAATTTCTATGACTTTTGTTTATTATTTGTTTTCTTTTAAGAATACACCACGTGAGTGAGCACGAGACTTATCGAGAAGAATAATTAAATTCGAAAAAGTTAAAACGTATTTCCTCCAACAATAATTAAAAATATACAATCGGAATTAGAAAAGGGAACTTTAACAGCTTCGAAGTATACGTCGAATATTGTAACAGATTGTTTTAATTTTCGAAGGGATATAAATTCGGATTAAATTGAGGTTTCTTTAATTTCAAGTTCAAGACGTAATTCAACCTCCGACTTCTTTTACACTTGCAGGCCCCATTTGCTTAATTTTTCAAATAAAATTAACTTTAATTAAATCTGCTATGATTTTAAGTGTTTCTGTATAATTATGTCAATAGGTAGTAGCCTATAAATAATGTCTACCGAGTGGTGCGAAGGTTCCATCGTCGTTGGAAAGATAGGAAATGGCATACAAATTTTGAACTGTCCAGATATTGGCTCCCCTGTTAACTTTACAGCGAAGTTGCCAAAAGAGTTTTTATAGGTCTACGTATGCTGAATACATATGCCAAATTTGAATAATTTTGGTAAAGCCGATTTTAAATAATTTTATTTAAGAAAAATTGCATCTATTTTTAAATTAAAACTAAACAGGCGACAAGACAAAAATGCCAACGTACCTTAAATTGTCATCCTCTAACCTACTCTGTGCCCTGTGTCCCATGAATGCTGACAAATCTTAGATCTACGGAAATCGCCCTTTTTTAAATAATCTTTATGTTTTTTAACAACATTTAAAACGTTTAACGGTCTAGATGGGGGATTCACCAATATAAAATTTACATGAAAAATAAGAGGTTTTTTTAATACAGGTTTAAAAATTAAATATTCAATAAAATTTAAAAATAAACAAAAAATAATCATATACAGAAAGTTTGAAGCTTTTGGGTTTCACCTCGTTGAGTAATTATTGTTCTCAGATAGTAATTTTTTTATTGTTCTCAGGCAGGAAATTTTTTTTATAAATTGGTCTATGTCGTTTACGTTCATTTTTTTTTCCTCTTAATTGTTACGTGTCTTTTACGACATCAAACTAGCTATGTAATTTTTGAAGCGTTCAAATTAGAGACATCAATGCCCTGGGTTTTAAGATCATAAAACATAAACAAAACTTAAAAGAATACATAGTTGATTCCCAGTACATTTAGTAAAACCCTGGCATTCTAAATTCGCAAACATCCCGAATAAACGGCTGAAATTTACCCCAGGTGTTTGCTAGGAATGCTGAAAACGTTTAAATTACTTTAATTAATTACGACAGCATATACAAAATAATGAATGAGGCTTTATACACATTCAGTATGAACTCATCTATAAGAAATAGACACAGTCGCCTAGAATAAGTCTACATACCTAAGTTGCCTTCTGTGAATATGGTCTTAACAATCTTGAACACATTCAAAAGAAATAATTTGTTTGAAAAGTTACAAACGCTTTTCCCTTTACTGAGAATTGAGAATCTCATTACAGTACCCGTTTCATGATTATCATTATCATTTATTTGATTTATTATAGATTTGGTGCATTCTCCGCCGGTGCTGCCACCATCGGAGAATACCATAAACAGCCGACTAAACAAATACACGGGTTTAAATGGCGAGTACATGAAAACTGTAACTGGCACTAGTAAAAATTAAAATACTTAAATATATGACAAAGCCACGATTTTAATATTATTGCAATGCAATCAACATAAATGGTAACTGGACTGCGTGAAATACTGTAGTCGGGCACTTCCAATTTCTGCCGTATCGAGCGCTGCTTAATATATTTGTTGAATTAACTGTTGGCTTTTGATTTTCGTTCTATTTGATTTTAGTTAGGCCAAGTAGTTTCAACTACAATTCTGAACTGTAATTTTTTGGTGTAAATTTCCAATTTGCCTATGTATCGCATTTACGGAATTAATAAAAAATAAATAAATATACGATATAAAAATATAAAGTAGTTTATAAACCAAAACATTTTGAACACCTTGTACAGAATCGTACTTCTTTAGAAAGCACCAATTTTTTATCTAGAACATCTGTAAATAAATAAAAAAATATTTATATTTTTTTACCGTGAAATTCTGGACCGCGCTTTAAACTACAGTTTTTGTGGGCAATAACGTTATTTATTATTTTAACTTGCGCTTGGGCGTTTGACATTTTGCTATCCAGTTTACAACCAGTGAAGTCAGTTTTAATTGAGTTGAATGCCTATGGTTGACGGTATACAGCCAGATCTATATACTGAACTAGACCCTGTGTGTACAGCATATCCATGAATCCAAACAAGAATCTAGAAGTTGAAAGTATAGATATTAAAATTGAAGACTTGGAGACTGAAATAAACAGCAACGAACATGATAGTTTTTCAGAAGAAACTGTTATATCACCAGTCACTACCAAGGGAGCAAATATAACGTCTGTAACAAAGTTAGATAATAAAAACTAAAAGAGTTTCGGACATTTTTTTGGTTTGGTTTGGTTGGAATTTTTGATAGTTCACACTACTTGATAACGGTCAGTGATACTTCTGACCGAAACATTGTATAAGCAAAATAAATAAAACCAATGGAAGTCCGAAACTCTTTTAGTTTTAATACTGAACCATTGTCTACCACATTCAAAGTAGAGTTAGATAATTTTATAAATATCTCTTCAAGGAATTCCAGTAACTTGGAAGGAATTTCGCAGAATTTGAATTATATCGATAAAAGTATTATTACTTTAAAAGAATTAAGACAAAAAATCGTAAATTCTTACTACTGTGGTGAAAATAGTCAAAATGGACGAAAGAATAAAAGAAATATGGAGAATACATTTTCAAAGAAAGACAAACCAAATAATAAAACTTCATTGACAACTCATATACACGAAAATTGCTTCGAATCACTTAAATATGAACAACTTACTATAAAACCCATTTTAAATTTTCCTAGTTTTAATGAAAAAGTTTTAATTATTCAGGTAGAGCATTTATTATAAATCATTATTACATTATAAATTATTAATTGTTGCTTTATATAGAGGGTGGTCCGAACTGTATTCCGGAAACTTCGGCAACATGTATGTCTTAAAATGCTTACTTTCAGAGATACAGGGTGTAGAAGTTTCATTTTTATTTCAATTTTTTCTAAATAATTTCTGAAGTAACGTCAATATTTGGATGAAAATTGGTGTCTGGGAGTTTTTTGATATGAGAAAGTTGATATTGGTGTCAATATGACTCATACTAGTAGAGGGCGCCACCTACATGTGTTTTAACTGTTTTAAAGCGTAATAACTTTTTGTCCGTACCTGTATAAAAATACCGAGGGAAAAAATATACATCTCTGTGACTTTTTACGTAAAAAATATCGCTTTGTAAAAATCGCTACGAGCAACCGTTCTTAAGATATTTAGAATGGAAATAGAGAATACATGTTATTATTATTGACGAAAAATAAACACGTTGAATAGATAGTTATTTCTTTTATTTTTAACTCTATGGTTATTTCACTGAAATAATAAATTTAGGAAATTTTAATTTTTTTAAATTAATCATAAATTTTTCTGCAAAAAATGATGATAAAACAGTTTCTGTTGAACTTTTGACACAACAACATTTCAAATTTATTATTTCAGTCTAATAATTATTTAGTCAACATGTTAATTTATGTCAATGATGACCGGAATTGATAATTTCGATTCCAAATATCTCAAAAACCATTACCCGTAGCGATTTTTACCAACAGACCTTTTTCACGTAAAAAACGTCTTAAATGTATATTTTTTACTCAGTAGTTTTATACAAGTACGGACGAAAAGTTATTATTCTTCAAACCAGTCAAAAAATATGTAGGTGGCGCCCTCTACTAGTAGGAGTCATATTGACATCAAAATCAAATTTTTCATGTCAAAAAACTCCCAGACACCAATTTTCATCCAAATATTGACGTTACTTCAGAAATTATTTGGAAAAAATCGAAATAAAAATGATGAAATCTCGGAAACTTAGCATTTTAGGACATACATTTATACGAACTTTTTTAATTATTTTTATCTGCAGAATATGCTGCCGAAGTTTCCGGAATACAGTTCGGACCACCCTGTATATATATATGTAAATATTTTTTTCTTATTATTTTTTTTATTTTTGAAGTGAAACTTCTTTACGCGCGCTGTAATGAAAAATTCAAGGCCATGACACACGAGCTAGAGAGACGGCCGTGACACGCGAGAACAAATGGTAACGAAAAGTGGTGAGAACGCGCGCTTGGAGTAAAACACAGCCGTACATTAACGCGTATAAAGCAGACATTTTACTCGTATAAAACTCTTTGTTACACGTAAGAACGTTTAATACGCATATAAAACTATCTGTTATTTTTTACCTGTAAAAAACTATTTGTTACATGTAAAGGACTATATGTTACAGGTACATTTTAGCATAAAAAATATTTTTTTTTTCATTTATTACTTTTTCAACATTTCAAACTACACTTTCAATCATGTACCTACTTCAAATCTTTCAATTTAATAGCTGTTAGTAAGAAGTTACACTTCAAATATGCGCACATAGTGCACACACAAGTTTGTTTTATTTATTTATTTTTTTTAATTTGTTGGAATTCTAATTATCCATATGTTTTCAGCGAGTAAAAAACGAATTGGTACTGGGTACGGACTGTGGAAATATTTACTATATATGCTCGGCCACTGGACAAGTAATTTACAAATTAGCCATAACAACGGTACCATTAACTAGTTTGCTGTTTGATAAAGGATTTAACGAGTTCATATATATGTGTATAGGAAGTTTAGACAAAGTATTCAAAATATACGACTATAATAGAAGAAAATTAGTAAAAGCGTTACCTCTGGATGACCAAGTAAACTGTATGTGCGCTATGTGGGGTTATATTTTTATAGGTTGCAAGAATGGAACCCTAGTTAGATATTCTATAGAAGTAAACATTTTTTTTTGTCATTAGCACACTTCATACAGGGTGAGTCTTAAATAAGTGCAAATATTTTTAGGGTTAGTATATCATGAGGTTTTTTTCACATATTTTTTTAAAATTTGGAATTTTTGAAAAAATAATTTGATTTTTTTTTAGTTTTACTTAAAAAACATAAATTCTTGATAATATGGCAACATAGGTACCTCGTAGATTAAATTTGGAAGAAAGAAAACCCAAAAAAGATTTAGTGGTTCTAAAAATTTTATCAAGTCATTTTTTTGAAAATTTCCAAAGTAAAATAACTCGGTTATTTTGGATTTATTCGAAAAACGGTAAAAAGAAAATATGTTTCTTTTATCGAGATCTACCAGCCCGAAAAGCCAAAAAATTATTTGTACTTATTTAAGACCCACCCTGTATAGTTTTCTAGTGAAACTAAATATCAAAATAAACTATTTACATAAACCGTCATTAATTAATTCTAAAGTTAGGTTGAAGTTATCTTTTTTAGAAAAGTAAATTTGAGTTTGGCGAAAAACACATTGGATTAAGTATTATTGTAATAAAGGCAGTGCAAGAAGGGTCACATAAAATGTTAATAGTAGGTTATAAAGGAGCTTCCATATACATAAGATGTGCAATGTCTAGTGCTTATTTGCGACACTTCAGTAGAGAAGCCATTCCTCGAACTGTGGGTTCGTTGATTTTGGAGAATAATTTATTATATTGTGAAACTGCACAACAGGGTATACTGGTTTTCTCGTTTCATGTAAGTAATTGAATGATAACTAGGAACTATAACAAAAAATTGGGTGATAAAAACGCCAGACTAATTTAGACAGTCTATTGTCGTATATATGTACTTGCAAATTTTTATAAAAATCTAAAATATGTAGTGGCATATTTTAATTTATTTTTTGCTTATGTTTTAGACTGGCAAACTTGTAAAAAAGATTAGCCCTGAAAATCTTAAAGAAATAAGCTCTATTAAGATTGTTAACAGTCATATTTTTACTAGTTGTTATAATGGAAAGGTATATGTATATAATTTGGAAAAGCAAAGTAACGTCGCAATTCTAGAAGGACCTAGGGGAATAATATCAATGGAAATACTCCACAATCAGGTAAATTTTCTTCGAATAATTACACTTCCATGTTTCTTTTTCTTTGTTGTTTGTGTCATATACTTGCAATTTAATATAAGTTTTGTCAAATCGCTTAAAAATTGTTCATATTTCTAGGTTATTCTTGGAACATCTACTAAAAAATTAATTTCCATTCCTATTCCAAATTCAATAAATGTATATAGTAAGTAGATTTATTATGTCTTTTAATAAAGTATTTTAGTTTTGTTTTATACTTGTTTTTTTTAAATTGAAAATAAAAGAATTATTTAGCATCAAATTCTAACTAGCTTAATAACTAACTTAATAAGAGAAAAAGGCGTCAAGTTACCTTAGAAATGACCAACAATGATGTTCGCCATATGATTTGTCATATAAAATGTCATTGATGGTATCACAAAAGTAAATTTAGGCGATTTCTTTTTCGATCCTCCGGTATACGTTTGTATATTATGTTGATAGTGCATACAATACAGCTATGCAAGTCGTGCTTATGTATAAATAAAACATCGGAGCTGACCGTGGTAAATATTTAATTACCAAAGATTACACACGATGATTATCTCACGAAAAAATTAACTTGTTTTAGTACAACTTCGTAACCGGTCGTACTAAATCGTACTATGATCAGAGGCGTAGGTACATATACTCTAATACTGCAAAATTTAATATTGGTCCAAAAATCGAATAAATAAAAAATTTTTATACTCATTTCCTAACATTATATTACAAGTAATAGAGCAATATCTTCTACAGTATTATTTAACTGTTACTTAAATAAACCTGTGATCGAATGAATCAATGTGTAATCAAAATATGTTTGTTAATTAGATTTATGTTATTATAGGTAAATAATTGAGTGAGTTATATTTATTAATATAATTAATTATCGATACAAAACCAAATAATATATTAATAGACATAAATATAAAAAACCTTTATATAAAAAAAGTGTGACAAAAAAATGTCGTTACAAGTTATTAAAATATTATAATCATTATACAGTGTGAGTCTTAAATAGATGCAAATATTTTAGGGTTGGTATATTAAGACCCCAGAAACACGATTATAAGGTTTTTCGCGAAAGAAAAATTTTTGAAAATTTGTAATTTTTTGAAAAAAATTTTAGTTTTTAGTTAAAAACATAATTTCTTGATAATATGGTAACATAGTAGATTAAATTTACAAGAAAGAACACCCAGAAAATTTAAGCAAAAAATTATTTTTTTTTTTGGAAATTTTCAAAGTAAAATAACTTGGTTAATTTAAACTCATTTGAAAAACGGTAAACGGAAAATATGTTTCTTTTATCCAGATCTATCAGCCTTGAAAATATTTGCACTTATTTAAGAGTTACCCTGTATAATAATCATATATTATCTCCGTCAATAAACTTTTTTTAAGAGTCAAAGTCCGAAAAAGCAGCAAAATAAGTGTTCGGCATTTAACGTTTTATATTAAACTGGCTAGGTATTTTTACACAAATGAAGGAGATTAAAGATAAAGGATTATACTATATATCTGTATTGTAGCATATTTTTAGACAATTTCTTTATTTTTAAGATTTTGATGATCAAACATCAACAAAATATTCCTCATGTTTGGGCTAAATTTTCTCGAAAATAAAGACATAATTTAAAATTCCGTTACAATACGGAAATAGATTGAAGATTTGTGATTACAGTGATATATAATTTATATGGTTTTGTAACAAACTGCTCGCTATTTTATGGCAAATGCTGAAGCTCTGCAAACCTTAATCAAGCCTTAATCAAAGCACGTGTGTTTGGAATTTTGGATGTGGCTTCACAACAGGATCGGGCTAAGCCTTAGGGAGATTTCTGAAATATAATAATAAATATTTCTTTCGGCCACACACCCGCTTTACCCGACCCCTCAGAGCGACCCGAACAGTACAACGTAATAAACTCTTAATATATGACAACCTAGCATTTTTCTCTTTTTTAGGTTATTACTATCTAATTTGTAATGGGTACCTTCGTTTTGTGCAGTCAGACTATTCTGTTTATATAGTATTTGTCTGAGACCATCTTTTCTATGTAATCTAAGCTAGTAGCTGAATAGACATCTCACATTCAGATCTTCAGGATCTGGAACCAACTAAAAATTGAATAAAAAAGCGTTAAGTGCGCTACTGCCTCGAAAGAATATACCTGAATAAGACGAGCCAGCTTTAGCAAATTTCAATCATTCCAAAAGTTATATTCGGTGAATATCAGTGAATATGAAATTATTGTTGTTTGTATTTTTGTTTGCGTTTGCTAACGCTTCACCGGGCTATTCAGGTAAATCCATTAGTATAAAATCAACCTGACATTCGTACATATATGCAAATATATTTATTGCAAGAATACTGCGCTGTGTGCTTTATTGTTTATCTCCTAAGTTGCAAAGGTTGTAATTTAATTGCAAACAACGATAAAAGTGCAGTGTGATTCGTTGAAAATTCAAAAAATATCTTCCACGGTATATTTGTTTATTATATATCACCGATTTGTAAGTTCATACACGTTATTTTATTAGAAATATAATCACCACTTTACTTATTGTCTAAAATTATTTAAATATATTTTCTGGTTGTCTCAAAGAATGGAGTCTCAATTATTTATACAAAAATATATTTTTTGTTTGTTAACAAAAATAGCTGTCTTCACAGTATTTTCCATTCATGAATAAAAGATGAGAAAAAGTAAATGACACTATGGTTTCTCTATTTCTATAAATATCAATATGTTATTATAATGAATTAGGAATGTCTTATTGATTTCCTACTTGCATATACTATATTAACATAGAAAATATCAAAAATTTATAACACTATACATGTATACAATGACACCATCAAACCTTGCAATGTAAATATAATAAAAATCTACCAAAACATACTGACACAAATTTAAAATTAATATATTTTACCTAACACGGTTTACTTAGCAATAAATTAAGAAAAATATATAAAACATGGATTTTTGATTCTTTCCACAAAATAATAATTATATCAGAATAGCCATCTCCATCTCAATAGCTTTATTTTTGTTGGAGATATTCGCTAAGACACTAACATTTTTTGGGACCAAAAGCATAGGCAGGTTTTAATGTAAAAATTACAAAAAAATGTCAGCGTTTTCTTCAAAAGCGAATATCTCCAAAACACAATAAAGCCTAATGAGATGAACCAAAAAATAAACCATCGGGAAAAGATGCACCTAGATGCTCAAATTATTTTCAAATTACTTGCATTTTAACATATTCTACAGAATGTTCCAAACTTTCACAACAATAACAAAATTTTTGTTCCCTCGTATAATAGACAGATGGGGACTTTCATTTTTAATTTAGATACTAAAAAGCAAATAATTTAGCTAAAAATTGATTAAAAAATCATCAAAATCGGTCCACTGGAACACAATATACAGTGTGTAGATAAAGTATGGAATAAATAGTGATACCTTATTTTAAAGGTCTCTCGCTCCAGATTATAGTCCTAGAGTTTGAAGTTGCTAGTGTCATCTTTGTTAACATGACAGCTTGTCAAAATTCCTAATTTTCTTAGTTTTGTCAAGCTGCCATATTAACAGAAATTATGATAGCAACTTCAAACTCTAGGGTTATAATCTCTAACGAGAGACCTTTAAAATAAGGTATCGCTCGACCCCCCTTCCCATTACAAAAACTGTGCCAATCACCCCACTCGGTGGGTGAAGCTAGAGGCAAGGTAATATGGTAATATGCCTACTTATATCATAAACAAAGTTTGAAGTTGCTAACGTAATTTCTGTTAATATGGCGGCTTGGCAAAGCTAAGAAAATTAGGAATTTTGACAAGCTGTCATGTTGACAAAGATGACACTAGCAAGTTCAAACTCTAGGACTATAATCTGGAGCGAGAGACCTTTAAAATAAGGTATCACTCGACCCCCCTTCCCATTACAAAAACTAGGGGTGCCACTCACCCCCGCTCAGGGGGTAAAGCTAGAGGCAAGGTAATATGCGTAAAATGTGCCCCTTTTAAAAAATAGATCGACGTGTTCGAGCATTTTTTTTACTAAAATCCCAGTTTGAGAAAATAAATGTATTCCATACTTTATGTACACACTGTATAAAAGTTTAGAATACATCAAAATTTTAAGTTGCCCGTTTTTGGTGCGGGTGAGCGTATTTTCAATCGGCCACGTTACGTACACCACCAAGATGCTTTGTGGTTATAAAAAAGCGCATCTTTTAAATAAACATAGTTGTGTTTATTTCCTTTGAAATGATTGACGCGGAATTCCCAAACAACATATTTAACATAATCGAAAAATATAGAAATATGAATGGGTTCGTGCTTGTTAGCTAATTAACTAATTTAAAAGCCATGTCTGAACTGTGGACATGAGAATCTCTCAATACACATAAGAACCTTGATGGTGTTGAAGAATACCTGGCTGACTTTCGAACGTTTCTTTATTTTGCACTAGCCTTGAAAATTATATCACACGTTATTTTTGAGTTCCGGTTGCTTACAGTATAAGGATTGTACAGGGAGTCCAATTTTCGTGTTTTGCAGGGTTCTTCGTTTATGAGTAGAGATACAAACATGTGGTTTTCACATCACTGTGCTAGTTTTTTTATGAAACTAAAGATGTCCTAGCCCTCCTAGTTCCTGAAATACAAAGCAAATTTGAAAATTTTCTTTTTTTCGACACTCCTCGTATCTCATACTTATTTTCATAAATCAGGTAAAAAACGCGTTACTTAACTTTTTAACATAAATCTACCTAATTTAAAAGAGTATTATTGTTTTATTTAATACAATTTAACCAGATAATTTTGCAGCTTTTATCTAACACCCTATCAATCAGAGTTATTGATATTTTTAATGCACTTGTGCACTAATTCTACAAATAGAAACTAGCGTAGAATAGTCAGTAACAAAAATTTGATATAAAAAAAATAAATTGAAAACAACAGCTCCCAACAAAAACCCAATTAAGCCACCAGTTTCTAACTAAAATACTCTGGATCAGTTTTTACCTTTTTGATAGAGTTTTATAATATAACCGAGATATGAAGGGGGTGGAAAAATTCAACATTTTTAATTTTGCCCTACATTTCAGGAGCTAGCACAAATCTGTGTGTAACATCTTTAGTTTCATAAAAAGTAACACAGTGATGTGAAAACCGCATGTTTGTATCTCTACACATGCACGAGAATATAAAACCCATAAAACCCACGAAAATTGGACACTCTGTACACATTGACGCGAATGATTCAGTTTGTAATCCTTTAAGTTAAGAATCTACACACTATAGTTAAACAAAAATAGAACAGAATGCCATATTTTATTTAAAAATACGATATTATTATTATTATATATGATATTACAAAATTTCATTGTAATAACGAATGAAAAAAAATATATTTTCAAATTTTGCAAAAACTCGTCAGAAATCATAAGGTTTGGGTTGATTTGTTTTGTAAGGAGTGTTTTTCATATAAAAATTTCAAATTTAACGTTTCCCTACATTGATATTTGCATATTATAGGGTGAACTAAAGTCAAAATTTGCATCTCAATTGCAATTTGCATCGACACATACACCAGGCAAATGTCATAATATGTCATTACTAAATAAATTACAATGATGATGGACGCTTACTGTTGAGTATCTTTAGAAATCTAATATTCCTACAATTCATATAAAGCCACTAATACTGAATATTATTTTATTCTTTGTGATGTTCTATGTGGAAAAAAATGTATAGAAAATAAAAACCTTTCTAAATTACCTATCAGTTATATGATATTTTCTTTATTTCAAAATTAGACGGGCATTGGTGTAACTACAGGGGGGCCAGGGGTTGCCGGGCCCCCCAGGTACTGCTGGACACCCCCCAGAGAAGTCCTGAATTATGACTCTTGGCTACGTATTAATTTTTATTTGCTTGTGATGCAGTAAAAATGACGTTTTCTAATTTTGTTTAGTTAACATTATTTTGTTGTGCTCAAAAAATGTGTTAATTTTTATTTTTTTAGAAAATTTGTAGGTATTTAAGTAATCTATGGGAACACGGTTTGATAACCAAGTCTATGAAATTTATTGATAGAGAAATTCATGTAAACGTTTTTTCAAAAAATGTGTTTTTTTAAATTATTTTTCATTTTTAAAAAAACAAAAGCCCAAGGCCCCCCCTGGGCCCAACCCCAGGCCCCCCACAGGCCCACCCCACGATAAATTTCTAGTTACGCTAATGTAGACGGGGATAAAAAAAATAGAAGAACATTACAAATGAAATAGGTGTTTGAACAACCTGTATATAACATAGATACCCAAATAAATATATACATACTTACTCAATTGCAATTTTTTGTCTTAAATAAGTGTAAATATTTCAACTTCGCTGTAAAATAGAAAAAAAAACAGAGCAGCCAATATCTAGAGAGTTCAAAATTTGCATGCGATTTCCTATGTTTCCAACGACATGCGCCACCCGGTATAATAACACTAGTGGTAGAATATTTTTTCTCAAAATTTCTCCAACAAAATAATAATTTCTACGAGATCTAGTATCCCTGAAAATATCTGCACATATTAAAGACTCACCCTGTATATCCAAATAGATTTTAAGGTACTGCCAAATCGAAAAATTATATACGAAAAAACTTATTGAGACAGGGAATAATATCACCTTCAGATTTTTTTCGTACATATTCATTTACAGCCTGATGTGGTAATAATAACATCCCATATTTTCGCTAACTAAGTAGATTATAAGCGCACACTAAAGTTGGTTAATATTAAAAAGGGTGAGACTTAAATAAGTACAAATATTTTTAGGGATAGTATATTTCAACTCACTTGAAAAAAAAATAAAACAACAACTTTGAAAATTTGTGATTTCTCGAAAAAAAATTGGAAACGATTTTTTAAATTTTTTTATCGATATCTACTACCAGCTCTGAAAATATTTGCACTTATTTAAGACTCACCCTGTATATCCGAATATTTAGGCGTATTTTTAAGCAGTTTTATAGAAGTTTAAAAGTCCTCCCCCGTGCTGTCAGATGCATATCACGTCATATTTTGAATACAAGCCGCCTTTCGCTGTAGTTAATGGTAGTTCATCTCGCGTTTGCCCAGCAATCATATCCGCTATACGTTGTTATAGACGGTCCATTTTTCATTAGCCGTCACCATTCGTTAGAAAAACTGATCATTTTCAGTCGGTTGAAGAGCAAATCTGCATGAAAATATACTCAAATAAATTGTTTTCGTCAAATACCATATCAAGAACTTAAGGAAAAAATATTAAAAATAAATATTATTCTTTATAGATACGTGTAGAAATAATTTATTTCAGTGTGAATTTACAGAGGGCTCTCTCACTTGTGTTAAAAATGTACATGTACTGCCAAAATATCATTTTACTACCAAGCGCCTGCCAATGACTGCGAAATGTGTTTATTGTTTTTAATTTAGATCATCTAATGTACAGGGTGCGTCAAATTCGACGCTTTTAAATGGAAACACCCTTTTCTATAGGAGATAGATGAAAACTAATATCGATGTCTGGAGCTCAATTTTCATCAAAAACATGATGGTTAAAACCGCACATCAATATCTGTTACTGTTTCGGAGTTACAAAAACGTGCATTTTTAACAAATCGCTGTAACTTTTTTGCTATGGAAAATTTTGTATTTCTATGAAAACATTTTCAAAGCACCTTTTTACGTAGAATTTAATGGTTTAAGTATAATTATTGTAAAATTAATAATTTAAGAGTTATCAACAGAAAAAATGATTTTTTATTTGGGACACACTCTATATTTTTAATTATCTGAAAAGAATTTAAAATTACCTTTCCAAAAATATAGCACACTTGATATTTTGTTATAATCCCCTTCGAAATACAGAATTTTTAAAAGTTCGCAACTTTTAACTAGTAGGCTTTGGACCCCTTATTGATATGCCCTTAATGGAACTCGAAAACATATTTTTCGAGCAAGACAACAGCACCGCCTCTGAAAGCTGAAGTTAGCAGCAAATTTTTGCAGCCAATTTCAAGAATAATTGGATAGCTAACCAAGATCCCAGCCGTTGGCCGTCGAGGCCGCCTGACTTAGTGCCCATAGATCTAATCTTATGTTTGCTGTTATATATTTGCGGAAGAATAAAGGTTCCTTATTCTTCCGTATAATCTAGACAAGAATTAAAAATACTTAGCAGTTATGAGAGGGTATCTTTCACCCCCACTGAGTTAATGAATTCCGCGAGAAATTTTCAAAAACTGTCCCGTCTGTCCATCACAGAAGAGGGTCGATATGTCGAACACCTGTAGCAAAATCTGATGTCTTGGTTTGCTATTTATTTTTATTGTTAATAGATATAGTTTAAATATGTTGATGTTGGTTAAATATATTTTAAATTGTTATAAAATTCTGCATCTCTCATAGCAAATATTATTTTCGTTTTAATTGATGCTCACAGCTAGATTTTTTTTTGCATTACAGCCGGTGCCGTTCAAAGCCTACTTATTTAAAGCGGGCGAATTTTTATATACTCTATATCTCGAAGAGGAATTGAGCAAAATATCAAGTGTGTTATATTTTTGGAAAGGTAATTTTAAATTATTTTCAATAAATTAAAAATATACAGGGTGTCCCATATAAAAAATCAAATTTTCTGTTGATAATTCTTAAATTATTAATTTTAAAAAACTTATAGTTAAACCATTAAATTTCACGTAAAAAGGTGCTTTGAAAATGTTTTCCTAAAAATACAAAATTTTCCATAGCAAAAAAGTTACAGCGATTTGTTAAAAATGCATATTTTTGAAAAACACCCCGTAACTCCGAAACGGTAACAGATATCGATATGTGGTTTTCACCATCATGTTTTTGACAAAAATTGAGCTCCAGACACCGATATTATTTTGTCTATCTCCTATAGAAAAGGGTGTTTCCATTTAAAAGCGCCGAATTTGACCCACCCTGTACAAACGAAGCACTTTTATATAGAGGTAAATTGTGTCCGATGAACTTATTTTGATTCCAAAAATACGTAGTAGTTCTATGTTCATGGAATATTGGGACCCCCTGTATATCATGGTAAACCAACTTTTCCAGATTCTTCGCCTAGTGGAAATGATATCAGTGAAGGAAATGCCCAAGGAAGCTCCTTCGGATATTCAGGTAGTTTTGCAGGTGCCGGTGTACCAGGAGGAAATTTTCCTGCCTTCCCTGCCTTTCCGCAGTTTGACTTTTCCGGATTCTTCACCAACTACTTAGAAGCCTTGAACAAGCAACATCAAGAATTCATTAACCAGTAAGTTCACAAATGCCTGGACAAATAAACGAATATAGGTGTTATTTTTCTAGAGGTGGTGGTATTTCTTACGCTTATGCTTTCTCTAGCCCTGGTAGCTCTGCTATGTCTCAATCCTCTATTAGTTTTTCTAATAATAACGCTGAAGGGTGAGTAAACGCTCAACTCGAAACAAATTATTAATTTGCCTTTACTTAAAGACTACAAAAGTTGGCTCAAACTCAAGGTCAAACGGGAGGAAGCTACGCTCCCAATTACCAAGGTGGAGGAGGTGTGGACTTAGGAAACAGAGGAGGATTCGTTGGAGGTTATGGAGGAGGGTTTTCCGGACCCGATGGTCAAAGTTTCAGCTTTTCCGGGCCTATTGGGGCAGACAGTGGGGCAGCTTTCGCTAGTGGATCTATAGGACCAGGAGGTGGTTTCCAAACAGCAGCAGTTTATCCAGAAAATCCAGTAAGGCTCTATTATTTATTTTTATGACAAAAATCTTAGGGTCAAGTGGTGTAAAAATGAAACACGTCATATTTAGGTAAAAAAATGAGACATTCATGGAAAACTACTGAAAACTTATATTCACTCATGTATATTTTTAAATTTTAGTCACAATGTCACAATTAAAAAAAAAACAAAAAATATGTAAAGAAACCAAAACAGAAAAAGTTCTTAAAGAGGCTGCAAAGTTAGTCAGCGGCGGAGATGTAACCTTAATATACGCAGACAAAGCTTTTCATATTGATCAATACTGTAGTTACTGAGATAAATATGTTATTAAAGAAAGTCATTGTTTTAAAATTACCACCATCAAATTTGCAAGGCGGCACTTCTAGAACTGCGGAGATGTTTGCTCATTCAATAGATTTTGAGAAATATTTAGATCGTTAATTGGTATATTTGTTTTTTTTTGTTTGCTTTTTAAGTGACACTTTAGATTAATATTTTAGTGTCACTTATTAACTACATATTTTTCTTCATTTTTAATTTAATATAGTTATTATACACTGTCAGTTTATAAATGTTTTGCGACGGTGTAACTTTACTGTATTTTGATTTGAAATATATGTAGGTGTCCTTTATTAGTTTGGATTTTTTATTTGAGTTCTACTAATAAAAAAGATAAATTTCTATGTCTAATTTCTATCCTTCTAGTTTCATCTTTACTTCAGATTTTAATATAAATGTTAGCAGGTCCTTTAAACGTACGTTTTGTGACTGTCTCATATTTCACCCAGCATATCTCATTTTTAGACTTTTTATGGTTTAACTATGAGACACTCTTTTCTGCATTCTGTCTTTTTTAGAGGTACTTTTGGTATATATTTCATACCATCATTTTCGTTACCACCAAGTGCCTTTTATAGAAGAAATATTTTTGAATTTAAACGGTTGTAACTAAAAAAATGAAAGTTTTGTAAATGGCTCATTTTTACACCACTTGTCCCTACGTAGAGTTAACAAAAAAAAAGATTATCTATATATTTAAGAAAAAAGTCTCACTTTAAATAGATACATAAGTCTAATACAATAGACACAACTTTAAATAGATACATAAGTCTAATACAATAGACACAAAAGTCTAAATTTAAATTGAATTAACTGTATCACAATTTAACTCAGGCTTCCCCCAATGTTAACACCCGATTTGGAGCTAGCGGAGGTGGACCTGGAGGTGGAGATTTCAAGAGTGTATTCACATCTAGCAAGAGTGTGACCTCTAATGTAGATGGAAAACCACAGACATTCCGTCAAGCTTCAACCACTGTCAATGACAATGGAAAAGTGACTACTTATACAGCTCAAAACCCATAATCTTTTTTTACTATTTTTAAATACATAAATACTCAAAATATACATTTCTATACTTAAATCTAATGTGTTTTGTTTTTGAAAATATCCTAATCTCAAGTATAATATCAAAAATTAACTATTGTGAGAAAGCAATTAAGAAATTCTTACTAATTTTCCTAATTGCTCAAACTATAAAATATTTTTATTAATAATCAGATATTTGTAAGTAGATATATTAATAATTAAAAGATAAGTACCAAAAATATATAAGTTTCTTTTCTAGACATAAATATATTTTTTATTGTATTGTTTAACTTATATATTTCTCTAAACATAAAAAAAACACAAAAATATAGGTTTTAATCAAAATATTTACTTGTTCTATAACTACCTGTCTGTTATTTTATACCTTAAATATTTCACAGTTTATTTACTTAATAGTTTCAAGTATTCAACATAGTTTATTGCAATGGAGCAAGTTTATCGTCAATAAAAGATCTAGATTGGGACAGTGTTGATCTATCTTCACAAGTACATTTGGAACTATCATGGGGACTGAAATAATAATAGTGGTTAGTACTATCATAATAATCAATAGTTCTAAATGTATTTTGCAACTAAAGCTCTGATGAATTTAGCTACTGTTAAAGATAAACAAAATACTACTACTGAAAGCTTTAAAAAAAGTAAATAGCTTACGTCAAATGGGTACTATAGTCATACTTATTAGGTCTATATACCGGTTTCCACTCGTTTCTAGATATGCCTCTAAAAGCTACAGGATTAGGCGTAGGTATCCTAGGATACAACAGAGAATGTGGTGGTGGAGCTTCACCAAAATTATGCCTGTGGTATGTATGATCAAAATGTGGAAATGGTTGTTCCAATACATCTCCATAGCTCTGACTAATTGGTCTTTGTTGTCCATAATCCCGATTCTATATTAATAATTAAATTACGTTTGATTCTAATTAGTACTGAAATTTTATTTACCAAAATATTGTCATTATTTCTGCTGAAAATGTTTTGATAGTTATGGTTCTAAAACAACATTAATTGTATATAAGATTTTAATGCAAAATTTAATTTTAAATTACCAAATTGTCATTGTATCTGTTAAATGTACTGTGGGAAAGATGGTAATTCTGGTTCTGAAATAAAATTAATATAAAAAAGTTGTAATATTATGTAATTCAAAATATTAATTACCAAATTATTGTCGCTATTTCTGTCAAAAGCTCCTTGAGGTAGATAATTATGTCCCTAGAAGAATATAATATATCTTAAGGACTTAAAATTAAATGTTTTTATATTTACCAAAAATTGGCCATGGCTTCTATCAAACGACCCAGGTGGTATATAGTTGTAGTTCTAAAATTATATTACAAATTTTAAACTTGTGCAAAAACGTTAAAGTGTGCATAATACTTGAGTAATTTAGATATGTTTTTTTTTTAATTTATGTTTAACTATAGTTATAAAAATATTTACCAAAGGCCTTGAGGGTGGACGATAAAGATTGGAAAAATAATGATTTTCATTTCCACTATTTCCTATTAGATTTGGGGAATTCCTAAAGGATCTATCGTCACCTGTAACATCTAAATCTGACCCTAAATACAACTAAATGTGAACAAACAACATTATAATATAAGGTCTGTTGATTTACCTCTATAACCAACATAAATGGGTACCTCAGACGCATTTTTTAGTGAATGATTGGTTTTATTGAAGCTTACTTTTGTTTTCACATGAACTAAGACCTCCGTCTGTATAGAATCGGAGCTATTAGTCACATTACAACCCCTCTCGCCACAAGTAAAACTGTATTCTGTACCATTCGGACTGTTTTCTGTAGTAGACGTTTTATTATCTTCAAAATCCAATTTATCCGATATTGGTAACTGTTTAGCTGAAATGTGCCTATTAAAAATAATAAAAAAAATTATAAAACTTACTGGTTCTCCACAAACAAAATAAAATTATCACAATTCGAAATAAACGATAAGCCATGATGGATTTGAAATAGAGTGTTAAGGTGAACAAGATGAAATGGTAAAAATGACGCCAAAACAAGAGGAATAGCGTGCTTTTCGTTTCCTGAGATTATTTTTTGCCTATAGATGATCTCCTTCATCAGAATCAAGGTTTTTCTAGTTATAATTGGGCAATTTTAGCAATTTGCCCGCAAGACTTTTTTCATCTTAAAAACCGCGTGTCAAATATTATAAAAGAAATCAAGAATACACGCAAAGTTTTGGATGTCAGGTAGATATTCCAATATTGCTTTAGACAACGTCTAACAGCAACTTTACCATAAAACGTTTTGATTATACTCTAATACTACATTTTTCTACTCTATCACTGCATGACCTCTTCTCGTACCAAATAAAAGTTAAATATTTTTAATACCAAAAAACTGAAAAATCGTTAATGAAATATTAATGTACAGAAATTATGTAAATTATTTAAAAATACAGGTAAAAAGCCTACTGGGCTAATTTTAAAGCAAAGTATAAAATAGAAATTAGTAATGTGATAGATAAAATACTGAGATATACAACCAACAAACTTTATTTAAATCTTAAAATACATCAAACAACTCAATATCTTGGCACACAATTACAATATTGTCTCATTTTTATAGTTTTATATAGATATTTATTAAAAATAGTTTTCTTATGCATATACAAATTATAAAAAAAAATTAAAAAAATTCTATATTTGAGTTAAATATTTGAGTCAAAATTATATATAAATAAAATACTCGAGAATATATGTGGGAGAATGCCTATTAAGCTAGCAGCTATAGCATACTTGAAGCATTTTCACCTCCTTTGGCTTTTTCAAAGAACATAGCATCCTAGAAAACATTACTATATTCAACGGTACTAACAATATTTTAATAACTTACAATAAGAAAACAGGCCCCTAGCATCACCGCCTTCATTCTCACATCCAAATCCATAGGAAATGTAATTCCAAAATAATCTGTATCTGTGAACATTTCCCTAATAACTCCAGACCATTGTTTTGAGATTTTCCCAACTTGTACACTCCCATCTCCAGACATGATTTTAAACTCAACATCCCCACAAATGCTCATTGTGCAAAAAGGACCCTCAATACGAAGTACTGTATCACCACTGGCATTTTTCACAGCAAAACTTGGACAAAATATACTCCATTCTTGTTCAACAGTTCCTACTATTGTCCCTGGGGGAGATGATACCTCCATACTCTAATAGATATTATAGAAAAAACTAAGCAATTTATTTAATGTACACAAAAAAAATATATACCTGAAGACAACAAGGAAAACAGCAACTATCACAGGCTAGAGGGCGATGTAAATGTATAATTTCATTTTTAAAATTATCTAAAATTTGCATATCAAAAGGTCTCAAAGGGCCACAGCAATTTCTAGTTAAACAGTCAGACTCTTCAGCAGCATAATAAACCTTTTGACCTAAACTATTTTTAACAGTAAATTTGTTCTTGGTTTCAAAGCCAGTAAGAGCTAAAAAATAAATGGTTATAAATAAAATTGAATAATAAAGTCTTAAGTAGTACCTTCCAATACTTCAACTTTTTGGTGAACTAGCAACTGATCAATCATAGTAAGATACTCCAATCCTGGTGGACAATTGGGAATACCTTGCGGCATATTCATCCATCCACCTGTAAAAGAAGTTACATATTTTATTAGATAGCATTCCAAAATAGTCAAACTATACCTTTGCTCTTCTTCAGTAAAAAATCTAATATAGCCTTTCTTTTTAGGAGACCTTTTAATCTTAAAAAACTTTTTAAAATTACGAAATACAGCACTTTTTTTTGAACGAAACCAAAGTTCCTTTAACTCAGGCATTACAAGAAATACAACAGATTGTTTCAACTGCTAATAAACAACATATATATTTAATATTCTTCGACGAGTATTGAGTAGAAATTTTTTAAAACAGAAATCACAACAATCCTGATTACAAGAGAAAACAAAGCCATTGCCCTAATTAAAAATAATAAAAGCTTTTTTTAAAATAATAACTTTTGAATTGATTGTACAGGAAAAATAGCTGTAGCAGAAGGAAGACAGTCATTAAAATAATTGAAAGATAGTGAGTGCCCAAGGCTCATAGTCAGAGTAAACATATTAAATTATTTTGAAGTTCTAAATATTAAATAAATAATTTCTATTGTACCAATTTGTAAATAATGAAGTCTTAAAATTTATCTGTGATAACAATGACATTATCTTCACTTTATCAGTTTCATCAATATTTACATTATATCAAAATAAAAACAATACTCTACATAACCACTGTTTTTATAAACCTCCAGAAAGTAAGTCTTAAATTGTTATGAACTATGATCTCACATTATTTTCTCAAGTAATATAATTAAAAACAAGGCCACCTGAATGAATTAGTTCACGAGTCAAGTCATATATAAGTATAAAATTATATACTTGCTGCTGATCCCGGAATGGGTTGATTAATGACGGGTCCCATCGTGTGCGGTCCGTTATAAGGAGCTGGTGGTCCATTGTATGGATTTTGGGGTACATAAGGTGGAGGAGCAGCATATCCTCCTTGTCCTGGCATGAACCCTTGTGGAGGACCATAACCGGGTGCATTAGGTGTAGGAAAACCAGGATGTGGTGCTGGAGGATACTGAGCTAAAAACCAAATATAATTACCAGTGCTAATAATTTCTATATTATGTGAATCAACTTACAATTATATGGAGTTGGATAGGCTGGAGGTTGAGAATTAGGCGGTGGATAAGACATTATGGAAAATTAAAAACAAATTAGGTTTTTTTTTCTTATGAAGAAGCTAAAAATAAGGATGTTATTAAAAGAGAATACACTATACAGATTCATTGCTATTATGAGTAACACCCCCACTTCTTGATTACCATGAAATATTTGCTTAGCTAACATCTATATATAGACCCCCAAGTAGTATAATTGCGTAATTATATTTAAGTGTTCATAAACATGACATAAATATTAATTACCTACCTGTATAAAATTAAGCTTTCCCAATTTTTTTATTAAGTATTGTCATCAATCAAGTATTGATCTTCTGTGCCTTCTGTGTTTACATTATACCACACATTATACATAAACACTAGTCAGAGAGAGAAAAAAAATATTAACAGATATAGGGGTGGGGAAAATGAGCAAGAATTGAGCAAATGCGCACCAAAGATATATAGGATGCGCAAGAACTGGCAAGAACACACACCAAAATAATCTCAAAAAAACCTTAAATATTTTCAAATAAATTATAAGGAAGAAGTTAGTCCTTGTGGTTAGTCCGTCAACAGCTGTTATTACTTATTGATCACCCCTGTAGATCTAAGTTAGAATAGGCGGCTGCGGCATCATGGCAAAAGATTGGCAAATGGTTACATTTTTTACGTGTAACCAATGTATTTGCTACATACAAATTAAATAACTTTATAACACAAAAGATATTGAAACATTGAAAAATTTAAGTGACAAATCTCTGTATATTATACAATTATACAGGTAATACCATTATACAAAAATACATTTAATGTTTAGGAATACAATAAAGAAAAATAATATTCTGTTCGATTATAAACTCAATTTCGGTCACAGAATATACTACGATTTCGGTGTTTAAAATTGCATGTTAAATGTTTGGCATAATGTCGGATCTGTGGTCAATATGCAATCTAATAGTTTCCATGCCTATTGCCAGATGGCAGCACAGTATGAAAACAATTTATAATCGAATTGCTAAGAATTTGAGGTTGAATGGTGGAGTGTCGCCGTTGTTCTTAACATGTTTAAATTTGTAGTATCTTGTGAATAGTTATATATGTGAGAATAGCTTTATATTAAAATTAAAAGTGTTGTAGGTAAGTAGGAAACAAATCAAAACAAACAATAATGCGCAAACTCGTGTAATATGGCTCCGAATCAAAATCCAACGCCAAGTTCGATCAATATAATATGCGATGTGACGTAAATGGAACGCCATGGCGTTCACTAAATATTTACTTATGTAAAAAATGTTTTGTATAGTGGTCTAAAAGTGTTAAGTGGTATATTTTGTGAAAATTTTCAAAATCTGCGCTATGAATTATTATTTTCCATTAAATCACTCCGATTCACGCAGGTGCGTACGCAGACGTAGTATAAATTTTAACTGAGCCTGCTCCATTATTGTTTTCAAGAAATGGATACGTTTTTTAAAATGTGTTATTCTGCTACAAATATGTATTTCATATTGTTAAAATAATCTTAAATCCGTGAAGGACTATTTCTTCGCCAAATGTGCATGTTTTTGCTAAACCTACCACATGGTTTTACATTTGAAAAGGATTTAAAACCTGGTCTTACAATCTTCCATTATGACTGGCGCCAAACCATCTTTCGTGCGCACATACTTGTGTCTGTTGCATGTGCATGCGTTAAAAAATTCAATTTAAAAACAAGATTAATGTTTCATCCACAATAAATATACCCTTTAATTTTATACCCCAAATAAATATCCAAGAGATCCCTTAATAGTTCTACACTCATTCGGGAAGTATCGATTTTTATGACAGCATAGCATTTGAATGAAATAAATTCCAATGTTTTAATCTTAATACAGGGTGACTCATTTACTGAAATTTACTTGTATTGCGTTAATATATATTTAAATTATAAATCACTGTGTTTTAAATATTATAAGTAGAGCACCCCAATATGATTAAAGTTTCCTTAATAAATACAATATACCTATCAATTATAATTTGGGGGTTATACCATATTACTGAAAACAATATTGCTAAAACAAAATACAAGCCAGCATTTCGCGGATGACCTGGTAATACCTCCTAAGTAATGGCAGATAGGGGGTATTGCCAGTTCACCCCCGATTTATAATTTAGATAATACAAACTAAGATCACAACATTCTTTTAGGAAATCCTTTCAATGATTAGATTAAAGTCTTGGTGAATCTAATATGAACACAAATGGAAGTTCGAGCAATGGAGCTGACCAGATTACCATGGTGGTGGGTTCTCCAACGGCATTGTCCGTACAATCAGATGATGATGATGACCAGTGTTCTTCATCCCCGGGCTCTACTTATGAAAGTAACACAGACCTCATGGCTGCAGCTATGGGTGATGAGGTTACAGCACAGTTGGCCGCAGCTGGTATGAGAGGTTTTATTTTAAAGTTACATTTCATAGAAAAATACTATTTATTATTAGGTCCAGTTGGAGTCGCGGCAGCAGCAGCCATTGTGTCATCCAAAAAGCGAAAGAGACCACATTCATTTGAAACAAATCCATCTATTAGAAAACGCCAACAAAACCGTTTACTCCGAAAATTAAGGGTAAAAATTATCTTCTTTCTATGGATTATACTATAAAAATCTGTTTTTGTGTTTATTTTCTTTCTCTAGCAAACTATCGATGAGTTTGCCACGAGAGTAGGCCAACAAGCAGTCGTTTTAGTAGCAACTCCAGGAAAACCAAATACCAGTTACAAAGTGTTTGGAGCAAAACCACTGGAGGATGTAATAAAGAATTTAAAATCCACTATTATGGAGGAGTTAGAAAATGCTCTTGCAAATCAAGCTCCCCCGCCAATTCAAGATGACCCTACTCTGTTTGAGCTGCCTCCTTTGATCATAGACGGTATTCCAACACCAGTCGAAAAGATGACTCAAGCTCAATTGAGAGCATTTATTCCACTTATGTTGAAATATTCGACAGGCAGAGGTAAACCAGGGTGGGGCAAGGAGTCAACTAGGCCTCCTTGGTGGCCAAAGGAACTTCCTTGGGCCAATGTCAGGATGGACGCTAGAAGCGAGGATGAGAAACAAAAGGTATAACCGTATGTAACCAAACAAAAACCACATTAATAATTTTTTTTAAGATTTCATGGACTCATGCTCTCAGGCAAATAGTAATCAACTGTTACAAATTTCATGGGCGCGAAGACCTTTTACCAGCGTTCACTGAAGAAGATGAAAAGGCCAATGCCGCGGCGACGTCGAACGCTAATGTACGTATATTCTTGATATGAACAAGTTTGAAAAATAATCTCAAACATCATTGGCGCTGTTTTTACAATTTTACTAATTCTAAAGTAGATCTTGTATAAATATATTAAAGGGTACAAGAACTACTAATACATCACTAATAATTATTTAGGAGATATTTATAAAAATTATAATACTAGAACAATGAAAAAAACGCTTCAAAAAAAACAACAAAAAGTTGATTTTTTATTTGCATGATTTATTTAAATTTAAAATATTAGAATTTTAATAAGTAAGCAGTCTATTTTTGTCGTTCTCTTTTCATATATGTGTGTGTTGTGTTCAAAAAAGGGCATTTTAAAAAACATTGTAAATAATAACAATCTTATAAAATAAACATGTAAGTATGAAGAAAATTAATCATGAAAATCGACCTTGAAATAATATTTATTATTAATCGGCAAAAAGTTTATAATTGTAGTTTATTTGATTCTTATTTATTAAAAATGCAGTCTTCAAATAAAACTTTTCTTTTTATTTCTCATTTAATATTTGTCAATAATTTCAAATAAATGACACTTAGTTGTTCTGTAGTTATAAAAGCTCAACGAGAATTTACATTCCATGGTTAACTTTCAGTATAATCCTTGTTTATACACGGACAAAAGTAAAATAAACATTAAATTTCAGAGGCTTTGATATTCTAAATTGAACTACCACAAATTAACATTTGGCTAAAAAAAGTATAAATCAAAATAATAAATCCCTTTACTCATTCTATTATTTTTTGAAAGTTTGTTGAATGCGTTATTGTCTTAAGAAATAGTAGTGTTCGAAATGAAAATTATATGTTTGTATATATAATATATATATAAACGACATTAATAACAATTCTTTATATTAAAAGAAATCCATAAAAGTGACTGTAGGGCCAAGTTTAACTTATAACTATATACTCTACCACTTAGTAGGGTATTAATAATTTTTGTCTACTAGTTGTAGTTTTTTTTTGGTTGTGACTCCAAATAATTTCAACAGTCTTCATTTATTTCAATAATTGAAAACTAATATTTTTCTATGGTCTCATTGCCATAAACAATAAGAATGGTATCATTTGTACCTTCTAGTAATTGAACTTCGTTTTTGATGGCTACATTTCTCAAAACGATAGCCCTCAGAAAAGATTATTAAATAAGTATGACTGCAAAATCTAAAATTGAATAAATTATGTTAGATCAAAAACGTTCTTACCATACAGTAGCCATGATACCACAAGAACTGATGCAGAAATTCATGAGGAAAAAACGTTACTTTTCAACTGTTAACAAAAACATTCTCCATACCGCTCAAAAATGTGATATCGCTCAAAAAACCTTTAAGTTCAAATAATTTCTTGAAAAAATCCTGGGTAGTTTTTCGTGAAATGAACCCGTTGTTTAATATTTGTCACTTGACTGTCACTGGTGAATGATTAAACATAAAGAACTAATATCAGCCCACTTTTAATATCTGTATACAGGGTGTCCCAGAAATAAGTGCAAATATTTTAAGGGGTGGTAGATCTGGTCAAAAGAAACATTTTTTCTCTTTACTGTTTTTCAAATAAGTCCAAAATAACCGAGTTATTTTACTTTGAAAATTTCCAAAAAAATAATTTTTTGTTAAAATTTTGAGAACCACTGGATCTTCTCTGGATTTTCTTTCATGTAAATTTAAGCTACTACCTACGTTGCCATATTATCAAGAAATTATGGTTTTAAACTTAAAATTCAAAAAAATTCCAAAATTTTTTCAAAAAATTCCAAATTTTCAAATTTTTTTTTTGCAAAAAATACCTCATGGGCGTGTTTCTGAGGCCGAAATATACTACCAGTTAAAATATTTGCACTTATTTTTGAGACACCCTGTATATTCGTTAATGGGGGTTGGTACTTAGAATTAGGTGTTCCAATTAAAAAAGGTTGCACTGTAGTTTAGGTGTAAGAGTTTTATAAGTGCCTGGGCATCCTTAACAGTGCGTTTACTAGTGCCGTTAATATTTTTTCAGTGCAATTCGGTGGGAGTATTAAAAATGCACTCGTCAGGTGTGCCCACCCACAAGATACAGATCCAAGCTAACGGGTCGCCTCAGATTATTGCCGCCTCTCCCGAAGGCATGTCTGGATCGTCCACTCAGGTCTGCCTCGACCCCGGAGGCTATAGCTCGGACGTGGACGTGTGTAACTTTAAATACACTTTTCAGTGTTGCCTGCATTTTTTAGTTGCACCGCGTGTTTCCAAAAGACATGTCACTTTTTAGTAACCACACCTTAGATCTTATAAACTTAATAAGTTGATAAGTAAAATTTGCTTCATCTTTGTTGAAGACACTTTATCGACAATCGTCTGTCAGTCTGTCTTTTTTTGTGTATATGTAATTGTAATTATTACAAAATAAACTAAAATTTTAGCCCGGGAAATATCTAAAATTAACTTTATTTTTCTTTCAATGTAGGCAAAATTACAGTTCTGTTGTAAATCTGAATGATCTCGTCAATTTTCTAGACGACCTTGCGTTTTAATTTTGCTCAAGTAAAACGGGCTGTTTTATCGTCTACACGCATCGTTTTACTGGATACTTTGACTGACAGGTAAAATGTTATGTGTAGACGGAGCCTTACACCTGCTTATGATTTATTCCAGTCCGTGTCGGACTTAAAAACTACTTTTTTTATTTTACAAAGTGATATGTCTTTTATTGTCTGGATGATTTTTTAAAATCATCTTTCCGCAGTATACATATAATTTCGTTTTGTTTAAGTGAAGTAGTCCACATTATGGTTTCGTTCAATAGCATTTTATTATTGTAGTGCCCAAATAGCTTGGTTTTGTTTCTATATTCTCTATTTTCTTTTATTTGTGTATTTCTTATGTATAACACTGAAATTTTACTTTTTATCGTTTTTATTTCAAAAAAATCTTAATTGTTTTATAGATCACAACGCAATATGCCCCTACAGTATTGCATACAATTACAAATCCTGATGGTACTGTCAGTATTGTACAAGTAGATCCTAATAATCCCATAATTACCTTACCAGACGGGACAACCGCTCATGTGCAAGGAATGGCGACGGTATTGGTGCTAAGTCAACTTAATTTCCTTTGAAAATAATTAATTTACATTTTAGTTGCAGTCTGGGAATGGCGATGGTACACCGGTACATACCATTCAAGCTATTAGCGATGGTGGTTCTCAGGAAGTTGTTGACTTAAACTCAGTCACTGAAGCAACCCTCAATTCTGATGGTCAGATCATCTTAACAGCAGAAGACGGTCATGGTAATACATATCTTTTTGTTTATTGACTTGGCAGTGTTTAACAACCGATATTATAAAAAATAATAGTTTTTAAATTGATTTAAACAATTGATCTGATGAAATTAAGATTTAGAAACTACTATTTTTATGTCACAATAATGGAACTTTAATAATTTGTTGAATATCGATATTATACAATTCTGTTGGTGTTTTTGGTTGTTTTTGAAATGTGTGATATTTGTTTACTACATTATTTAGTTTAGTTTTATTCTTTTTTAAATGCAAACAAGAATAACTACAGCTGAACTTAAAATCTTATACAACTGAAAACGACAATAAGACGTATACATATACATCCTATTACATCATCTCTATCTGTATAAGCAAACTTTGGCCACATGCTACTCTTTTTTGCGTTAGAAAACAGTTAAGTACTTTATTTTTTAATATTTTGACATTGGTATAGCTTTTTAATTTTGGTATTAACATCTTAAAATATATACTATGGCTTTGTTAATGTAAATTTATGTAGAAAATGGTTTGGTTAATAAAAGTGTTAATTTGATTTAAATTTATCGCGTTTAAATGTCCTTTGACTTGAATAATTTATTTATTGAACCACATTCTAATCCTAAATATTTTCATGGTCTATCTGTTGATGTATAAAACTAGTTATTTTTATATAATCTTGGATATTCAGTAATTTTTAGTTATATCAGATTGTTAAAGTTCTGTTTCCTTGACAGTTTACGCATATGTTGTTTTAGAGGTTGCATACTTAGTACAAAATTATTTTACTTATAAAATTATACAATTAACAATATTTTTCTTAACATTTTAAGTTCTCATTGTATGATTATAATTATTATTACAATTTAAAAATAATATCCAGAACTACTGCATTTACTATTGCTTTGCTTTGGTTTTCTATTTTTGAGTTAAATATGAATAGACAATAAATTGGTTAAGACTTGCACCTCAAATGCCACGCATGTATAAGCCTACTTTATTAATTCAATACTAATGAATAATGAACTGAATTTCTTTGCTGATGATATTTGGAGAAACTCATTTTTTCTATGTCTTGTAAAATTTTAAAACTTATATTGAATTTTCTTACGGAAGCCACCCTGAATACTGAGGGTCAAATCATATTGACTGGTGAGGATGGACAGGGTATGTATACTTTTATTTCAAGTTGAACGTTGATAAGTAGAAGTGTTTACTTTCTTTAATTTTTGACATGTTTTTATGACACACCTAGACATATTTCTTAATAACGTGGCATGTCAAGTTTGCATATGATCGGAAAAACGGTGTCACAGCGACCCTTGAAATTAAATCGATGATAATTTCAATCACGCAATTATTCGCTCAGCGAAAAAACTCCATATCAGGTTTATTAGGTGTATTATTTGAGTGTTTCATTTCAATCTTTTTTGTCTCTAAAGTTGTGTATTTTTAAGGGGATGTCATATATTTTTTAGCTTAGTGGACTTGCAGTTGTTATATATTATATACTGAATGACTTTTAAAATATTGCCATTTTTAGACTAAATTTTCTACACTTATGCTTAGTAGTAGGCAAACGCCTACTACTAAAAGAAGAAACGCTGAAAACGTTTTCATAAAACAGCAGTTTTTTTGAAAATGTAACAGTAAATATCCATTTTAGTGTGTTTAATAAATAAAAATATTAAACGACTCTTAATTTTTGATTTTATTGATAATTTTATCATCGTTTGAGAGAACAGTGTGACGCTGATTTTTCTAATCGTACAGTATGCACTGCACATTCTGGAATATTTATTTTTCTTATTTTAATACCCTAAGTATACAGGAGGACTTGCCTGATTATTGTGTTATAAGAATTTATTGTGATAATTTTTATTCAACAATTTCAAAATATGTTTTAGTGAGCGGTGTGATAACGGTTCCTGTATCAGCCTCGATGTACCAAACCATGGTGGCAAACATCCAACAATTACACACAAATAGTGATGGTACTGTTTGTGTAACGCCGGTTGTACAAGTACCAAAGGTAAAGGTAAATTATCATTTTGTTTTTTTTTATTTTGCTTTTTGTTTAGATGGCTTTGTTATCTCAATTTCAAGTAAAAACGGACTATTTCACGTTGGAATATTTGATTTTTAGATTGAGCCGAACAACGGTGATAATATAGAGACATTAACCGTTACGCCTAGTGGCATAAATACACATACAATGATGATTCAGGGTTCTGGAGGTGAAGCTCCTCAAGTACTACAAGTTTTATCGTTAAAAGACGCAACAGTGCTAACAAAAGCGATGCAAGGTATTACAGATGTTAAAACAGAAGAAACGATAATAAGTGAATAATTCTGACCATAATGTTTGTGTTGCACATAATTGTACATAAACTAAATTCTTACAGTTCATTTTTAATGGGTAGAATACATACGGGATAGTTTATTTTATATATGTAATTTAATCGAAAATTAAACCTAACTGATGAGAAATATGGAGTGTCCCAGAAAAATATGAACAGAATTCTACCAGATAATCCTAGTTAGTCATCAAATCTTTTAGTTCTTAGAAAATGAATGTTTTTATTTATCATTAAAAGTTGGGTTGAAGTGTCGCTAATAAATTCTGCATCATATAGATTTTTTTTATAAATTGACTTAGGTGAAGCTTGACGTTAATAGAATTTAAACTGTTTCTTGCTTGCACCTGTAAAATGTATCCTTTTTTTTTGTATTAAAGGTCTAAAAAATATTTTGAAAAACGTAAATATGGTTTGACCAACATATGAACTACCTTCAGTTATTTTTGGTTCCACCTGAAATGGCTAATAAATATTTTTCCTAGATGGTTAAAAATTATAATAATATACTGATATAAAAATCTAATATAATGCGAACTTATCTGTTATCACTGTAGTTTTTTTCGGGAAGCTCTATATAATTAATTGTAGTTAGTGGTTATGTACTTAGTTACAGGAAATAATTCAGCATTAGTTAACATAAACTACCCTGTACGAAAAAGAAAGTTTTAATTTTTATTTGTATAAATCATATTTAGTACTGATCTATTGGTGTAAATGTTCAACATTTTTATGATGCTTACTTTCGATCTGATACTTTGCTGTATAAGATGAAATTGAAGTAAGGCAAATATAATAATAATGTAAGAATCTATTTTTACACTTGTATGGTATTTAAATGTAATATCAGTTAATTTTCAAATTCATCTTATAAGCAAGGTTATTATTAACTGCTAAATTAAAAGGATATAGGGACTAAACGATTTTATTATTTTTTTTTTTACGCGAGTAACCTTATAGGCGGGAGAATTTATTATTTTAATTATTTCTTTTTATTTTTTCAATTATCTTGTGGTCCATTTATCCTCCTAAGTATTTTTAGCCAAAACAAGTTGAATTTTAGTTTTTAAGCTTTAATTTTTAGTAGTCACGTAGGATAAGTCACAACAACTGTTTAAAGGATTGCAGGTTTGATACATTTTTTTTCTTTATACATATATTTGCTCTAGTAGAGAGTGACCCTTATTCATTATTTATTAGCTTCTTTCATACCAGAGTGATTACATGATTTTTTATATCTAATTTGTAATTCTGCAAAAATTCCCTTATATATACAAAAAACAATAAATCTTTAGAGAGGTGTATTATTACAAGTTAAAATTAAATATTTTTGAAATCAATGTTGATTTTATGTCAGTACCCACCTTAACAAGTTTTATCAGTTATATTTTTAATGAAAATATGTGTATATAATAGGTTTTAACAGATAATCATTGAAACTAAATGGAGAATTAGTGTATATTCCTCAATCACAGCTGCTATAAGATAAAGAGAACTGTATGGCTATACTACTATTAGGTCATAGGATAGTAATAAGAAAAAACAACTGGGATATATCAAAATAAAAAAAAACTTCCTATATGATTTTATTGCATTGTAAATTCATTTTATATCTTATTATAAGATTCCTTGATAATATAAAGGGCACATATTTTTCTTAGTTTTCACCTAGTACTCATGTGAGTATATTTTATTTTAACATTTGGTACACTATATAAAGTCAGTTGTTTCATCGTATTACATCTTGTATAAATAAACGCAAGTCTCAGAAGTACTGTTTAGTTGTCAATGAACTTCACTTTTTTACGATACACGATTCCTATTATGGTTTTCTTAAAGATAAAATAGAAAATTTTCACCTCAAAGCCTAATTTATCTGTTTTACAATGGTTAACTGGTAAATAGTTGTTGGAATATACCTTGTATTGTTAAATTAATAAAATATTAGGACTTGATTAAATGAATTGACAAACAAAATCAGCAAAGTTATTGTTACATAAAACTGATATACTAACCGGATTATAAGTCTTGTCTTGAGAAGTTATTGGTATGGTTCATATAGTATCTTTACCTAAAAGAATAAACTTATGTTAGTTTTATTAGATTATTAATCAAATTGATTTTATATTATGATTTTCTGTATTTTTGGTTATCTATTTTTTGTTATTGCTGATAGGTGAAGTAATTATATTATTATTAGAAACACTAATAAAAGTGGAGGTCGTTATTCAAGGGTATCATAGTACAGTACCAATAAAAAGTTATATAAATTCCTTTTGAATATGTTACGTTGTAAGTATCCCTATTTAAGCAAAAAAAATACCATAAATTAATTCTTTTTCATACAGTCAAGATGGGTTAATTTTACAAAAAAAAAATATAAATGTCTGTATATTAAGTTATTTTGAAATCTTTTTGTAAATATTGAGTGATTAGTGGAGTAAATTGTAGTAGAGAAAATACACTAGAATTTTTTTACACTAGAATTTTTTTACATTGTAATTATTTTGAAAGAAATCTTGGAAAGCAACTTAATTCTCACATCTGTCCTAATAGAAGAGAGGAATGCCAAAGATTAGAACTACTTGTATATTTCAAGTAATCATGATTTTTGTATTATAATTTAGACTGCCAAACGCAGTTTTGTTAGGTATGTGTTGTCATGTTGATGTTTATTGTGGTTAAAACAAAACTGCCAGTTTGCCCAAAAAAAAACAAATCGAGCCGAACCTAACAGTTCAACAGGAATGTAATTTTTTATCTTACACAATAAATCGGGTATATCGAATTATCTTTATTTGCACCGGACAAAATTTCACGATGTCCTAAATGTTATCATTTGTGTAAAAACTATTATCTAAGATTAGATTGTAGTTATTGAAATGTATATCAAATTATATCCAAATGGTCAGTGGAATAATAATTGTTTTAATATTTTTTTTATTGTGACATTTAGGATGTAAATAAATGTGTACGAATTTGTCTATTTTGTACATTTTTTAAATCTCCCTTCTATATTATTAGCTAAGGTACAATAATTGGAATCTAGAAAAATAAGAAAGTCTTCTGGATATTTCACCATTGTAAAATAATCTTCAAAATAAAATAGTTATTTTTTGTAAACACCGCTGGCGTTGATCCAACGGAGACCCATTTGTCAGCGGTTTTTTCTTAATAAAACAAATTTGCCTAACGGACAAAAATGCTTCACGTTTCAGGAGGTATCTTCTCCCATAGTCAGAAAAAAGCAGAAAACACAAAGATTATTGAAAATATCTAAATACAACTATTCAAGAATGCTTTAGTTTTTTTGAACAGATACGTCTGTTAAAGTCCTGTTAAAATGACATTATATCAAGTTAAACTTCAAAATTAACAATTAACTTAACTACTTGAGGCAAAACCAAAAAACCTCAAACTTTCTGTATATCAACATATATGTAACCTCTACATATGCCCGAGCAATGCATTTATTTATATTAGATTAGACTGTATTAAAAAATCCTCTTATTTTCCGTTTAGAGGTTATCGGTTCTTTTATCATAATTTTTGCGCTGTTAAAATCTATCTTATGTCCTGTGTGCCATGAATGCTGACAAATCTTCGATTTGCGAAAAGCGCCCTTTTTGAAATAATCTCTATGTTCTTTATTTCGAACATTTAACGGTCTAGATGTTTCATCAAGGGTGGATGGGCCATATGGGAAAACGGGAAAATTGTGCCGGTGGGCCGGTGGGCCGGTCCCGATCAGAGCTCGAAAAAGATTGGATTAGCAAAAATTAAATGGTTAATCTTCTAACTAAAGTGACGTAAGATCCTCAGTGACTCCATAACTAACTAATCAATTTTCATCAGTATAATCGTCAGTTGCTTTTAAACACAAACACCAATTTGTAAAATAACTATTGTAAAATGTCTTTCTCTGGGACACATAATTTTAATAATCATCTGTTGTTTGTTCGGTATGAAAATTTTTATTATACAAAGTGAGTCTATAGGGAACAAATATTTTCAGGGCTGGTAGATAAAATAACATAATATATTTTCTTTATCGAGTTTCAAATAAGTCCAATCGAGTTATTAAAGTTTGTAAATTAAAAAAAAATATTTTTTTTTTAAATTTGAGCCACCTCAATTTTTCGGTATTTGCATCTCTTTTAGTGCCGTAATATCAGAGATTAAGAAACTATACCGTGGGGAAATTTGCGGTGAACAGGAGTTCTAAAAAGTTTTCTAAAATATACAGAAGAATTTAAAAGAAAATGCTCGATTTTTAACATCTTTCTTTGCAAAAAAAACTCATAGACGTGTTCCTGGGATCGAAATATACCATCCCTGAAAATATTTGCACTTATTTTTCACTCTGTATAGTTTTACCCAATATTCTTTTATTAATAATTAATAAATATGACTGACTGGCAGCAAAAAAAAAGAATGAATATCATTAGGTAAATTTAAATAGTCTCGATCTAAATGTATACTAAAAATACGGTGGCGTAGATTGAGACAACTGGAGGCTTCGGTGCAATATTTTTCGAGCTCCCCTTTGTAAAAAGGTGGAACAATTTGACGCGAATTCTGCAGTTGACGGACAAAACATCTATGCTTGGCTTGAATTGGGGACGGAACTAAAAGCCAAATCTAAATTGTTGTTTAAAATGTTGCTAAAATGAGTTTGCTAAAAATTACTGAGACAGCGGAGAAGAGTTAAATAAAGTGTAAACTAGATTAGATAATAAAATATTAATATGTCTCGAAAATCCAAATATTCTTATTATGGACTGTAACATAACATTACATCAGAACACATTTATGTCCACTGTCTAGGTATTGCCTAGGTTCTTCTCGTTTGAGTCATGGCTCTGGTCATGGCATTGTCATACAAGATGCCAAATGTACAAAAGTATAGAGGAAAAGTTTCATGATAAGAACTATATAATAACCTAAAAAATGCTGCAGTTTCAACGGCGACCGCGGTTCATTCAGTTCACAGATTCAGTTAATAACACGTGTACACGAGGAGGCTGCTGCTGTAGCAGAAAAGAGAGAATTTCTTTCTAGAATGTGTAAGAAAGTATATACCCGTAAAGTAATGTATTTCACAGGGGATTGGGTCAGCTGAACTGAATGAATCAGGAAAGTTTCTCAAAATCGTGACTCGTAGCCTATTCAAGATCCAATTACCGTTATCGATAATGCAAATAAAGCAGTAGAACCCTGTAAAACTGAGCTATTTTGTAGTAAAAATAACAGATGTCCGACCCAATATTGGTCTTTACGAAAATTTTGATCAAGACAATTTAATTTTTTTTAAAACCTTTATACTATACTAAAACACCCTTACTTATATACAGGTTGTCCCAGAAATAAGTGCAAGTATTTTAAGAAGTGGTAGATCTCGATACATTAAACATAAATATTTTCTCTTCATCGTTTTTCAAATAAGTCCAAAATAACACAGTTATTTTACTTTGAAAATTTCCAATTTTTTGCTCAAATTTTGAGAATGGATCACTGGATCTTTTCTGGATTTTCTTTCTTGTAAATTTAATCTACTACCTATGTTGCCATATTATCAAGAAATTATGTTTTTTAACTAAAAGCTAAAAAAAATCCAAAACATTTTTCAAAAAATTCCGAATTTTCAAAAGTTCTTTTTGCGAAAAAACATCATAGGCCTGTTTCTAGGCTTCAACTATACTACCAGTTAAAATACTTGCACTTATTTCTGGGACACCTTGTAGTAATAAATAAAATATGTTTCTTCGTTATGGTCATTCTGTTTTTGTGGATTTGCGCCGGTTGTCTGTTTTTCCCGGGCCGGTTTCCACTTCCCCATCCACCCCTGTGTTTCACCAATATAAAATCTATCATATTCACATGGTATATGGTATTTTATATATTATATTTTTTGTTTGTTGTTCGGTGTTCATATTGGTTTAGTGTGGGTTAAAATGGATCCTTCCTGTTTTTTGCTGAAACGTCCCGTATTGATGGAATTGTGTATTGTTACCATTGTGTGTGTTCTGCCCATTGGTGTAACTACAGGGGGGCCCGGGGTTGCCGGGCCCCCCCTAGGTACTGCTGGGCACTCCCAGAGGTATCTTGAATTATGACTCTTGGCTACGTATTAATTTTTATTTGCTTGTGATGTACTAAAAATGACGTTTTCTAGTTTTGTTTAGTTAATATTATTTTGTTGAGTTCAAAAAATGTGTTAATTTTTATTTTTTTAGAAAATTTGTAGGTATTTAAGTAATCTACGGGAACACGGTTTGACAACCAAGTCTATGAAATTTACTGATAGATAAATTCATGTAAACGTTTTATTCAAAAAACGCGTTTTTTAAATTATTCTTCATTTTTTAAAAACCAAAAGACCTAGGCCCCCCTAGGATGAATTGCTAGTTACGCTAATGGTTCTGCCTATGGTTTGGGGTTTGTATTTCGTTTAATCTTTTGTCAATAAAAGATGGTGGATAGTCGTTTTTACATACAATTTTTAAAAGCAAATATATTTTATATAAGTATGTTCCTAATTGTACTTTAAATAAAGTTTGTACAAGTCAGGGAAGATTTCGACAGAGGACATGCAAAAAATAACAGAAAGTGCATGTGAGAACTACATTTTTTGCTCTTATTACATTACGCTTGATATACAGTCATTACAGACCAATTCACAGACAGTCATTTACTTGTGAACAAAATAGTGAATGCAATGCCATTTAATCTGTATCGCTGGTTGAATACGTATATTTTTAACTGACAATTTTGACCGGGAAAGTTGAGTTATTGAATGTTATTGTACCTTTTTATTGTTAATCTAAGATCGTACCCAACAACCACGTAATTACGGCCTCCTTTACTTGTTAATATTTTTTCGACAATTTTATTAACATTTGAATTTGTCACAACACAAAGCGACGCCCAGTTTCGTGTTCTTTTTCAATTAATTTTTACTCCTGAAACAGCGTTACAACACACAAACCTCGTACCTGAGTATTTTATAGTTTCAATAACCGCACTAATAAAAACTAAAATACTTAAATATTATAACAAAGCTACGATTTTAACATTATTTCAATGCGACCAACATCGGAACTGCGTGAAATACAGAGCCGAAAACTCCTGATTTCTGCCGTACCGAGCGCTGCGATCGGAATTTTTAAAATCAACTGAAATGCACCAAGTCTATAGCACAGATTGCCTATAGTTATACGTACAATTTGAAATAATATTCGTTAAAATACAGACAATAAATTCTGGAAAATAACATTCTTAAACAAAAACAAATTCTATGAGAGCATTATCATTTTTACAATTGCATGTTTTGCATTATTTGGAAGTAATTTTGGACTTGATACTTATGGATTAACATTGCCAAATATAGTATGTAACACATTAGAAATACTTGATAATAAATAATTAATTTTTATAAGGTCCAGAAACTAATAATATTTACAAGTTTTTTTATATAATAAGAGATTAAAAGATATGAAAACCCTATTTTTATTTGAAGGGTCTGAATAATATGTCTAGATTTGTGATGTCTAGGTTTTTTGAGGTTTTTAATCTTTTTATATTTATACTTATAAAGTGTCAACAGTGTTATCAAAAACTGATCTTATCTATACCTAATAAGGCTAATACTTAAATTTTCTATTATAAAATAAACATGACGCAATTCAGAAATCGTGTTTCTGTAATTAATTATAGGACGATTTATTATGCAAAGTTAAACTGCATTGATATTATAACTTTTCAATTTTGTGCATTATCATTTATATTATTCTATGGTAAAGTCGTACTTACTAATGTTAAATTGATCATATAAACAAATATTTTTATTAAATTGTAACAAAGTTTTTTCTCCTGTTATATCTTTTGTTGTAATTACATTAATTAGCACTCATTCGTCGATATTATAATAGTCTCTTCGTATTCGTGGCTATAATTAGCAATTTTTCGACAGGCTATTAAATTGAGGTTCTCGAAATAAAATCTATACATGTATAGATATAGCTATTTTATTTCCAGGATATACTATATAAATATTTGCTATCGTTATGTTGGAAATAATATATTTAATCTTAAAATCTCTACAGGTGGTATAATTACTCTGCAGTGTTTTTGTAATCCTTGTTAATTTGTAATCTTTTAACACTTTTTTTCAAATTATTCGAAATTTAAGGCCTTTTTTGTAGACATTCTAATAAAATACTTACATTTTATTTTTGTCAAAGAAAAACTTATTTAAAAGATATTTTATAATTATAGGAGTTAAGTTTATATGTATAATAATAAAATAATTATTATAAAAAAAAAGAAACACGATGTTTATGGCGAATTTTGGATTGTCATCCACCCGGAAGCTTTCTAGATGTGCCAATTTCGAATAGAAGGTGAGACAAGAATCCTACAACGCAATTTAAAATTTATAATATACTTCAAGTCTGGAAAGTATCCCAAAAAACTGAAATAAGGACATCGGAGATCGGAGTAGTTGCTAAACCTTGAAATATATGTATAGTATGTTAGCCAACATCATAATGAAATCACAAGTGAACTAGATAAAAAAAAACGATTTTTCTTATACACAGTGGTCAATTTTTTTTCGGAAAAGTTTATATACACGTATGTCTAATATAAAGTAATAAACTTGTGATATAAGTATTATTTAAAGATAAGTATTTTGCATTACATAATATCTTTAAATTATAATTATATGTATATTGATCTAGATTCTGAATATAGTCCACTGGTGTTATATTTTTTTAAATTTGTTCCATAATGTACATTGGACTTGTCGGCTCCTATTCTGTTATTATACAGAGCGAGTCTTAAATAAGTGTACATATTTTCAGGGCTGGTACATATAAAAGACAAATATTTTCTCTTTACTAATTTTTAAATAAATTCAAAATACCTCATTTTACTCGAAAAATTTAACAAAATATATTTTTTGCTGTAATTTTCAGGGCCAGCGGATATTGTCTACATTTTCGTTTCTCTAAATTTAATCTACTACATAAATATTGCCATATTATCAAAATATTATGTTTTATAAATGAAAATTAAAAAAATTACACAAAACAAAGTTATCATCATTTTTTTTTACAAAAAAACTCATATATGTGTTCCTGAGATCGAAATATACCACCCTTGAAAATATGCGTACTTTTATTTAAAGACTCACTCTGTATGTACATATTGATGACAAAATAAATCAAAGAAATAGACTATTTAAATTTAAATATTGCTGCAGTAAATATTTGGATTGAATACATTTTTATTTTTTTTTTATTGAGTGATAAATAATAAAGTACGGTACCTATAAAAAGTTAAATAATTTATGGAAACGTATCAATGCAATTTAAATATCTTTTGAGACAAAATAAATAAAAAAATAAGGTGCAAATATGTTTTATCTGATGTTCCAATCGTACATCAGTTAACCTAAATACAAAGATTATGGAGCTCGCCAAAACGTTCGAAGTATCTATAAGTAAACAAAAAATATTACCAAAATTGTGTGAAAAAAACACAAATTTTGGCCGAACAATCAGCAATCAATCGTGGATCGGGATTTCTACCGTGCTCGGCCGGAGAAGTGGAAGTTTTTACCGACAAGTTCATTGAAACGCGTATACTATACTTCAGTAACAGTTGCGTCAGAATATCACTCGGTCTCAAATCAGCTAAGTAAGGCGGACAGTACAACTCATGGATCGTATGGCGGAACCCGCGGTTTTAGAAAATCAAGTTTTCGAAAACGAAACGAAATGTTTGTGGGTATTCGCGTACGGGTCCCTGTGTTGGAAACCTGGATTCTCATTTAGCAAGGCAGTTCCAGGATGTGTCAGTGGATACCAAAGGAGATTTTGGCAGGGAAACACGACCCATCGAGGAACCGAAGAACAGGTAAAATGTTTATATTTTATTTTATGTTATTACTAAAAATAAAACAAGGAAGTAACAACACCGGGATATTGTTTCGAGAAATAAACATCAATAAAACACGAAAACAAGTGATTCTTGATTTAAATTTCATTTGCGATCAAGAAGTTATTATTTCGATAGATTTTTAAACTTTCACTGTATTAATCAAGGCCCATTGTAACGAAAATTTATAAAAATGACCTCGGCCCTCTTATTACCTTCCCATAAATGGACCATGTCAAGTAAAATCCTAGATAGTTGATAAGAAAGCGCGGTTATGACGAATTAAAAATTAATTTTAAATTAACCGTTTTTATTTCAACCAAACAGAATATCTTTAAATTTTATTATTTTTAAATTATTCAATAAAATATGGTCAGTTTTTAAATAAACGATACCACGAATGAGGTTATATTATATCCAATGCGCTCATATTGATACATACATAGTTTTAAACATACGGTCAACGGTTGCCAAGCGTACAATTGTTATTGTTTATACAAATCTAATGATGCGAATTCTTCGAATATGCCATCTGGATGCCAGTCACAAATTTTGAAAAAATTTCATACTCTATTTTAAAATTAATTCTATAACAAATTAATTATACAGGGTGTCCCAGAATAAGTGCAGGTATTTTAACTGGTAATATATTTCGGCCTCAGAAACACACCTATGAGGTCTTTTTTGCGAATTTTTTTTTTTAATTTGGATTTTTTTGAAAAAATTTTGGAAATTTTTTTAGTTTTAAGTTAAAAACATAGTTTCTTGATAATATGGCAACATAGGTAGTAGATTAAATTTACATGAAAGAAAATCCAGAAAAAATCCAGTGGTTCTCGAAATTTAAGCAAAAAAGCATGTTTTCTTTAAATTTTCAAAGTAAAATAACTCGATTATTTTAGACTTACTTGAAAAACGGTAAAGAGAAAGAATGTTTCTTTTGACCAGATCGACCACCCCTTAAAATACTTGCACTTATTTCTGGGACACCCTGTATAGTGTCGCACATCCTGATAAATCGTTAAAAAAATTATAAAAATGTGAACTTTGTGTCATATAATTAATAAAAAATTTCACAAAAATAGTTTAAATACTAATAATATAAAAATCAATTTAATTATAAAATATTAAAAAAATCTGCTGTTTTCTTTGAAGCTCTGCTGAAGGTGGGTAACCAAAACAAGTGCCTTCTTCCTCTACTTAAAATCGAATTTATACAGGGTGAGTTACTTTAAATAAGTGCAAATAATTTTTGGGGGTAGTATATATTTTCAGTTAAAAAACATAATAGTTTGATAATATGACAACGTTAGGAAGTAGATTAAATTTACAAGAAAGAAAGCCCAGAAGAGATCCAGTGGTTCTAAAAATTTAAGCAAAGATCATTTAATTTTCTATGGTGGTTTTTTGGTCGAGATGTACCAGCCCTGAAAATATTTGGACTTATTCACTCATCATGTATAGGTACCAAAAATTTCTAAGGAAGTAGACAAAACAAAAATTTGTTTATCGATGATCTTATATATAGGAATAACATTTATTTTATCCAGATGGTTCCACAAAGACTAATTATTGATATCTAAATAGTTATTTGTTACTGTATAAAGATTTTGTAAAATAACCCTTGACCAGAGAAATTAGCCATCTTATCTTTAACAGAAGAAATGTATTGAATAATAATGAACTATATTGTTCATAATAAAAGAAGGAATGTCTAAAATATTGTGTTTATCTTTGTTTCAGCCAGGCAGAGTCGCTACATTAGTTGAAGACAGTGAAGTAAGTTATTATAACAATAAAATTTATCAGTCTGATATAATTGAAAGAAATGAAGAAAAGAGATACAAACTCATAGAAGTATAAAATACAAATATTTTCGGACCAAAAAACCGAATATACTTACAATTTTTTTTCTAGAAAATAATATATATAAAGTAAAAATATTTGTGATTATCCTATATGAAAATGGGATTATATTACTAGTAATTACATTACATGCAAAATGGAATAAGTGTATTAGTTAGTATATCTTGATTAGAATTTATATCAATTGTTTGCTAACAAGTCGCAATTGATGGTTAGCACTCATCCTGATTTATATGACGACTAATCCTAGTAATTACTACTTCATTAATATGGTATTTTTTGAGCAATGTGTGAATGTTTTGTTTCAGAACATGCGTATTGCTTATTGTCTTTGCTATCTAGTGCTTTTGTAAAATTTCTATGCATATTTGTCATAGGTAAAATCGCAAATATTTTCTACTTTACTTACTATGCCATACCAAATAATTTTTTAAAAAGAAAAATAGTTAAAAGAATTATGACTAACACGGCACAAATTTTAGATTTATTGAAATATCCGGTAAATGTGTTACTACATATATGAAGACCTATTTAATTTTATCCGTATTGTCTTTGCTCTAGGGTCAAGTATACGGAGTTGCATTTTCAGTCCATGGTGAAACAGCCCTGTCATACCTATCTCAGCGAGAATGTGAACAAGGAGGGTACATTTCAAAGTTCACAGATTTCCACCCAAGCGATGGTGAGTAGGATCCGATACCTTCCTGGAATTTATTCTAACTTCAAAACATCTTTTCTACCTCGGAGAATAATAATAAAATAGCTTTGTAAGAATAAGGAAACGCTCTGTCGTCTCAAAACAAGTGTTCAAAAGATTAAATTTCTTTTAAAAATAATGTATCGAAGCGAATTTAATATGGTGTATATATTCTGAATCTACATAAAATTTCCTACGAAAGCCGAATTTTTCATAATTTTACGACTATGTTTGCTATCCTTCCAAGGCCTTTAAAAATGTGTGAAAAAATAAGCTAAATAAAATGGTAGTTTTTTGACATTTGTCCGTGTCATGAAAATTGGCGATTTTGGTCATGTCACCGATTTTGGTAAAAATCATGTTATTTGGTAATTAAAAGGTGTAAAATAAGAAACTATAAACCAATGTAGTCTTACAGGAGCAGTAATGGATGTAGGACACGTTTCAAAAATCATCAAAATAGCTGAAAAATAAAGATACAAAAAATAAATTTTCTCACAAAGCCGAGGTACCTAAGTCTTTAAAGGTGAAAGTATTCTGAATCTACATAAAATTTCCTACAAATGCTGAAATTTTCATTATTTTGCGGCTATATTTACTATTTTTCTAAGATTTTTAAAAATGTGTAAAAAACAGCCAAAATTGGCATTTTTTCGACTTTTTTTCATACATATAGTCATGAAAATTGGCGATTTTTGTCATGTCTCCAATTTTGTTAAAATTGCTGCTATTTTCTAATTAAAAAGCGTAGAATAAGAAAATATACCAAGGTACCTAAGCCTGTATGGTGGTATGTATTTTGAATCTACATAAAATTTTCTACAAATACTGAAATTTATCACTACGTTTACTAAATTTCTAAGGCCTTTGAAAATATGTAAAAATACCCAAAAATTTGAATTTTTCGACTTTTTTCCAAACATAGTCATGAAAATTGTCAATTTTCGTCTTGACGCCGATTTTTTGCTGTTAAACTTATTAATTAAAAGGCGTAGAATAAGAAAATAAAACCATTGTGGTTCTACGTGTACAGTAGTAGTAGGGAAAGTTAAAACCATCTTCAAAAATAGCTCAAAAACAAGGTTTCAAAAAATTAATTTTCTCACAAAATCGAAGTATCTAAGCCTTCAAAAAGGTGTATATTCCGAATCAAACCCTGAGGTCATTCTTGATCAAAGATTTTCGTTGAGCAGTGTTTATTTATTGCTCTGAGTTGTCTACCTTTTTGTAGGTGCCCCTTTTACGGTACTATTGTACGTCGCTACACCACTGAATCCTTTATGGCTTGGAGATGCCGATACGGAGGAAATAGCCCATCAAATAATTAACTGCCGAGGACCAAGCGGGCACAACGTAGAATATCTAATTCGGTTGGCGAATTTTATGAGGAATTTTTTTCCTGATAAGCATGACCCGCATCTATACAATTTAGAAGAAAAAGTAGGTAGTTTATGTTTACTCGAACTGTAAAAAAATTATTTAGGGTCGATTTTATGGGTTCCGAACAAGTACAATTTGCATATAATTTAAGAAAGCGCTCCTTTCATTTTTGTTAATAATGTTTAGGTCTATTTATTTTTTTAATATCACTACAAACCTTTCTAAAACAATTTAAGTACCTACCTATTAATTATACTTTTACAGTTCTGCTTAAAACTCGTGGCATTAATTACTATAACGTTTATCCATTATCTTCTGTTGATATATTTTGTGTAATAATCTAAGGTTTTCTCTTAAGAGTCTATTACGCTGTACTGTTCGGGTCGCTCTCAAGGGTCGGGTAAAGCGGGTGTGTGGCCGAAGGAAATATATATTATATTTCAGAAATCTGCCTAAAGCCCCGTTCTCAGAACGACGTCGTGTCGCTGGCGACACAGTTTGACATTTCAAACAACCAATGGGAGCTGTACTAATTTTAAAATTGACAGCTGTTTGAATTTTGTACAAATCTCATTGGTCCTCTTGACGTGTAGCTGGCGACAGTCGCTGTTCTGAGAACGGGGCTTAAAGCTTAGCCCGATCCTGTCGTGTTAAGCCACACCCAAAATTCCAAACACACGTGCTTTGATTAAGGCTTGATTAAGGTTTGCAGAGCTTTTAGCATTTGCCATAAAATAGCAAGCAATTTATTACAAAACCATATAAATTATATATCACTGTAATCACAAAACTTCAATCTATTTCCGTATTGTAACAGAATTTTAAATTATGTCTTTATTTTCGAGAAAATTTAGGCCAAACATAAGGAATATTTTGTTGATGATTGACCATCAAAATCTTAAAAATAAAGAAGTTGCATAAAAATATGCTACAATACGGATATAGTATAATTCTATATATATTATAATTTACTTTTTTTTACTATTTATAATATTTTTATATTTAATTTCCTTCTTCATTAGTGTAAAAATACCTAGCCAGTTTTACATAAAACGTTAAATGCCGAACGCTTATTTTGCTATTTTTCGGATTGGTGAAATGGACTCTTAATGGTTCCAAACGATTTTAACAGCTCTATCTGCCTATAAATGATTAATTTACGACTGGGGACAAAATTAAATAAAATAAATTTACATACATAACACATTACACAATAGTATAATGCAAATTTAAATTCAAAAGCTATGTATATACCCTATCATGACGTATAATATACAGGGTCCGGCACTAATTAATAAAAAATTTGGGAATTTTGTTTAAGTGCAAACCTAAATTATGTACTAGGATGTATTTCCGGAAAATATTTGAACTTCTATAGAGTGGCTCAAAAAAGTGTGAGTGGATCTGTAACACCCTGTATATTCTTGCATTTTTGGCTTCCTTTCAGATCACTTTACATAATCCCAAGATATGAGTAAATCTATTTCGATAGTTTCAGAGATATTAAAAAATAAATCAAAGGTTTGACCAGCGGATCTGAAGCTACGGAATGAATGCGAGAAAAAAAAATCGATATTGCCACGTTTATCTATAAAATTGCAAAATTGCCAGACATGAACTATAAATTTAATATATTTTTATTATATATAATGTGTTTAGCATATATTCTGACGTATATTACTAAGGAATTTTAACGTAGTTCATATTGTTGGATATGTTTTATTTAATAACTTATTTCTTTCATTCTGTATAATCTGCTTATTACGAAAGGTGAAGATATTTCAACGATATCATTGGCAAACCGGCATCGCCGCGCACGGCCGCCTATTCATCGAACATGATTGGCGAGAGTACGTCACAGGATTTGTTACTACGCGGTTGCCATGGCTTTTACGCCTTTCCTATTCGCTAGCCTTATCCCCAACTTCACGGTTACTTCTGAAAAGAGTAGAAATATTGAATACTATTGAAATATCCAGTGGCGGTGTCATTGTTTTGATCATTATTACTTTCTCTCATTATTTTATACCGGTTATCCTAAACTTTATTCCTATATTTTTCGTATATTTAATAGTTAAAATGTGTTTTATTGTTTTGTTATATTGTTATAATGTTTTTCGTTCGTAGTTTTTAATTATTAATATTAAGTTTGATCGTATATTTGTGTTTTAAAATGAATAAATTTGTTAAGGGTAAGATGCTACATAGCCAGGACAAGAGAAATAATAGCTAATTTATATAGGTAAGTAGAATAATAATAATGTAATTATTAGAATACTAAAATTAAATATTGGCTAAAATGAAAAGCACCCACATTTTACCTAAATATTTTAGCTAAACTAACATATTTTAGCTAAACTAACATTTGGTTTATTTCCTTGTGTTCATAACAGGGTTTGCGACGAAGAAGCTACAGAGAGTTCGCTTAAGTTGCCGCTTAAACGTAAACTTGAGCGGATATCTCTTTATACCGGAGTTCGTATCGGCAATAAAAATATTCACACAGAAGATAAAAAAGACTGGAAACTAACCCCGATAAAATGATATCCAGCCCTGGAAAGAAACGGCTACGTGAGCTCGACGACTTTGATTTCCAAGTGGTCAGGAATTTGATAAATAGATTTTATCTCGAATTCAAAGTCGTCCCCACAATTAGAAAGCTTTTGCAAAAATTGTAGGAAGAATCGAATTTTCCTTTGGCAGGGACACGCTTAGGGGGTTATTAAAATCAAATGGATTTTTTTGGCGTAAATGTTAAAATAACAGATAAATATTAATGGAGCGGCTCATTATATTGCAGAGAGAGATATAAATATATACGCGAAATTCGAAAATTCGCCAAGTATTATCTATTTGGATGAAAACATGGGTAGACAATGACCTAACCTTTAAAAGTGCTGGCGGAGCGATACCATATCTGGTGTAATAGGCAATATTGGATCTACTGGTGAGTAAAATTATGTTTTGTTTGCGCTTCCAAAGTTAACTATTTTCAAGATTTTTTTTTGCTGGAAATAGTTATATCTAAAATTATGTATTGTAGAAAAAAAATATAGTTAGTACAGATATATAAATAAATATACCTCAAGACTCAGTCTTGATCATCTACTGATGATGTGCGGTTAGCGAATGTGATGGTTAGCGAAACGTGCGCCCAGTGTAAAAGTAAAAGTGTTTTGGTGTATTGTGCTGATTTAGTGTTTTATTTTGCTGTGTAACACCAAAGGTTCCAACCCCCAGCTGTACTGTTCTGAAATCAAAACTATATTAGGCATTTACTTTAGATGGTCTGTATTTCCTTTGCTATAAAGATGGAAATCATAAATCATACAGAATGTTCAAAATTCTACGCTAAACTTTCTAAAATATAAAATAATTTTTCTTCGTTTTTTTAAATGGAACACCCTGTATATTATTTTTTCAGTAGATGGAGAATTAAAAAATGAACATTTTTTGTGTTTAGAGTATTTCAAAATTTTTAACGGTTTCGCAGATATTCCCAGTTTTGTATTTCATATGGCATTTTCCACAGTAAATTTTCATCAAAGCCACCTAATGATTTTTCTCTCGTATTTTACCATTGAAAGTGCCATATGAAATAATACTGCGTGTAACCGGAAAACTATTAAAAATTTTGAAATACTTTAAATACAAAAAATGTTCATTTCTTAAGAATGTTCAAGTTATCAAGAATATCTGGCTACGCAACTAGGAAATATGGTTACATGTGGCTGGAGGAACAGACAAGGTCATCATCAGGTTTATTGGATATATATTGTTCTATATAGTTCTTTAAGTTCATATCTTATTATATTTTATTCATGTTGTTGACAGCTTAGTATATATCTTATAAGTGAAGTGTTGACAGAAAAGAAGAATAAAGAAAGAAACACATATACGTTACAATAAAAGAATGGGATGTAATTCACGTCTTTTGAATCTTAGCAACTATTGCATGTTTAGAATATAAGGCCGATGACGAGCCGTCGATCCAAAACCAGAAAGTTCAAAATTTCAATTATATTCTGATTATGATATTGTCTAACGCCATCTGGTATTCTATTTGTGCAATTTTAGCTCTTTCATTTCAGTATTTTTTCTGTTGCGTAGCTGAATATTCTAATGATTCTATGCTAAACTTTCTAAAATATAAAATAATTTTTCTTCGTTTTTAAATGGAAACACCCTGTATATTATTTTTCAGTAGATGGAGAATAAAAATGAACATTTTTTGTGTTTAAGAGTATTCAAAATTTTTAACGGTTTCGCAGATATTCCCAGTTTTGTATTTCATATGGCATTTTCCACAGTAAATTTCATCAAACCACCTAATGATTTTTCTCTCGTATTTACCAATGAAAGTGCCATATGATATAATAATACGTGTAACCGGAAAACTATTAAAATTTTGAAATACTTTAAATACAAAAAATGTTCATTTCTTAATTCTCCATCAAATAAAAAAATAATATACAGGGTGTTCCATTTAAAAAAACGAAGAAAAATTATTTTATATTTTTGAAAGTTTGGCGTAAAATATTGAACATACTGTATGATTTACGATTACCATATTTATGGTAAAGTAAAAACAGACCATCTAAAGTAAATATCTAATATAGTTTTGATTTCAGAACAGTTCTTGTATTTTTAATATTTTTTTTAAGAAGGGTTGAAAAATATATATTTTTGATTTATTTTTTAATATCTCTGAAACTATCGAAATATATTTACTCATATCTTGGGATAATGTAAAGTGATATGAAAGGAAGCCAAAAATGCAATAATATACAGGGTGTTCCATTTAAAAAAAATCATCCAGATCCACTGACACTTTTTTGAGCCACCCTATAGAAGTTAAAATATTTTCCGGAAATACATCCTCATACATACTTTAGATTTGCACTTAAACAAAATTCTCAAGTTTTTTATTCTATGAGCTACAGATGCCCGACGCACTATTGCCGGACCCTGTATATATTATTGTATTTTTTACGTTTTCTAATATCTTGGAGGTCTGAAAATACCTCTCATACTTGGAAAACTTGGGCGCACGCAAAAATGGACACTTTAAAATTTTGATGTATTTTACCGATTTTGATGATCCTTTTACTATCTCTCTAAATTGAAAATGAAAGTGTCGATCTGTAAATTATACGAGAGAACACAAAATGTTGTTATCTTGGTGAAAGTTGATGCATCTTTTCTCGATAGTTTATTGTTTGATTTATCTCAATAGCTTCATTTTTTTTTGAAGATCGCATTTAAAAAAACATTAACATTTTTTCGTAATTTTTACATTAAAACCACGCCATTGCTTTTGATCCCAGTCAACAGACCTATGAAATAGTGTTTATGGTTATTATTGTTTATGAGTTTATGATTATATTATTTATCATTTCAAAAAGAAACTTTCACCATAATATCAACATTTTTATTTCCCTCGTATAATGGGAACTTTCATTTTTAATTTAGAAAGATACTAAAAAGTCAAATAATCTAGCTACAAATATGTACAGTACGTCTGCTGGATCTGTGTCTATGAAAGGAATGCGGACAAAAAACATTTAAATAAACAGCAATATATTTTATACGTCGACTTGACGAGTACACCGCAAATCGCTCCGCCCACTCATTTTATTGGCTACTTGCAAATTTGTCGAATTTTTATTGATGGGACGCGTCGTTTAATTTTTTACGAAAAACATGGAGAGAATATCATTTCCCCTCTCACGGATACCCCGTAGCTACAGAACGGACAGATGTACTGTAGCTTACGCTTCGTCCTACGTGGGAGACAAAAGCGCGCGATTCGGGCGGTGCGAGCGACGCGTATTTATCAAATAACGTTTTCTTACGAAGCTGTCGTCCTAGGTAGGAGAGTCGCGCGACTGAAGCGGCATTGCAGGCAATTTAAATATATCGCGCTAGTCGCGTTCATCGCCCTCTGTTGTCGCACGCGTCGCTTGCTCGCTTTTGTGTCCCACGTAGGATAGGCAATTTAAGCAATAGCTTTAAAAAACATCAAAATCGACTCACTAGAAATATTATCAAACTTTAAAAAACAAAAATTTTAAGGTGTCCGTTTTTCGTGCCGGTGAGTGTATAAACAATAAAAATGATTATCTAGTTCTCCAATGAATAAAAGAATACTTTAATTTCAGGTATTAAATCTAGTTGAAATGAGAAAGTTATGTCTGAAAACGCTTATGGGATCTGGAGAGGGATGCATCACCTTTATCAGGAAGTCCAATTCGAGGGAATCCAGCCCTGATGACGAAAGACGGCGAGACGAGAACCGGGTCGAAACGTTCGAACACACTGCTAGAGTTCCGGGGAAAAAACTGCGCTGTCTCAATATCTAAGAGTATTTTACTATTTATTACGTTATTAACTGAACCATTGTGATAAAACTATTTTATATATTATAAATATGAGTTATATTAACTAATTTTTAAGTTATTCCGACGATATTTTTTATAAGTTCCTTGAAATAAAATTATGGCAAATTCCAGCGCAGTGTTCTTAACCCTTGTGTGTAATTTTTTTGGCAAGTCGGCTGCTTCTGACGCCAATTAAGCGGTTTATTTGTTTCAATTTATTTATAGATTTGACGATTTTGAAGAAATTACGATTCCGAGATAGATCACTTTGTTTACGCCTGGACACCCCAAAATAATATGCTAAAAAAATAAAATTACATTGATATTAAAACAACCATCTAGTTTAATATGAGAATACATACATAGAAGAAAATGACAAATATTTAGCTTCTCGTCTCACAAAATCAATAAATCACTCCGAAGTAATTTTCGATTCAACTTTTCATATATTTGGCAACGTTGCCAATAAAGTTTGATTGACTTTATAATTTCACAATATTTGATAATGAAGAAAATTAAAAGCATATTTGAATTCTACTTTGGCGCGATTCTCACTATGACGTACATTTAAACATATTTTATTCTACTAGGCCCATATTGATGAGTTTTTAAGCAATATGTAACTAAATTATTTGTTTGACTTTTTAGTATCTCTTCTAAATTAAAAAAAAAGTTCCCATCTGTCAATTATACGAGGGAAAACAAAATGTAGATATTTTGGTGAAAGTTTTTGATTATAGTGTGGTGAAAACAGCAAGGAATTTAAAAAGCATTTTATCATCAAGGTACATCCTAGTTTGATTTTTGGTCACATAAATCACAATAGCTTTATTTTTCTTGGAGATATTCGTTTTTGAAGAAGACACTAACATATTTTCGTAATTTTTACATTAAAACCATGCCTTTGCTTCTGGTCCTAGTCAAGAACTCTAGTAAGTTGCGGTCCCGAAGCAGACCTTCTTGACATAAGATTTGCTTCGATTAATCTTCTTCTTACAGTCCCTTCACTTACATGTAGATTTAGATTCATGTTTCTGATTCATTATAAAGTTGAAAAGCTACAAACTTTATTTATTTGATTAAGTTATTTTATTTAACTGTTAATTTTAGTAATTAAATAAAAAAAATGATATCACATCATCGAAAAAAAATATATTTCTAATTTTAACAGTAACATAAAAAAATATTTAAAATATTAATAATTATATGTCTTCATTTGCTATAAATATCTGTAAATAAAATAAAGCAACATATATTATTATTTTAAAGACCCTGTATAGAAGCTTAAAATTACGATTAAAAAGTACATCAATTTCTGATTAATAAAATCAAATTCAAGTTTACGTATTGATGCGAATTTTTGACACACATTTAAACATTTTTACCCAACAAACTAAACGTCTGCTATATTTCCTGTTCATCACTTTTATTCCTTCGTATTTCCAGTTCTTGTTGCAATGGATTTTCTATTTTTCCTACAAAGAATACTGTACCTTCCTTGTCTTCTTGTAAGAAAAATAAGAAAGGATGACTTGCGTTAAAAGTGCTGTCAGGTACGCCAATTTTATTACCAACTATCACATCTAAATGATAATGAAAACTAAGAAAATATATTGAATAATTCAATTTTTATAATACAGACCTGTGGCAGCATATGCTATGCTTCCTTCCTCGTCTACTTGTATACCGGTAGTCTGCAATATATCTGATACAACAAGTTTTCTTAGTATACTAGAATGACCTTTGACGATTTGTGTAAAACTTGCGGTATTTTGAAACATTGTTCGAAAACCATACTAAAAATATAAATTTAATAAAGGATTCTGTCACCTGTCATCTCAGTAGTCACTCACGTCTTTCAGTAAGTTATAGTAGCTAGCCTTAAACTTAAATTGGAATTTTGGAATTGACACTTGGATTAGTTTTTTGTTCATTTGGAAAAGCTCTCGGTGAAGATCTACCAAATTTATTTTCCTGATGAGTTCTGGTAAGCCTCCTTTTGATAGTGGTAGCACAATAAACATTGAGATATTACTACTCTAAAAATCAAGTTAACGTATCAACTGAAACTCTAACTCTAATATGTCAACTTATTAAGAACATTTTAAGGGTACATGGGAAAACACTGTTACTGCATAAAAGTTAATTCTGGGAAATATAATAAATTGAAAAATAAAAATGTTCGTCAGACAAATACTCAATTTCACTCAGACAATTTATTTAAAAATAAAACCCTTAAACTTGATTTGCAATAAATTACTAACAGTGCGACATATTTAAAGATATACTATTGAGAAATTGCCTCTAGGAAAAATATACTTAAAAAGGGCTTGCAACAGTCTTGCAGCAAAACCAAGACCAAGACTGGACCTTGCAAAACCAATACTAATACTACTAATTAACTACAAGACCAATACCCAGAGAGTCTTGGTCTTGGTCTCGCATTTGCTCATCACTAAAAATATCTAAATACAACTATTCAAGAGCACCTTAGTTTTTAGCAGATACGTCTATTATATACCGTTGCTGTTCTGTTTAAGTACCCTTCTATTAATTACAGTCTATTTCGTTGTTACCAACCGTTATTGTCTCACAAACCATAGATATACATATCTAAAAAAGCTATGGGTATTTCACCACTGAAACAGAAATCTAAAAAATAAAATGTTATTTTTTGTAAAGCTTAGCGTTTCAGGAACTATTGTATCTTCATCTAACTACTATGAGTACACTTTAGTTTTTTAGCAAAGGCACGTTATGTTCTCAGAGATTGACAAAATTATTTTTTAGTTTCTAGATTCTATTTCAGTGGCGAAATACCCAACCTTTCTTCAAAAAGTTAACCCGCGACGAAGGTACAGACATTATTAATAAAGCTAGTTAAACCATATTATAAATACAAAAAAATATAAATATATTCACCTTATATGGCAAACGTAAAATTTTGGCATCTAACACAGAAGATTCATAATAGAAGAACTGTTCAGTTATAGTCATAAAAGGTATATAAATAGCCTGTTCTGGAGACACATAAAATTTATCTACCTTTGTATTTTCTTTTGGAAATTTATACCTCCAAATACCTTTGAAATATACAGCATTGGCAAGTAACAGTGTCATAGCATCTAAATCCTCTAAAATCGAAAAAAAAAACATATAAAACAGTGGATACAATTTTTTGAAAGACTTTGGAAGAGTGGCCAGAAGCCAACGTTTACATTCAATCAGTTGACTGCTGACATAGGGTCTGAGAGACTCCACCGCCATTTTGGCGCACGATTACTCTCACCATACCATGCGACATACTGCTCGGGATACCCTTCTGATTTTTTATATGTTTTAATCTACTGAAAAGAGTCTGATAGACTCCGTGTCAGCAATAGTGAAATTTTTCAATAACGTTGCCACACAAGACTAGGCTATTATTTATATGTAATTTAAACTCTTACCTGGCTGTGTTAAATGCGACACCAGCCCTAAAGTGGCTTCTTCAACCCATGCGTTAATCTGAGAACTGGCTGATTCGGGATCAGAAAAATTAGATGGCACTAAATCAGTATAATAATACTGTTTAATCGTCTCAGCATATTTCTCTTTTGCTTCCACGGAGCTATCCAAAAATAAGCTAGTGCAAATTTTAAGAACATTTTCGCCGTCTGTACTATTCTAAAATACTGCTGGCTACAGAAACTAAGTAAGGTTACAACAAAATTGCATACTAACTTGAAGTGCATCGAGGGAACTTTTGAACTCTTCGCGCAAAGTGTCTTTTTGTGTGAATCGAAGCACACTTTCGAACTCTCTTTGAGTAGCACCACTGGATCCTTCATACAAAATAGCAAGAACTAGTCTTAAGCTAAGGGGTGAGATCAAAACATTGCTAGATTCATTAGATAAAGTCTAAAAAAAGAAGGCAAGGATTGTGTATAAAAATACAATTAATCAGATAAAAATACCTTTAATAGTTTCCAGTCAAATGCGTCAGACCACTGTATATTTGGATAAAAGTCATCTATATCATCTACGTTAACATTTGTTTCGTTCGTTACATTTTGACACAGAACGGAATTCAACAAGAATCCTAAAAAAGAGTATCCAATTGAAGAGATAGTTTAAAAGGAAGAAACTTAACCTTACCAAGCACAAAATACAGCAACATTCTGTAAACAATTCGCACTAATACTAATTCGTTATTTTTGTGGCTTTTTGATAAGCCGGCTATAAGAGATGAGTGTAAAATCCAGTTAGTCAAGGTCCGGTTTGTACAACGCAAGTACGGGGATCCTCCGAACAGTAAAAACATGGTAAAAACCAGCGATTATCGTTTAGTTCTACTTCCATGTTCAATTGAATGCGGACCACGTTTGCTGCAGAGTCCAACAGCAATAGCAAAATTCGCAGGATTCATTTATAAATCCGTAAAACTATGGAATATATAATTTTGTTATTAGAAGTTAAATCTGTTATGACGTTCCGTCAAAAACTAATATAGATTATAGGAAGAAATTCTTCGATTTTATGTATTTCTATATAAATCATCCTGTACAATACAAATTCATGCGCAATCACTCATATGCACTTAAGTCCAGGGTCCGATACAATAAAAATATTCAAAGAATCTTTTGTGTAATTACTATTACATGTTGTACAAAGAAACTGTTATCTTTTATACATCTTATATTAGAAATACGCTACGAATAACATCAGTGTCTAATTTCAGAATAAATTGATTGATGTCTAAACATTATTAAAAAACGCATTTTTCAAAGTTAAGGTATCTAATGAAATGAGCTATTTTTAAAAAATAATATTAATTAAAAATTATTTATTATTATGGTCAGTGTAAGAGTATTTAATAATGCAAAAACAATTACACGAGATAGTGAGTTTGCAATTTGGTATAATTTTTTCGATAGTATTCAATAAAATGTAAATTCATTACAATCAATTATAAATTAGATGCATTGAAGAGATCCAAATGGCAATTTTAATTAAAATAGGTATTATGAATTTTTAAATATGAAAATTAAGCATAACAAATTATTCTTTTATTTAAAAATGAATCTGAAATTAGAAATTCATGAAAAAATATAAATATTCAAAGAAGCTTTTGTGTTATTAGGTGGAGTACAAAGAAAGTGTTTTCTTTTATACGTGTTATTAGACATGCTATTTTATTCACATTTATAATCGCTAGGAAATATATTTTACATTACAAAGATTATTTGACCACTTATAAAATAAATTATTCTTCGCATTTCTATAATTTTATGTAAACCATTGGGTAAAATACAAATTTATTAATAATAATCAATCAAACGTAATGAACTCAACAAGGTGGGCTTCTATAAAAATATAAACTTCAAAAAATCTTATATGTTATTAGCCGTTTAGTAAAAACTGTTATTATTTAATGAATCTTATTAGAAATACGATACATATAATATATATTAAAATATTTTATTTTGCAGATTCTCTCAATCTGCAAAATAAAATGGACTAAGGGCAAAGTTTACAGCTAAGGGAGAATTTTAAAAATAGTATATTATATTTTTATTAGTTTATTTCTTAACTAATTCCAATTAAATAATAATAATATCTAAAATAAATGACCTGCTTACAATAATAAATAAAAAAGCACATATTTTTTGTAGGGAAAATAGAGGGTGGCACCTCTCATATGACGCGGAGGCTCCAAAAGGAACGGTAGCTTATATCCATAAGAAATTTTGGGAGCATAGGTATGTGGGTTAATTGAAAGAATTTTATAAAAATATATAGAGTTATACAGTGTGTCCCCAAAAAAAGTTACACATCAATGTTGTGAGTTTTGTAATGGAACACCCTATACCGGGTGTGTCTCAAAAGTGGCTCACCCCTATAACTTTTTTATTTTTTCAGTTAAAAATACGAGATTTGGTATGTTAGCATATGACATAAATTAAGATTGATTGACGTATTCAATTGTTTACGGTCACTTCCTGTTTCACCGGAAATGACTACAACTTTTGATTTTTAAATGTCACCCTGGGTATTTTTTTACTTTTTTCGATAGAAAATAACACACTGAAGATAATGACATATATGTCAACTTTTGGCATTTTCGCATATGGTTTATTTGAAATTATTACTTGCGGTTCGTAACGAAAATTTGACTCGAAATACCAAGTGTGTGGTATCAAATTATTAGTAAAGCTTTTTCTCCTAGAATCCGAAAATCTATTACAAAAAAACACAAATTTAATACGTAATTTTTTTGGGGACACCCTGTAGAACTCTCTGTATCTTTAAAAAAGTGCTCTGAATTAACATACATACATATGCTGACAAAATTTCATTCCAATACAAACTGTCGTCTCCTTAGAGCCTCCACGTCATAATATGAGAGGCGCCACCCTGTACATGAATACACGGAACAACATTTAATAAACTAAATATAAAATATTTGCTGCTATGGCCTCTATTAAGCATCGATTAAGTGTCATTATATAATACTGTTTAATAAGACAAAGTCATTTATATAAGATAATTAGTTAGCAATTTAATAGCATTTTTTCCGATTGCATATTGGAATTCAGTATAATATAAATAATGTATTTTAAAGATTTAAAATTGGCATAGAAGACATCCAAATAACAATTTTATTTAAAATACCTGAAATTCTCTTTATATTAAAAAAATTATGAGATATTTGCTTCAGTTTTTCCGTAATATATGTATTTTCTTTTAAATTATCTTACATTTATATTATTATTATTCCATTTCATAACTTTGATCACTTTGATAATAGATTTCTATTAGCAGAAGCCCGACTTAAGTGATTAAGTCAAAGGCAAAAATACAAATAGCGTTAATAAATTCAATAATAATTATTCTTAAACAATATATGTACGTACATATATAATAAAAGGATTGTTTTCCTTAGAATTCTGGAAAATCCATATATTCAGCTGTATAGGTAATAATGAAAATAAATATAAACAAACCAATATTTACAGGACAGGAGTCTTTTTTGACACTATTTTCTATTACATAATTTTTTTTATACAGATTCAGAGTATATTTGGTTTTATGAGAAAATTAATATTTGGGCCGTCGTTTTTGAGTTTATTGATATAGTTAAAACTTCCCCTACAACGAATACTGTAGTCGCAAGACCATAATGGCCTATATTTTCATATTCTACACCTTTTAATTAGTAAATAATTGCAGTTTTAACAAAATCGGTGATATGACCAAAATCGCCATTTTTATGACAAGTATGTATATGGGGAAAAAAGTCGAAAAAATGCTCATTTCTTGCTATTTTTTATACAGTTTCAAAAATCTCAATATATCAATCAATATAGCCATAAAAAGAAAAGCAATTTGAAAGTGTCACAATGTGTAGGAAATTTTATGTAGATTCAGAATATATGAAGGATCCAGAAATAAAACAAGGAATGTTTGTCCTGTCCTATGTTTGTTTGGTTGAAATCGAGATTACTATATATGTAAATAATTATATTTGTTATTTTTCTATATCAAAATAAAATAATATATATATAAGGGTACAGGGTACTGATATAACTATAGAAGCGTCCGCAGAAATTAACACTGAAAATCAGCTGGGCTCATATTAAACCAGGTACATCCATACGCTAAAACCCACTCTAACTAGCGATTATATTTTTATAACATTCCTTTTTTGCCCTTAAAGGCGTATATTATAAGCATAAAACGCCTGTACCCTACATATACACTTTTAAGGGCTTAGATACCTAGGTTTTGTGGCAAAATTTACTTTTAGACAATTGTTTTTGAACTTTTGGATTGTTAAAAAACATCCCCTACAACTAATACTGTACTCGTAAGACCACAACGGCCTATATTTTCATATTCTACAACTTTCAGTTAGATATAGAGAAAATTGTCAAGTTTCATGACTCTATGTATGGAAAAATGCTCATTTTTGGATATTTTTATATATTTTCAAAGGTCTTAGAAAAACAGTAAGCACCGTCCTAAAATTATGAAAATGGCAGCATTTTTTGTAGGGTGTAGGAATTTTAAGTGGATTTTTGGAACCAAAGGTTCCAACGTCCAACAACTAATTGGTATTTATTATCATTCTTAAACAGAGACATGACTATGATGTATTTAGGCAAATAACAGATATATTGTGTATCTACATTTGCTTGTAACTGTGTAGATGACGCTCGACCAATTAAAAAAATACGTTTCGAGTTTTTGAAAATGTGCGTTTTTAAGTGACCTTAGTGTTCAATATATGTCATTGACCAGCGCAACCTTAAATAAATCTTGAGGTGAAAAGCAAAACTAACGACCACTCAAGAATTTATTTCAATATAATGGAGATTAGCATTTATTTATAGAAAAATATTTTCCAATGCACTTAACGATTATTCGTTGCACGATTACGATTTATTTTAGCGCAAAGCCACTGATTCCACGTTACAATTTACATATTTGTTACTTGTTGTTTGTTATTATTTTTAGTGGCGAGAAAATATATGGCGATAACGTGAACGATGTGTGTCGTAAAACGATGCACCAGTTCAACCTGTAGCAGTAGTAAAGTATTTTCTTACTATAATAATTTAGGTCACACTTCTATTGACCCAATAAGATTTATTTCGGATCCATATTCAGTATCAAATGCACGAGCTCTACGCTCCATTCTGATAAATCTAAATTTCGCCTCTTATCATTTTGCCACACGCCTTAAATTAGTGGTTTATAAAACAGAAGATAGTGAACTATGTTTGATTTATGGCTGTCAAATACTCATGAATAATACTCTTTACATTTTCTACTATACCTGACTTTTGAGGGAAATTTTTATTATGACAAACATTAACTGTATTTTATTTTTTAAACGATTTGAAATGCGTGGATGACTAGCATATATGCCAAATACCGGAAAAGAAGAAAATGTTATGATAAGGAGATGTTAAAAGGTTACCAGAATATTTATGTTCCTGATTCTAAAATATCACGCATTAAATAAAAATTTCGATGCCATCTTATTTAACTGATTGCGCGGAACACACGAACCTTATTAATAAAACCAAACAATTAAATTTAACCGAAGATTTCTAAATTTATCATTTATCGGTAATTAGCAGTGTCTGAGTGTGACACGTTGTCAATGCAAATATTTCACAAAATCATGGATATTCTTTTTAAGCGATCACGTCCAATTATCGTGTTACGAATTTCTTCGTGGCTGTTTAGTATCCAGGAATTCGCTAAATTGTGTAAAAACCACGTTTTGTTTGTGCTCTCGAATTATGACTTAATTATTTTTTTAAATCCTAATCGTTGACAAACAATTTTGAAAAAAATACTGAGTAATTTGTCCGAAGATAATGAAGCATTTTAACGATTTCGGTTAATTTAAATAACCACAAAATCGAACCGTACATATCGGAGTGTTAAACAAGTTCGAATTGCAATAACAACTACTTGCAAATAGGTTTTCATTTCAAAGTGTTGGAGTAGAAATAAACATACAACAATATAGCACGTGCCCGTGGCGACATTCCTCGATTTATTATCAAATTTTACCACTATGTTACTCTAGTTCCGATAGAGATATATCAGGTTCAAGGTTCAAGAAATCATTCGAAACAGAAATGCTATAGAGATGGTGGGGTAGAGTTTATGTTTAAGAGAGAAATTCCCAGCATCAATTTAAAACAATTTGTAAACAAGTCGGTGTCTTTCTGAATCTTTTTCAAAATGTTTCGCATCAGACTCTCGCTCGTGCTAATGTTTATTGTGCCAATTTTTGGCGCGATTTTCAAACTGCCCTCGTTCCATCTAACCGATACAGACGATGAACTTCCACCGATTGAGAACAGTGTTGATGAGGATTACGAAGCCGAACCCTTTGCTGCCCTTAGTGAACAGGAATTTACCGCCCTTCGCATAGAATACATCAAGAACCAGATCTTGAAGAAATTGAGGCTCAAGGAAAAGCCGCAAATAACCTTGGCCGATCTTCCAAAGCCGGTCAAGGAATCGGAAAACCTTTTCCCCGACCAGGACAGGAACTTCCTGAGCAACTACGACGACGATTTTTATGGGAAAACTACCCAGGCTGTGGTGCTTCCCTATGAAGGTGAGACATTTCTTGAAGGCGAGTGAAGTGACCATTATAATTAAATTAAATATTATATACATTCTTGTTAATTTTCGATAAATATATCAAATAGAGTGCTAAATTAAAACGTTTTTTTTAATATTCGCCATAGTGTCAAGAATTAATCTTAGTCTCTCATATCAAAGCTAAATATATAAAGTGTATTGGGTTATCTAGTACCATCCATCCACTCTGGCGAAGAACTAAATGGAATCAATTATTTACAATAACAAACAAAACAAGTTATATAGTTAGTGTTTACAACTTAATGGTACAAAGTTTAAATATAGTATCATATATCACATAAAAGATGTAAAACGATGATCCATGTTTTTTTCACCTTGTCCAGTTTGATACAAGTATTCTGTTATTAATTTTGTGTTCAATTATAATACGAAAATATTATAACATAAAGCATGGCAAATAATACTCTTAAATTTATCCTTCTTATTCTGTAACATAATAATTGTGCAATCTTATCGAAACGAAGAATTTTTAAAAGTCCCAGATTGTCTCGAAATTAAACTGATGAAATTTTTATGAAAATAACACAAAAGGACATTCATATAAAATTTACACGTGTTAATTCCAGATGAAGCCCGCTGTTTGAGGAAAGTTATATTTCCATCGTCATGCCTTCCATTTCAAATGCCCAACGACATCCACAGCTCGGATGTAAGCTCTGCAGAACTATGGTTCCACAAGAAATCCGATGTGATGGACTCGCACAATCAGACTTTCATCATTTCCGAAGTTGCTCACTGGGATACGAATAAAAGTTTCCAGAAAACCAAACCCATTGCCATCCAGGAGACAGATTTAGAAGGTATAAAAATATTCTCTTATGATATAAATTCTCCTAAAATTAATTTCTTTAGAGGTTTATTACTGGAAAATAGCTGAAAACGTTTTATGAACTTTATTTTTACTTTTTAGTTTTCTATTTTAGTAACGAAATATCCAAAAGAACCTTGGAAAAGACAATCGATGACGTTTTAAAATGTAAAATTATATGATAAATTTAATACGATCGTAAAAAAACAGCGTCACAGATGGTTCAGAAATAAAAATCGGCTTCATTTTGTATGTAAAATTATATGGAGAATATCATCGATCGTTATTTCCAAGCTAACTAAATGTCGTTTTTTCGATCATACGGTACTTATACTATACGTATAAACTTTGCACATCAAAATCAGTTCAATATGATAACTTAAATAAAAATTATTCTTAAATATTATTGCTATTAGTCATAAAATATTTGACAGAAGTGAATTTATTACAATTAATGAAAATAAATAATACGGTAATATACTCTAATATCTAAATTCCCAGTTACAAAGTTTTATAAATTCATAAATAGAAGAAAGAGTTTTCCGAAATTAATTATTGATAGTAAATAAATCTAAGAAATGTGAACAGAAGTTCAAAGATTAAAACAAACTGCCTAAACAATAAATAAATAGGATTTTAAAAAATCCAGGACAATTTTTCTAAAAAAACAAACTATTTCACAATCTCAATCTATAAGTCGCATTTTTACTTTTTAAGTTTTGCTCAAAAACAATATATTAAGGCATATCTGTCATAAACATGATTTTGTAAATATAATACATAAATAAATTAATTAACGGAAAAAAAAATAATAAACAAGTATTTAACCAGGAATCTGACAATCTGTAAATGCAATGTTATCTCATAAAAATTCTACAAAACGCTACTAAAATTTTATGTTTATTAATATTAATACTGACCATTAATACACAAAACCGATTATAATTATTCTGATGGATGAGTCTTAAATAAGAGCAAATATTTTTAGGGGTAGTATATTTCGACCCCAAAAACACGATGAGATTTTTCGGGAAAAAAAAAATGAAAATTTTTTTTTAGTTCTTAGTTAAAAAGTTAGTTTTTTGGAAACGTTAAAAGTGAAATAACTCGGTTATTTTGGACTTATTTGAAAAACGGTAAAGAGAAAATATGTTTCATTTATCGAAGTATACCAGCCCTGGAAATATTTGCACTTATTTAGGACTCACCCTGTATATACCAATATCTATTTATTAATTATTTACTTCTTTAAAATAAATGCATTTTAGTAAAAACATAAAAAGTAAGTTGATAAAATTTAGTTTGGTTAGGTTAGGTTGTGAATGAATATAGATATTTTGACATTTTTAATTTACAGAGGGGTGGCTAAAAGTGGATGTGACTTTCGTCGTAAAAAACTGGCTTGAATATCAGGACAATCCCATTCACGCTATCAACGTAGTGTGCAAAACTTGCGGAATCGACAAAAGCCAATCACCGCTCTCGTCTTCAGGTGACCTGAAGCCTTTCCTCATCATTTACACGCATTCGCAGCCCAAAAGGACTTTGCTCCATCGAAGGCAGAAGCGTTCCTTGGAGTGCAGCGTCTCGAAAAACGAATGCTGCAGAGAAAGCCTCAACATCTCGTTTGCAGATATTGGATGGGACGATTGGATTATCAGGCCAAGATATTACAACGCGTATTTTTGCAGGGGATCCTGCACCACACCCACGGCAATTATGAATAGCGCCAGCACGCATAATAGTATATTACAGGTAAATAGTATACTGGGTGAGTCTTAAATAAGTGCAAATATTTTCAGGGCTAGTAGATCTGGATAAAAGAAACATATTTTCTTTTTACCGTTTTTCAAATAAGTCCAAGATAATCGAGTTAATTTACTGTGAAAATTTGAAAAAAAATGTTTGCTTAAATTTTGAGAACCACTGTATCTTTTCTGGATTTTTTTTCTTGTAAGGTTAATCTGCTACCTATGTTGCCATATTATCAAGAAATTATGTTTTTTAAGTAAAACTAAAAAATACTAAACTTATTTTTTCCCGAAAAAAAAACTCATGGGCGTGTTTTTGGGTATTTGCACTTATTTAAGAGTCGCGCTGTATAGTTATTATATATTAGATATTCTACTATATATATTAGACAAGAAATAACTATGAAATCTATCAAACTTGTATAAGTATACATTATGAACAAGTTGATAGAAAAATAATATTTTCAGTGAACACAAGCCATATTCTCAGTTGCAGACATTTACTTAAAGGTCTCTTGCCTGTAGAAAAATATATAAAGCAATATAATATGATCTACATACAATATTTTCATTCAAAATAAGTATTTAAAATGTTAAAGTGGTATTAATACAATAAACAAAATAACTTTAAAAATCAGTCTAAAATTTAAATAAGTAATAATAATTTTGTAATAAAATTTAACTAAATTCACAAAAATATCTTCCAAGCAATGGCACAGATGAAATATACAGGACGAGTCTTAAATAAGTGTAAATATTTTCACAGGGCTGGTAGATCTCGATAAAAGAAACATAAAATATATTCTCTTTCGCGTTTTTTAAATAAGTCCAAAATTACCGAGTTATTTTACCTTGAAAATTAAAAAAAATATTGCTTAACTTTGAATACCACTGGATCTTTTCTTGATTGCTTTCTTGAAGAAATTATGTTTTTAACTAAAATTAAACAAAATTCATCATAGACTACCACTAAAAATATTTGCAGGTATTTACGATTCACCCTGTATTTTATAAATTCCAAAAATTATTAAGTGCCACATTAAAAATTAACGAAATATTTTTTTAAAAGTCTATAAGAGTAAAATTCAAATTCCATTTATCAAGGAATATTGTGTAATTATAACGATTTATTCTATTAAATTAGACAAAAAGCGAAGGATGAAATTTTGAACAAGATGATGCCATGTTCAATGACACTCAATATCAAAAGAATTATTAATCAAACGGTTTAACGAAAAGATAGTTAGATAAAATTCTAATTTTAACAGTTTCAATATTTTCTTAAATTTATTAACGTTTAAAAAGTAAGGCTTTAAAATGATAAACAAAATCGAAAATTAATTTTTAGATAATTATGGAATGTTATGCAGATAATTTAGAGCTATTTATTTAGTCTTTTATACCTAGATAATAAATATAGCGCAGATAACCTTATTTTTTGTAGTTTGATATTACCAAAAATTTCAAAATCAAAAATATAGGATTTGCTGATGAAATATTGATCACATAAAGAAGCGTTAAAATAACTGAAAATATATCTTATAAATATACGTATAATAAATAATACATTTATAGCGTGGAAAAGGTTAATATATTCACATATTCACACATAATAATTAATGTTTAATAAATATAACATTAGAAATTTTTTATTACACTAAACACTACGTTACTCTTAAAAAAATATTTATGAAAATCATCAGCCAAATTATAAGATTAAAAATGCTAAATATATCCTAAATTAAGCTTTTGCCAACTAGCTCATTTTATTAATAAGATTATTATATTTTTAATTACGCCTTAAACATTGTAACATATTTCTAATACAAGATTATGTCTTACGATATCTTCCGTGATAATATTAAAAATATATTAATTTGTTTACTACTTAAATTAGCAATAAACATTTCATTTCCTTTTAAATAACTTATTTTATAATCAAATAAAATATAATGATGTGTTATTGCAAATTCCAAATTTAATATTTATGTATAATATTTTTTTTATTTTCTATATTTTAATTAACCTTGTATCTGGTTCAGTTAAAAGCCGTTATAAAAATAGCAACATCATAGTTGGAAATCGCTATAACTTAATTTTAAAAAAAATTGATTTTTTTTATTACAAAACTGAACTGATAAGTCCAGGATATGTTTTATAACACGATGTGATTTAATGACTTTCACAAGAAGGACGGGAGGGGGTCAGATTTCTGCCTTACTATTTCCTATTCAAAAGATTAGAATATATTTTTGTGACACTCGTAGTTATAAAAATGATAAAGTCTGGGCACATACATTCTCAGTGACTATATATGGCGCCGATTTGGAGATAATTTTGTAAAAGGCATTGACATAAATAAAATTTTTAAGAATAGTCGAAAATATTAAGTAAACAAGAAAAAAAATAATTAGCAAATATCATACCATAGTCGTATTTTTTAATTAACATTTATCAGTGTATTCAAAATTTCGAATAACTTAGGAATGATCATTAAATACGTAATTAAATTATTTTATAAATATACAGGGTGAGTCTTAAATAATTGCAAATATATTCAGGGCTGGTAGATCTCGATAAAAGAAACATATTTTCTCTTTACCATTTTTCAGATAAGTCCACAAAACCGAATTATTTAAGTTTGAAAATTTAAAAAAAATTATTTTTTTTGAAAAAATTTTGAGAGTCACCGGATTTTTTCTGTAATTGCATCCCTTTTAGTGCCGTAACCATAGAGTAAAGCCGTAACTATGGTAATATCAGAGATTAAGAAATTATACCGTGGGAAAATTTGCGGTGAACAGGCAGCTCTAAAAAGTTTTCGAAAAATATACAGGGAAATTTAAAAGCAAATGCACAATTTTAAACATCTTTTTTGCGAAAAAAACCTCATAGACGTGTTCCTGGGATCGAAATATATTTGCACTTATTTAAGACTCACCCTGTATTTTAGTATCAACTATAATTAGATAATATTTATTAATAATTTGATTTTATTGGTTTCAGAAGATAATGAGCAAGGGAAATCAAAGAGGGTCGAGACCAGAACTCACCCCTTGCTGTGCGGCGACACAGTTCCAACCCTTGCAGTTAGCTTATATGGATGGAAATAAAACAGTTACGACAAAAGTGTTGTCTAATATGATAGTGGAAACTTGTGGATGTATGTGAACAACCTGTTCATCAATTGCTTATGTATGCATCAGTATTTTGTAGTGATATCAAAAAACATTGGCGCTATATAGTTAATTTTTAACCTACAGTAAATTAGGTTATTTTTTTTGTTACCCTATCCACTAGATAATTTCGTTTGAGTGTGAAAGTTGTCAAATATAAAATGCCAGGCAATCATAAAAAATAAAATAAATGACTCTTCGGGACATAATATAATATAGTAATTAAAGATATTTTATTTTATTTTTTTTCGAGTGCCGAATTAGGACTATTTTGAATTGGTATTGGCTGGACCAATATGTCATATCTTTGCGCAGGCGCATTCCGTAGCTCTTAGACTCCTCAATTTTTAATTATTTTTATAAAACTGTTCAGTACACTACTGAAGAAATGGACTTGTAGCCTGATATGTGTGATATTTTAATTTAAGTACTAGAGTTTTGTGTGTGTTTGTAAAATAATTTAATTTATTGCTAATTTTTTATTAAATTATTTATACAAAAACGTAACGTGTTTTAATAGTGCACAATAATAAATATGATAAATTTTTAATTCACTGGCATAATTAAACTACAAAAAGTTGAGACGCTGTCTTGAAAACCTAGCTAAGTAGGTATATCTAAATTTTTATTATTTTCACCTTTATGAGGAGTTTTATTAAAGAAAAAGTATTTTAAAAATCTGAAAATATAAATTTCTTCCTCAGAACTGTATTTCTACTAACATTAAATATCTTTGCTATGAAATAATGAAGATTACAGTTGGAGGTCGGAACCTTTGGTGTTACAACAGCAAAATAAAACACTAAATTTTAGCGTACTGTGGTAAATTAGTGTTTTATTATGCTTGGACAACTAGTTATCAATCAAAATTTTCTATATAATATTTTTTATTTCCTGCATAAGAACAGGAAAATATATCGGATTTATTCTAGAAATTTATTATTTAGAAATCTATATTTTATAGAAACTAATTGATTACAAAAGAAAAAACAGTGAAGTTGAAGTAAATGCGCCCCCCCCCTCAATTCCTTATCTCCAATTGTTCCAAAAATATATCAATTCTATTTTTTATTCCGTATTTTTATGTAAAAATCTTTGACTATATTCTCACAAAAAACTACATCTTCACCTGTTGTACTTTGTACAAACGAAATAATCAAGTGATTCTTATTCCTTATTTGATAAATTAAATGTTAGACTTCTGTGTTTTACCAATTAGGTTGACGATCATCTGTACAAATCTTGTATTTGATGACAATAATTGACATTGCATACTGATGCATTTGGATTATGATGATAACTGACGAAACCTCAAATAATGAATGACCGAGAAAATAACCTCTTAACGACTGCTACTCCAGTATGTCAGGATCGGAGATCCTACAATACGTCTTTTGAGAGGTAGCTATTAAAATGACATATGATCGAAAAAAAAACGGCGTCAAAGACGGCTGGGGCATGACAATCGATGATAATTTTGGCGAGGTCAAGTCATAGATGTAATTACTTGGCCCGTAATATTCTTTATTTCTTAATGGCGCTTGCTGCCAGTTGGCCTTCAGTAAGTTTTGATTTATTCTCTAGAAAAGTTATATCCTTTTTTAATCTTTCTTTAAATAGTGTTACTTTTGACAAATTTTATGTAAATTTTTAGTAAATAACGTCTAGAGATTGACCTCGCCAAATGTATCATCCATTCTTATTCCCCAGTTGTCTTTGACGCTGCGCCGTTTCTACCGTATATCTATATATTATTATGTTTTCTTTCCTACAGGTCAGTAACCCTCAATAGCAGAAAAAAAAAGGAATCTAAATTATTATTAAAACCTTTCTGATAACGGTATTAAGAGTGGCATCTCATAATGGAAGCCCTACAAAGTGGGCGCAAAGGCCTATAATGACCAAGTTTATTATAAACAACCTCTTGATAGAAATCTATATAACTGGTCCTGTTTCTAGCTGGGCACGTATCTCGTTTACATAGTTTCCTCACTTTCCATACAGACTCTATATTCGGCAACTTCGGCCAGTCTCATTCTCTACATTAGGATGTGAGTCATGTATAGCGGAGTTAGCACACATTTTGTGAACCTGGGTTTATGGATGGATTTGCTAAAGTGTCCATGGCATCATGTGTTTCTTCCCTAGACTGTCGTTCAATTAATTGAACGCCTCTACCATATCTAATGTCAGAGCTAATTCTAGTACGAAAAATAATGTACCTGCTACTTCTTTTGATAAAGTTGTCTTTTCTCTAGGCTATGTAATGTATATCCAGACCAATGACATCTTGTTTTTTTCTGATACCGCTCTACCAACATTTGCACACATTTTTCAATAAAATATAGTATTACTCTGTATTACTTAGAAAATTATAGTATAGTAGTTTCCTGGTTGGCTCTAACTCAGAAATAGAACACTGTAAATGCGCTTAAAGTATTAGGTAGGTATTATGAGATCTAAAACTATTCCTAGAATCGCATCCGCCTGTAATTCACCTACAAATCGGTTTTGCACAAATTCCAACGTTTCTTGTCATTTTTGTGCGCTTGTTCTTTTTCTCTAAAATGATTTTAATAAAGAAATTAGTCAAATGAAAATCAGTCAAATCCAAAGAATCAGGAAAGATTTCGACAGATAACATACAAAAATGAGAGAAAATACGACGATCCTTTCGTTGGACAAACTAAAGCGCTAGACATACTTATCAATGCATTTGCTTATCTACTACCAAGGAAAATTACTATCATTAATGATAATATGCCTAGAGAACACAGCTCACCATTTTTATGATTTTATCCAAATGGAAAATCATCCTTATCTAGTTCCATAAGTGGAACAGTTTCGCCTAGAACGAATAGGCGGATTCCATTTCTTTTCTATTTCAGGCCATGCCAATCTAGGGTGCTTCTTGTACTTTTGGGCTCAACTTTCGTTTAGCTGAAACCAGTTATGTAAGAAATATTGATTTACTATTTGGAAACCTCTTGGTATAGTATGTCATAAAAATTCTTCTTCGGAAATGCATCCTTTTTGAGCTTTTCAACTTTAAAATAGCTGAAATCAGGGCTACTTCCGTTAAGCTGAAATCAGTTTTGTAAAAAATATTTGTTTATTTAGTATTTGGAAGCCTTTTCAAATAGAAAGTCATGAATAATTTTTCTGCGAAAATGCATAATTTTCAGTTTTGCAACTTAGCTGAAACCAGTTGCATGAAAACATGTTTCTATTTTCATTCTAGAAATTTTTCTAAACATAGCCTCTCAAAAACCGTGTACCATTTTCATTTGCGGATAAAATATTGTAAAATTTAGCAAGATTTGAAAAGCACTCGGCAATTGGAATTCGTAGAGGCGCGTTTTAGCTTAGAGCGTGGTTTGATTGCTTTGGTTTGGTTTGTTGGTTCGATTTTTTTTATTTTCATTTTTTCTCTGCACGGTATTGATGTCTAAATTACAGTATCTCTATGTTAAATTCCTACCTAAACAAGAAAAGTGTTTAGAATGTAAAGCGAGAACATGTTTTCATGTAACACTGATTTCAGTTATTCTAAAGTCGAAAAAAAAAGAGAATGATGTATGTCCGCAGAGAAATTTTTATGATTTTGTTTTTGGGCAGACTTCTACATAACTGGATGTTTTGTTGTTTCTTTTATAAGTGATTTCAGCTAAAGAAAATTCACCCTGCCCTTGAATTAATCTCCTCCTCATTGTGCCCTATAGCTATTATTAAAAAAATCTTATTATTATAAAGTCTCTTCATTTTCACAAAGCGATAACTCAAAAAAATATAACCTAATATTATATTTTTTTTGACAAAGGTCTGATGATAGTTGAATAGCCAGAACCGGTCACATATACAGATTTATTGATAGTGATTTGACATTGATTTTGTAAATCATATTTTAGTTTATTCTTATTGTATTTCAAAAAGTATGTAATTTTACTTAATGAAGAGGGATCGTCCAAATCATACAAATATTTTTCCAAATTGAAGTAAAACAAAACAAAAAAATATTTTTTATCTAAATATATCATGTGAGTTTGTGCAAAAAAATGTTTACTAATACCTAGTAATGGCATGTGTATTAAAATACATAAAATATGTAAAAATATATCTCAATTAAAGTGTTTTGATAATTTATAAAATTATTTTTATTTTTCGGTTTATCACGACTGGTAGAGATAAAAGAGACACTTTAGTTGATTACACCCACATAATTAAAGGTTACATAAGATTTAACCCAAAATGTTAAGATAATAGACCTTTTTATACCACAAATATAGTTAACTTAATTTATAAATAAATTTAAATTAAGAGTTAGTAATGTTGTGAAATAATACATAAGAAAACTGCGTATATTTAAAAAATATAATAAGATTAATTATTTGCATAACATACCTACTACAGAACTATTTTATGCATTAGTTTTATGCAGTTTTAACTTTTAACTAGAATGTTTAAGATATAATTTAAGTGTCATTACAAACTTTTCCAGAATACTTTAAATTTCCCTTGCAGTAATTGAGAATATAACGAAATTAATTCTTTAAAATGAAATGAGTTGAAATAGAGATTGCATTACCGGTTCGAAATTTTTGTACACATTTTTGTTATGCATAAAAAATACTTAGAAGTAGTTCTGGGGTCGAAATATACCACCTCTAAAAATATTTGCACTTTTTTAAGACTCACCCTGTATATTATTTATTACTATTATGCCTAATGTGTTTTTCTAATAGAACAATAGTTTTTCTAGTATTAACATATGCAAATATCTTGAAAACAAAACTATGACATTATAGATAATTTTATACAAAATTATGAAAAAAAAACGATGATTTTTTTGGAAATCTCTATTAGTATATTTATACAATTATTATAAAAATTCCAGTAAAATAAAATCTCTTCAAAATAAAAAGCCATATAGGGCAACGGCGTAGGTTGAAACACCGGTTACCATTAGAACACCGAAGTTAAGCGACGTAAGGCGATACTGGTGGATGGACGGGTGACCGGTTCGACACACTGTATCGTGCTGTCGTCCAAGGGAAAAGTGTAAAATCTATTGATACACACTGCTCATTGACGCCGGTTCGAGGCCGGATGAGATCGGATATCTCGTGAGTAAGAGTTAATTTAGACACAGGCCCGTTCCTGGGGTATCTGGCGCCTACGTGCAGCATTCTTTGGTGCGCCCTTTTTATATTTAAATCAATTATATATTTTAATCTTAATCTCAAAAATTTAAAGAATTTATATTCTCCGACAAACGAGCAATATGTAATTGAAAATTTTAAAAAAACTATTCTAATTAAAGTATAAAAACATTTATTAAATAAATAAAACAAAAAAAACCACAAACACTTAGTAACAAAAATAGTACCCTAAAGAAAAAAAACTGACCCATTTTATATGAAATACATAAAAACAATAAACTAAAATTCGGAAATAATACACATGTACTGATTTCTTTCGAAAATCGACAACTATGAAACTATGAACCCTTCCCGGACACAAACGGTACATTGTGAGACAGGAAATTGTAGAGAGAAACAAGCCCTATAATATAGGATACAACATTTTAATGAACAATGCTTTCCATAAAATCAATAAAATGAAAAAAATACGAAATTATATACATGTACTGATTTCTTTCGAAAATCGACAACTATGAAACTATGATCCCTTCCCCGACACAAACAGTACATTGTGAGACAGGAAATTGTAGAAAGAAACAAGCCCTATAACATAGGATCAACATTTTAATGAACAGTGCTTTCCATAAAATGAATAAAATGAAAAATAAATAGATGAAATCAATGTGTTGCCGACAGATTGCCCTAGACTTGTTTATTCGGTGCGGCCAACGCAAAAAAGACGCTAAGCAAACTTTATCCTATGATGGTTTAAGTATTTGTTTATTGGCAAGAAAGCGTATCGGTTTTTTGTTACAAAGTACTGATTGACCCTTTAATTTTGCGCCCCCAAAATGTTGCACCTACGTGCGTGCACGCACTGCACGCTCGCCAGGAACGGCCTTGTTTAGACACTTTCTAAGTCGGTAGGCCACTGACCGTGATATGGCCGAGGACCGCGGTTCGGATTCCGCGTAAACAAAGTAGGCCCCGTCCAGATTAGCCCTGGCAGCAAAAAGGAGACGTTAACTGAAATATTTATCTTTATATTTTTTTTAAAAAGACTTTATCTTTTTTTTTAATTCATAGGTATTTAAATTAAAAAATAAGAAGAATATAAGTTTTTGGATATAAAAACTATATTGAGTATAAAGTAATAATGACACACCGTTATTTAAACACCCTGTATATAGTTCTGTGTTTTATGACCACTTAGTATACATATACGTACACATGTATTTTCAATAATTTAGGAAAAATTTTGCTTTTAAGCTACATGTGGCAACAGATAACAACAAAGTGATAAATTATTTGTATACATATGCATAATTTTATCGCTAGTGTTTGCTATAATATTTTGTACAGAGTAACTAAGTTATACTCATATCTAAATAATTATTTTTTGATAAAGTAAATGATGCCCTTAACATGAAAAATCTACACAAAAAAAATCCCACAGAAAATTCTTATTAGACCATTATATTAAACCAGAAATAAATGCATTAATTACAAAAAAAAACGAATGCATTAATTACAAATTTAAAGCACCCGGATATTTTGTTTATCTTGAATCTAACATTTTGAATAACGTTTGATCATTCAGTATCACAATTTATGTAGATATGTTTATTAATATTTAAAAGATAAAACAAATTAAGCATGTTTACTTATTAGAAATATGATGTTCAGGCTACTTTAAAAAATGCGCTTTTGTAAAACCATATTTTTATAAATATAATTAAAGAATATATTGAAATAAAAAAATCGAAATAAAATTTGTTAAAAGCTTGCCTTAACTATACACAAATTAAGTATTTTTTTATTTAAAGCTTCAAAAATAAATAACGTCAAGTGTGACATAAGTTTAATCTGGTATTTTAATATTTAAATTCTTAAAGAATAATAATGTAAGACAGGGTACGATATGATCGAAAAATACGGCATCAAAGACGGCTGTGGAATGACAATCGAGGGTAATTTTGTCGAGGTCAATCTCTAGACATCAATTACTAAAAATTAGCATAAAACTTGTCTGAAATAAAAGCTAATTATAGAAAGATTAAATAAGGATTGAACGTTTCCAGACACACAAATCTATTTCCAAACAATATTTTTTTTCGAATTTTAAACTACTCCGATTTAACATCATTTTTACTTGATATAAAAATAAAACACGACCTCCTTAAGACCAACTGGCCAGTAGGGGCCATTAAAAGTAAATAATAGTCCGGGCCAAGTAAATGACATCTAGGGCTTGACTTCGCCAAAATTATAATCAAAAATCAAAAGTCATCTTTTACGCCGTTTTTTTTTTGATCATATGATTATATGGTGACTATCAATATAATATCTATATTACCAAAATTAAATCCCACAGATGACATACATATCGTAAAAAAACAGCGTCCTGTTAGTTTGGAAATGACGATCGATGACACTCCCCATATAATTTTACATAGAAATGACAGCAATCATAATTTCCAAGCCATCCGTAACACCGTTTTTTTTTCAATCATATGATAATTTCTTTTTGCTTTGATTGAAAACTTGTCTGAAATAAAAGCTAATTATAGAAAGATTAAAGAAGGATTCAACGATTCCAGACACACAAATCTATTTCCAAACAATATTTTTTTCGAATTTTAAACTACTCCGATTTAACATCATTTTTACTTGATATAAAAATAAAACACAACCTCCTTAAGTTAAGACCAACTGGCCAGCAAGGGCCACTAAAAATTAAAGAATAGTCCGGGCCAAGTAAACGACATCTAGGGCTTGACTTCGCCAAAATTATCGTCAAAAATCAAGAAGTCGTCTTTTACGCCGTTTTTTTTTTCGATCATATGATTATATGGTGACTATCAATATAATATCTATATTAGCAAAATTAAATCCCACAGATGACATACATATACCGTAATCGTAAAAAAACAGCGTCCTGTTAGTTTGGAAATGACGATCGATGATACTCCCCATATTATTTTACATAGAAATGACAGCAATCATGATTTCCAAGCCATCCGTAACACCGTTTTTTTTTCAATCATATGATAATTTATTTTTGCTTTGATTGAATTACAATGGAGATAACTAATACTAGGAAAACAAATTAAAATTTTACATAAATAAATTTCCAATAAATATTAAAAAAAAACGACACAGTACAAATATGTTTAGAAAAAATAAAATAAGAATCATAATATATTTGTAGCTAATTTAAACCCTGTAATTTTTTGTAATAAAATAAACATTTTTGGCAATGGTACGATTCAAATGTGCCTAATTTTATTTATTGTTCTTTATAATGTTTTTAAGATATACATATTAAAATTATAAATAGGCGCAAATATTTTAGGGGTAGTATATTTCGACCCTAGAAACAAGCCTATGAGGTTTTTTTCGCAAAATAAATTTTTTTGAAAATTTGAAATTTTTTGAAAAAATTATGGATTTTTTTTAATTCTTAGTAAAAAATATAATATCTTCATAATATAGCAACATAGGTAGTAGATTAAATTTACAAGAAATAAAACGCAGAAAAGATCCAGTTCTCAAAATTTAAGCAAAAAATATTTTCTTTATTAATTTTTTTTTAAATTCGTGAAAATATAAAGTGAAATTATCTGGGTTTTTTGGAATTATTTGAAAAACTGTAAAGAGAAAATATGTTTCTTTTATCGAGATCTACCAGTCCTCAAATATTTGCACTTATTTAAGAATCACCCTGTATAATGATTTAAAAATTAGGCGTATTTATTTTTAAATAATATTTAATTATGTATTTGGAAACATGGATTTGAAAGTTAATAATTACATATATATTGAATAATTAAAAATATATTAAAAATTGTATGCCTTATGCACTTGCACTTCATTATACTTACAAAATATTTTAAAAATAAATAAACAGACAGTGTTCTTAGCTAAGGGATTAATTTCTAAATCAGCCCTTAAGAATATACATGTTAATATCAATAATTAGTTAGTTTTTTTCGAAAAATCAATGCACGTGTATCGGTTGCTATAACAAACGCAGCAAAATTATAGAGATAAAATGTGGTTAATTTTATTAATCAAAAACAAATTTCATTCATTAAATTTCATATAGATTTTAAGGCGCTAAGTCAGCAGAAATTTCGTTATAAATACTAAGATTACATAGAGCATCTTCACATTCAGTGGTTGGTTCTGAATCAACCATGTGGTCACCGCTCGCATTATTCTTCTTGGGTAAGTTTTTATTTTTTTGGTTAAACTGTTATTATTTTTATTTTATTTTTTATTTTCTTTCATTATAATATTCTGAACTTTATTTTCCAACTCTATTTTCACTCTTATAAATTATCCTTATACCTATATGTATATTAAATTTATATTTTATATAATCTTTGTTACTCTCTGGTGAAATTTAATTAAGGAAATAAAGTCAATAAATATTATTACAAAATATATTTCGTCCATTCTAGTTGGGTACGCCCTTGCCTCAACACCGGCCTTCAAAGAAAATACCGAATATGTATACCAAATTAGTGGACGAACCCTAAGCAACTTAAACGAAGTTTCCGATCAGTATTCTGGCATTTTCTTGAAAGCCAAACTCCACATCTCCAAACGCTCCGATGGAAAAGTACAAGGAAGGATATCCGGTTCCCAGTATGCCCAAATTCACAGCCACTTGCCCAACGGCTGGGATACAGAAGTCCCTGAATCCCAAATGAGCTACAAGCAACTAAGCCTCTCTGAAAAACCTTTCCAAATGGTTGTTGAAGATGGTCTTATCCAAAATATTATTATGGAAAAAGAGGTCAGTAACTGGGAAGCCAATGTCATCAAAAGTATTGCTAGTCAATACCAACTGGATGTCCAAGGAAAGAACGTAATTCCCAACCCAATTAACAACTTACCAAGTGGGGAGGATATGAACGGAGTATTCAAAACCATGGAAAAAACCGTCACAGGTGAAACCGAAACCACATACAAAATCCACAACTTGCCTATGTACATCCTTCAGTCTCAGCCGTGGTTGGCTCCAAAAGCTGATCTCCAAGGAGAAAGCGAAGTATTCGAAGTCATCAAGAGTAAGAACTATACCAATTCCGAAGAGAAGCCTTCCTATCACTATGGTTTTGGAGATATAACTGATGGCAAACCTACCGACAACAGTTTAGGGGAATTTTTAACAAGACAGTCCCAATCTCGTGTTATTTTGACTGGTAAACCCTCTAGATATACCATTCAAAACAGTTACACCATTAACAAGATCGTCATTACACCAAGTTTAAACAACAAAGAAAGGGGATCTGTTATCAGTGTTGTCAACGTCACTTTGGCCGAAATCAAAAACCAGAACCAACAGCCTGAAGATCTATCCAATCCTGTTGACATCGGAGATCTTGTATACACTTATGGAAATCCTTTTTCTCAAAATGATCAAGTACGTCAAAAGAACATGCAACATTACAGCTCTAACGAAGCTGTAAGTGAGGAAAGCAATGAGGGTTTATGGCGCAGACATCCCCGCTCAATTTCCCAAAGCATTGAAAAATACAACAGGGAAAGTAGTTCTTCTGAAGAATATGAACAACGTCAACCAAGACCTCAAATGAACCATGCTCCAGAATCTCCTCTCCTTCCATACTTGATGGGATACCATGGAAGATCTATCAGACAAAACCGTGACTTTGATCTCAAACAAAACGTACAAACTATGGCCCAAGAAATTAGTGAAGACTTACAAGAACCAGAAAAAATCCTCACACAGTCCACCTTGAGCAAATTCACAATGCTTGCTTCCTTTATTAGATTAATGAACGAAGAAGAAATCAACTATGTAGCCGAACAATTGTATACCCAATCCGGACAAGGTAAAGAACGTTTAGCCTGGGAAGTTTACCGTGACGCTGTAGCTGAAGCTGGAACAGGACCTGCCTTCCTTAACATCCAAAACTGGATTGAGAACAAAAAAATTAGCAACAGAGAAGCTTCCGATGTTGTCTCTACCATAGCCCGTTCAGTGCGCACCCCCACTGACGAATATATGCAGAAGTTCTACGAACTGACCAAAAGCAGCAAAGTTAAAGAACAACTCTACCTCAACCAAACAGCTGTTCTCTCATATGCCAACCTCGTATACAGAGTTTACATCAACAGAAACGAGTCCCACAATCAGTATCCAGTACACAGCTTTGGAAATTTCAACACTAAAACAGGCCGCCAATTTGTAAAAGATGTAGTAATCCCATACTACGGTCAACAACTCGAACAGGCCATTGCTGAAGCTGATGCTCCTAGAGTACACTTGTACATTACTGCTTTAGGCTATATTGGACATAAAAATATTTTAAGCTTGTTTGAACCTTATTTGGAGGGACAAAAACAATGCTCTCAGTTCCAACGCATGTTAATGGTCGTTTCTTTGAGAAGACTCGCCAAAACTAAACCATCTCAAGCTCTCCCTGTACTATACCAAATTTACCAAAACGCTGGAGAACTACCCGAAGTTAGAATTAACGCAGCTTACATACTATTCAAAAATCCTGAAGTTCTATCCGAAAGATTACAAAGCATGGCAGAAAATACCAACGTTGAATATCAAGAACAATTAAACGCTGCTGTAAAATCAGCTATCGAAACAGCTTCTCGACTTCGCTCAAGCAAAAACCATGCCCTGTAAGTAATTGTTTTATAATTTAACAATCGTACTTTACAAAATTTTATTTCAGACACAAAGCCGCCCAATCTGCCTTGCCACTTCTTACCAAAAAACTCTACGGAGGAGACAAAGCATCCATTGACTACAGCGACAGCATTATGAGTGAAATGCATACTGAACTCGAACAAGAATTCCTTCAAATTGGCAGTCCTGACAGCTACTGGCCTAAGGTTTTGAAACTCTCCGCCCGCGGACGAGTAAACGAAATGCCACGAGACTACTTTTCAATTGGTGGTATGACATCCAGCATCAAGGAATTGATGCATGTTGTATACCAACAAACTGACAGTTACAAACAAGCTAAAAAACAGAGATCTCAGCAACAAAGCGGAGAAAGTAAATGGTCCAGTGCCAACATCGCCCACTACATGAACTACCAAACAGAAGAAAGAGAACAACTTGAAAGCTACATCTTTTCTGAAATGGCCGGAATCTCCCAATTGTGGTCCTTTGACAACCAAACCATTGAACGCTTACCCGAAGGTATAAGTTGATATTAGTTTTAAATATTTTTAGTATAATCTTCTTTTTTTTCCCATTTCAGTTATTCGTCAACAAGAAGAAATCCTAAACAAAGGCAAGCAATTCAGTTACACAAAACTACAACAAGTTGAAGAACTCGCTCTGTCTGTTCCCACTGAAATGGGTCTGCCATTTTTGTATACTTCAGACATGCCTGTTCTTGTTAGATTCGAAGGAAAGATCCAAGCTAAAGCTACTCCTCAAATTTCCGATGGCAAGAGGCTAATCAAGCCTGACCAAATAACTGCTCAAATCGAGGGATCAGTAACTTTCAGCGTTAAAGGTCAGAGTCATTTATCATTCGTAACACCTTTCGACCATCAAATCTACACTGCTGGATTTGACAGGAATGTTCAAGCACATTTACCAGTATATGCCAAGGCTGAAATTGATGTTAAGAACACTGAATCTAAAGTTGAATTTGAAGTGAAAGAACCCCATAACAATGCTCGTCTCTTCCACTACAGCAGTTGGCCTTACACGTCCAGAAGCGATCTCATGAGCACTGTTCCCGTCGCCTTAAGACCAAATACCCAAATCATTACTCCTCAAGCAAACAAATTCAGATACTTCGACACAGTTTTTGGTAAAAAAGAAACAGGCATCTCATTCAGAGCTTGGGGACATCATCCTATCCAATCAATCAATCTTGGTGAAGTAGCTCATATGTTGAAATCCAGAGATGTTGATACTCTGTTGCAATGGTTGTGGGATCGTGCTTCCCTGCAACAAACTGAGGCATCTATAGCCTATGTACCCAGCCAGTCTGCTACGAAAAAGGTAACTTTCCGTTTCAGTCATCGCGATCAGTACAAAATGCAACCTGAGACCCAAAACCAGGAAGAATTCCTCAACTATGACCAGTTAGCTGAAAAGACTCAAGGCGCGCAACAACAATACCACGAAAAATTACTTAAATACGTCGGAGCTGGAATCAGGAGCGCTCAACTTCACTCTTGCGCATTTTCATTGGAATTCCAAGGAGACAAAAAATACCAACACTCCTTCGGTGTTACCTTTGGAAAGAGTAACGCTGACCCTAGTTCCAGAGCAATTATGTACTACAAACAAAATGGTGAACAGCAACACCTATGCTCTTTAGATGTAAAAGGTTACGTGCCAAACACCAACGGTCTGGACCTTACTTACTCCCTGAAAAACGCACCTGAAGCAAAATACGAAGTACGCATGTTATGCGGAGCTAACCAAAACGAAGCTGCTTTGGTATCCGGAAAAGTTAACTTCAGAAGAAGCGATGAACGAAAAGAAAGGCTAACTCAAAAACCTATGTATAATGAGTGCAAAAAAGAAATGCAAGAAGGCAACTTCCAACTTCCAGCCTGCCAGAACATGACCATCGAATCTAACTTCCTAGATGTTATTGAATCTGAATGGAAATACTCCAACATTAAGAGAAGGTACCAAGATATCATAAAGGGCGTATTCCAAGGATTAAGAGTTTACTACTATCCTGAAACTGAAATTGAAAGTATCAGCTCCCAACAAGACAAAGTTGAATTTAGGGTAAAATTCGAACCCGAAGAATTGAGAAGACTGAATATGACCATTGTCAGCGGTGATGAGAGGACGATAATGTACGATATGCCCCTTAACAATGAAATCGCAAGAGCTTTGTTTGTACCTCACCCTGTTTTCCATGCCCCATCCAGACTTATTGGAGTCCTTAAAGGATGGCCACTATTCAGGCGTAAGTTTAAGCATATCTAAATTAACTGTCATTTATTTATATTGGAATTTAATTTACAGCCACTTGTGTTATTGACCAAACATCTGCCCAAACCTTCAACAACAGAACTTATCCACTCTCTCTTGGAACCGAATGGACTGTAGCTCTCCAGTATGTTCCACAAGAAGCTCGCAGATCTGACCTTAAGACTGAAACTGTTGAAGAACAACTAAAACGTCAACAAGAAAACTACGCCGTTCTAGTGCGCCAATCGTCTGCCCAAGAAAAAGAAATAATGATCACCTTTAACCATCCAAAATCTGACGGCAAAACTGTAGAAATCAACATGAAGGCTCAACAACAAAGCCAACGTTCTGGCTCAAGCCCACTCGCTGCCGTTTACGTCGACAGCAAAGAAATGAAGTTTAACGACAAACAATCAGCTGATTTACACAACGGTTTGGTCCAAATCTATGCCTTACCAAATGGAGAAGTTAAAGTAGATATGCAAAATGCATTCTATGTGATCTTCGATGGTAAACGCGTCAAGCTTACCTCTACCAGCAGCACACTCCGTGACTCCAACAAAGGACTTTGTGGAAAATTCAGCCATGACAAGTACGAAGATTTCACTGTACCAGCCAACTGTATCGTATCTGACTACGCCAAATTTGTTAAGAACTACGAAATGGGCTCTGAAAACAGGAGACCAAAAGAAGAAAGCCAAGACTGTGTTCGTAAAGTAATGCCCTTGTATGCTGATGTTGTTTCTGACAGGAGCAGACATTTGACAAGCGAATCATCCAGCAAAATTCAACTGAGAAATCGCTTCGTTGAAGAAAATGGCAGCATATGCTTCACAATCCGCCCTGTACCTACCTGCAGAGGAAGTCCCCGCAAGACCCTTTCTAAACCAGTAGCTGTCCACTGTGTCGACAAGAGCAAAACTGCTCTATATTTGAAGAAACAAATCGAGAAAGGTGCCAACCCCGACTTCAGTCAAAAGTCTGAAACCAAGCAAATTCTGATGAACCTTGCTCAAGAATGTTAAGATATTTTTATAACGACCACGGCTTTAGTATTTAATAAACGAACATCCCAAAAAATGTAAAAAAAATAAATATACATATTTTTCATACAACTATTTCCTAGTTTAAATTACCATATTCAAACTGATCTCCTTATACCTCTTAAAAAAATAGATTCAAATAACTTTTTAAATTGATATTCTATTAATCAGTCATACAGGGCCATATCAATATGTCCTTCATTAATTAATACTGAAATGTCTCAATATTCAAAAGAACGTCAAATGAAAATTCTGAATTAGAAAATTTTAAATCAAGATTGTAATATAATATATGTATTTTCTTTTTAAAACCAATATATGTATTTAAGAAATATATTTTTATATTTTAGATCAAAAAAAGATTTGTTCAACAGTTCAAAGAAGTTCTAATATAACTTTTCATTTTTTCAACCTAATAGAATAGAGATGAAGATATTGTGATGGTACTCTACTAAAGTATAAAGAATAATAGTATTCATAATATATATACTTCAACCGGAATATTTTAAATGACTATGTTGACAATATTCTGGTTTATCTTTAAAGATTTTTTGAATTTACCTATACGTTTATTCTTTGCAAATAGCAACTGCTACTAATTCCTTCTAAATTCTGCCCTGTAATACAGCATGTCTAGAAGGTCCTTGTCCTTCAAGAAGAAAATTTGTTAAAATAATTTATTTGTATCAAGAGGGTTAGACAAGAAAAGATACTTCTTTACCTCAGTCATACCATGTATATTTTTTAAATTGAAGTTGTTCTTCTGACCTCTTCTAGAAGATATATCTTTTTCGTGGATTCGTTGAGTGGGGTAAATAAACATCACATAAAATTTTAAATATAATTTTAGATTTATGAAGAGTAAGTTAATGATTCAAAAAATACAAAATTGGTCCAAATTGATACATGTTAGATTCTTAAAATTGTTTACTAGTGAAACTATTTAAATTTAAATAAAATGGTATTTTTGTTTTTTGTTTTTGTTAAATACATATTTATTTTATGAGAGTTGTATTATAAAAAAAAATAAATTAACTGAATAATTTTTAAACAAAAATGTTTACGTTTGGTAAAACTGATAGACAGTGCGAATTTGACGAAATAAATCGATTAGAAAATTAATTGTTTTTCATTAAAATTATAAAAAATATTTAGATGTTTTAAAAACGATATCTGTCGATTTAGCCTCTCACTGCTTCATAAGGGTTCATAAGGGGGACAACAAATGATATCTCCTCTAAAAAACTTTCTAATAATCGCCGCTCAGTCGCAATACTATCTTCGACAGATGTCATCCCGGCAAATCTTGCCTTAATAACGATAAAATTCGAACCTATCCTAAAATATTACATCTATTCTAAAACCATTCTAATTGCGCAGGCGCAATACTATCTCCGATAGATGTCATCCCGGTAAATCTTGCCTTAATAACGATAAAATTCGAAACGATCTTAACGAGATGACATCTCGTTAGCTTGACATCTTGTTAGATGACATTTCGTTAGTTTGACATCTTGTTAGATGACATCTCGTTAGCTCATATTGCTTTTCTGTTCAGTAAAGAGACTCATAAGGGGAACGTTAGTCGTCTTAGAGTCCGATTACACTTTCTTCCTTGCTTGGTGAGCAATCACTCATAAGGGGGACATTAGCCCCCTTAAAGTTGGTCTCACACCTAGGGATAAATAACAATAATAAAGAAAAACGACTGTAATAATTAACGAATGGCAGCAAAAAACTGTTCAGTTTTTTAGAGAAATTCCGAGTTAAATTACGCGTTTCCAAGAGGGCCCCATATTTTCACTGTCATTAGTGAATGCGGACTATAAGGCTAGCACTAACCTGAAACAATAGAGAAAAAACGTTAGTTGGAAGTAAAAGAAAATGACACGGTGCGTCGTATAACATACCTGGTTCAATCTGGTTCTGGGCCTTAATCCTAGATGGTGTTTTCAAAATCATCGTTCTAGAACGGCATCAGTCATTGTACCTCATCAGGAACCACTTCAAGGATCATCAAGGCACAGTTGCTAAAAAAGAACAACAAATGAGATATCAACGGCTGCTATATTTTAGAAGAACACTGAATAAGACAAAAGACACCGAATTAAAGACAACTAAAACCTCCAAAAAGTTACGACTAATAATTTTATATTGTTTGAGATGTTTTATACCGAGATATTTTTTGAAATGTTCGCCAAAAAAAACATTTTTTCGCTTAAATTTTGAGAACCACTGGATCTTTTCTGGATTTTCTTTCTTGTAAATTTAATCTACTGCCTATGTTGCCATATTATAAATATATAATATAATACTAGCTCCCGTATATAGCGTTTAACGCCATGGGAGTAGCAAGGTACAGCTGGCCATGCTAGAGCAATTCGGTATACAAGGAAAGTAGTGTGGCTAGCACTACACTTCAAGCGCCTATTATTACCTCAGGATTGTGAATCCCAAGTACTCATTTAAGGCTGAGTCGACCTTGGGGTTGCAACCCAAACTATTTTTATTTTATTAAAAATAGTCGGCTGATGAACTGCCGGCTGTAGGATTCGAACTCACAACCTTTAGATTATGGTTGACGAGAGCTGTACCTCTCTACGCCACCGGACATCTCTATATTATAAATATATTATAAATATATTATAAATAAGTTTAATTAAATAATTATTATTTTTAATAAATTTTTCAAAATTCCAAATTTTCTTCTTTCTTTTTCAAAAAAAATATTTTCGCGAAAAAACCTCATAGACGTGTTTCTGATGTCAAAATATACTACCCCTTAAAATATTAGCATTTATTTAAGACTCAACCTGTATATTAATATAAATTGTCTAGCTAATTGTTAACTCATATTTAAAACTATTTCATCCCTGTATTCTATTTATTTTTGAAAAACGTTAAAATAGTTTGTTACTAAGCTTTGAAATTAAATTAGTACAATTTAATTAAAAGGCATCAATTAGATATCCATTTTTAAAATAATGCAAGACTGCTTATCTGTACAAATTAATACAAATTATCCAAATTGGTATTTTGTAACACAGATTAGAAATAAATCATTTTTGCCTATTAACATTACAAGAAATTATTAGATATTTTTTTCTATATGCGTATTTCAAACTTTAGAACTATAATAACCAGGGCCGTTCCTGGCGAGCGTGCAGTGCGTGCACGCACGTAGGTGCAACATTTTGGAGGCGCAAAATCGAAGTGTCAATCAGTACTTTGTAACAAAAAATCGATACGCTTTCTTGTTAATAAACAAATACTTAAACATACATCATAGGATAAAGTTTGCTTAGCGTCTTTTTTGCGTTGGCCGCACCGAATAAACAAGTCTAGGGCAATCTGTCGGCAAGACACTGATCTCATCTATTTATTTTTCATTTTATGGAAAGCACTGTTCATTAAAATGTTGTATCCTATGTTATAGGGCTTGTTTCTCTCTACAATTTCCTGTCTCACAATGTACCGTTCGTGTCGGGGAAGGGATCATAGTTTCATAGTTGTCGATTTTCGACAGACATCAGTGCATGTATATTATTTCGTATATTTTTCATTTTATTGATTTTATGGAAAGCACTGTTCATTAAAATGTTCTATCCTATGTTATAGGGCTTGTTTCTCTCAACAATTTTCTGTCTCACAATATACCGTTTGTGTCGGGGAAGGGATCATAGTTCCATAGTTGTCGATTTTCGAGAGAAATCAGTGCATGTATATTATTTCGTATATTTTTCATTTTATTGATTTTATGGAAAGCACTGTTCATTAAAATGTTTTATCCTATGTTATAGGGCTTGTTTCTCTCTACAATTTCCTGTCTCACAATGTACCGTTCGTGTCGGGGAAGGGATCATAGTTTCATAGTTGTCGATTTTCGACAGACATCAGTGCATGTATATTATTTCGTATATTTTTCATTTTATTGATTTTATGGAAAGCACTGTTCATTAAAATGTTCTATCCTATGTTATAGGGCTTGTTTCTCCTCAACAATTTTCTGTCTCACAATATACCGTTTGTGTCGGGGAAGGGATCATAGTTCCATAGTTGTCGATTTTCGAGAGAAATCAGTGCATGTATAATATTTCGTATATTTTTCATTTTATTGATTTTATGGAAAGCACTGTTCATTAAAATGTTTTATCCTATGTTATAGGGCTTGTTTCTCTCTACAATTTCCCTCTCTCACAATGTACCGTTCGTGTCGGGGAAGGGATCATAGTTTCATAGTTGTCGATTTTCGACAGACATCAGTGCATGTATATTATTTCGTATATTTTTCATTTTATTGATTTTATGGAAAGCACTGTTCATTAAAATGTTCTATCCTATGTTATAGGGCTTGTTTCTCTCAACAATTTTCTGTCTCACAATATACCGTTTGTGTCGGGGAAGGGATCATAGTTCCATAGTTGTCGATTTTCGAGAGAAATCAGTGCATGTATATTATTTCGTATATTTTTCATTTTATTAATTTTATGGAAAGCACTGTTCATTAAAATGTTTTATCCTATGTTATAGGGCTTGTTTCTCTCTACAATTTCCTGTCTCACAAATGTACCGTTCGTGTCGGGAAGGGATCATAGTTTCATAGTTGTCGATTTTCGACAGACATCAGTGCATGTATATTATTTCGTATATTTTTCATTTTATTGATTTTATGGAAAGCACTGTTCATTAAAATGTTCTATCCTATGTTATAGGGCTTGTTTCTCTCAACAATTTTCTGTCTCACAATATACCGTTTGTGTCGGGGAAGGGATCATAGTTCCATAGTTGTCGATTTTCGAGAGAAATCAGTGCATGTATAATATTTCGTATATTTTTCATTTTATTGATTTTATGGAAAGCACTGTTCATTAAAATGTTTTATCCTATGTTATAGGGCTTGTTTCTCTCTACAATTTCCTGTCTCACAATGTACCGTTCGTGTCGGGGAAGGGATCATAGTTTCATAGTTGTCGATTTTCGACAGACATCAGTGCATGTATATTATTTCGTATATTTTTCATTTTATTGATTTTATGGAAAGCACTGTTCATTAAAATGTTCTATCCTATGTTATAGGGCTTGTTTCGCTCTACAATTTCTTGTCTCACAATGTACCGTTTGTGTCGGGGACGGGATCATAGTTTCATGGTGCAAATCTTTCTAAAATTTTAAATAACAACCCCTATTTCTTTTACCATTTTTGTGTTTCTTACAGAATTCTACATAAACTGCATTATTTTTTTGAGAATTTTATAAGGAACACAAAAATGGTTTGGTCAAAGGGTTGAAAGTAACACGACAACAAATGCCTTAAAAATTGACCCCCTTGATATGTAAATTGACGTGATTCGCCAAATTTTCATACTATTATCGGTAGAGGCAATATTAAATACTGGTGGTTTTCAAATTGTCACCCTGTAGAATTGTTCCCAATGAAGAGAAGTTTTTTAATTATTTACTTAAGTGCCTTGTAGAAACTTTATTTGTAAATTTTTAAATCACGAATTAGTAAATAATAAATAATATTAATAATATATGTATGCCGATTGCCCAATACGTTTTAAAGAATTTAATATTTTTGTTGCGTTAAAATATGTCAAATCATTTAAAATTACTGTATATTAGTACCCTATTCTTAAAACTTGGATCTCACCCGTCTTTTTGAAATTAAATTCATATAATCTTTTTGAAATTAAATTTAAATACTTGTTGCACGCCACTGGAAAAAGCTTTTTTTTATTAAAAAGCTTAATGTTTTATTGCTTTAAAAATTAATTTCAGAACAGTATTTACTATATAAACCATGAATTTCAACAATTTAATAAATTTAGAGATTTTTAAATCCCTCATTACACGCCACTGGCTTATTTAAATCATAAACTTACACACACCTTTTTGTACGTAATTTTATAAGCAATAATTAATTGCTATTTTTCAATAAAGTTAACCGAAATGAAAATATTTAGCAAAAACTAAAAAATTGTACTTTAAGGGGTGGTTTGCACGGTCAGAGGGATCTACAAAAATTCAGATTTCGGGGATTTGGTTCCACGAGGCACCTTAATTGCCCTGGACTAACTAGCTAAATATAAGAAAATAATTTGATAGTAACTAGTAGGATTTGAATTGGAGTGTAATAAAACAATTAAACAATGTAGATACTAGTACTTACATACCAGATGTGATCTAAAAAAATACAAGGTTCAAGTGAGGGCAGCAAAGGCTGTAAATATTATCAAGGGCTGTAACTACCTCAGCAAACATTTTAGTATATACATATGTTTATAAGAACATTTTGTTTTATTTTTATCTGTAGAATCACAAAGCTGGTTAGATACACTATTCTTTGACACCCTGTATATTATAATATATAAACGGCATTTCTTTTTAGGTTCTAAAAATCATAATACTTGAAATGACAAACTAGCTTTACCGAAAAAAAAACGTATTAGAATATCAAAAATGTTAAAATGTAACAATCTCTAGCATTAATTTCATTCATCAATTAATTATCAATGACTTCAATGTGTTAATATAAAAAAAATAATGCACGAGCTTACGTTAATAAGCACCACACAGCAAATTTAGGGAGATAAAGTTGAATCCGTTATAATTTATCAAAAATAGTTTCCATTCATGAATTTCTACTGTGCATAAGAAATAGTCAGGTCAGCAATTATTGACCAACATATAAATACTAAAATCTCACAGAGATTCTTCACATTTGGTGATTTGTGTGAAATCGACCAAATGATGTGGTCACCGCTCGTCTTAACATTTTTGGGTAAGTCTTATTTAATTTTTTTTTATTAAAACCTTTTTATAACTTGTGGTAAAAATATTAAATAATTTAGTAAACCATACATTCAAAAAAAATATTTATAACTGAGCCGCCTAGAATTATTATACCGTGCGATGAAGAAGTTTACTATTCAAGATGTTAAAAAAATTCTTATATTCTTTCCCTTAGAAATAATTTATGTGTTATAATACAAAGAACGCTGGAGTAATGAACTTCCTGATCACATTGTACTTTTAGCCCTTATTTATTTTTTCCCTAACCGTTAAATATTATTATATCATATCTATAATATCAGTATTTTACATTTTATGAACTCTACAAAAAAATAAAACACTAAATCACCACAATACACCAAAACACTTTTACTTTTACACTGGACGCGCGTTTCGCTAACCATATTAGCATCATCGGCAGATGATTATAAACTGGTTGAGTTTACTAAATGAGTTTATAATCATCTGCCGATGATGCTAACATGGTTAGCGAAACGCGCGTCCAGTGTAAAAGTAAAAGTGTTTTGGTGTATTGTGGTGATTTAGTGTTTTATTTTGCTGTGTAACACCAAAGGTTCCAACCCTCAACATTAATCTTATGAACTCTAAACATTAATACTATTTTTAATTCTAAATATAAGGCACTGTTTAATAATTATTCTTTTTACTTTTAACTTTTGTAGTTGGGTATACCCTTGCTTCAACCCCCGCCTTCAAAGAAAATACCGAATATGTATACCAAATTAATGGGCGAACACTAAGCAGCCTGCACGATGTTTCCGATCAGTATTCTGGCATATTCCTGAAAGCCAAATTTCACATCTCCAAGCAGCCCGATGGAAAACTACAAGGAAGGCTATCTGATGCCCATTATGCTCAAATTCATAGCCCCCTCCCTAATGGGTTGGAGACAGAGATCCCAGAATCACAAATGAGTTACAAAAAGCTGAGTCTCTCTCAAAACCCATTCCAAATGGTTGTAGAAGATGGGCTTATCCAGAACATTATTATGGAAAAGGAAGTTAGCAACTGGGAAGCTAACATTATCAAAAGTATTACCAGTCAGTATCAGTTGGATGTCAACGGAAAGAACGCAATCTACGACCCAAGCAACAGACTACCAAGTGGGGACAATTTGAGTGGAGTGTTCAAAACAATGGAAAAAACTGTTACCGGTGAGACTGAAACGGAATATAAAATCCACAACTTGCCTTTGTATATTCTTCAATCTCGACCATGGTTGGCCCCTAAATCCGACATACGAGAAGACAGTGAGGTATTTGAAGTTATTAAGAACAAGAATTATTCAAATTCTGAGGAAAGGCCTTCATACCATTACGGTTTTGGAAATATGTTTGAAAATGAACCTACCGCTAACAGTTTGGGAGAATTCTTAACAAGACAATCAGAGTCCCGTGCCATTTTAACGGGTAAGCCTTCCAGATATACCATCCAAAGTAGTTATACCGTTAACAAGATTGTCATTAAACCTAGCGTGAACAACAAGGAGAGAGGGTCAGTTGTTAGTATTGTCAACGCCACATTAGTTGAAATCAAAAATCAAAATCAACAACTCGAACATTTATCCAATCCTGTCGACATCGGAGATCTTGTATATACTTTCGAAGATCCGTTGTCTCAAAATAACCATGTAAGAGAAAAAAGTATGAAACCATCCAGTTCTAACGAAGATGTCAGTGAAGAAAGTAATGAGAGATTATGGCACAGACTCCGTCGTTCTATTTCTCAAAAGATGGAAAAGTACAACAAAGGCAGTAGATCATCTGAAGAAAATGTACAACAACAACAAAGGCCCGAAATGAGCCACGCCCCACAGTCTCCACTCCTTCCATACTTGATGGGATACCACGGAAAATCGATTAAACAAAACCGAGATTTCGATCTTAGGCAAAACGTGCAAAGGATGGCTCAAGAAATAAGCGAAAACATTCAGGAACCAGAAACAATCCTCAAACAATCTACCTTAAGCAAATACATCATGCTGGCTTCGTGGGTTAGAGTTATGGACGAAGAAGAAATTAAACATGTAGCTGAACAATTGTATGTCCAATCGGGACAAGGCAAAGAGCTTTTAGCCTGGGAGCTTTACCGTGACGCTGTAGCCGAAGCTGGAACAGGACCTGCCTTTCTTAACATCCAAAGATGGATTGAGAATAAAAAAATTAGCAACAGAGAAGCTGCCGATGTTGTCTCTACCATGGCCCGTTCAGTCCGCACCCCCACTGACGAATATATGCAAAAGTTCTACGATCTGACCAAGAGCAGCAAAGTTAAAGAACAACTCTACCTCAACCAAACAGCTGTTCTGTCATATGCTAACCTCGTATACAGAGTTTACATCAACCGAAACGAGTCCCACAATCAATATCCAGTACACAGCTTTGGAAGTTTCTTCACTAAAGAAGGACGCCAATTTGTAAAAGATATAGTAATCCCATACTATGGTCAACAACTCGAACAGGCCATTGCTCAAGCTGACTCTCCAAGAGTACACTTGTACATTACTGCTTTAGGACATATTGCACACAAAAAAATCTTGAATGTGTATGAACCTTACTTAGAAGGACAAAAGCAATGTTCTCAATTTCAACGAATGTTAATGGTGAATTCTTTGAGAAGACTGTCCAAAACTAAGCCATCTGATGCCCTACCTGTACTATACAGAATTTTCCAAAATGCCGGAGAGCTTCCTGAAATTAGAATTATTGCCGCATATATGGTTTTCAAAAATCCCATGGTTCTTTCTGAAAGGCTACAAAGCATGGCCGAAAATACTAATGCCGAATATCAAGAACAAGTAAACGCTGCCATAAAGTCAGCTATTGAATCAGCGTCTCGTATGGATTCACACAAATATCACGACTTGTAAGTATTTTACATATTTTGTTAACAATTATTTATATTATTATTGTATTAATTTATTTTTTATTTATATAATGCACTGACAAATCGTAAATTTTAATTTCAGGCACAAAGCCGCTCAATCTGCCTTGCCACTCCTTACAAAGAAACTCTATGGAGATGAAAAAAGCTTTATTGACTTCCGTGACTATATTATCAATGATATGCACACAGAAGTTTATCAAGATTTCCTTGAGATTGGCGGTTCAGAAAGCTACTGGCCTAAGGTTGTACAACTATCCGCTCACGGACGAGAAAGCGAAATGTCACGTGACTACTTTTCAATTGGTGGAATGACATCCAGTATCAAGGAATTTACTAATGTTTTATACCAACAAACTGACAGTTATAAACAAGCCAAGAACCAGAGATCTCAGCACCAAAGTGAAGAAAGTAAATGGTCAAGTGCAAACATCGCTCGCTACATGAACTACCAAACCGAAGAAAGAGAACAACTTGAAAATTACATCTATTCTGATATAGCTGGCGTGTCTCATTTATGGTCTTTCGATAACCAAACCATCGAACGCTTACCCGAAGGTATAATTTAAATTTTATTTTAAATATTTCTTAATATACATATTTTTTCTACTTCCAGTTGTTCGTGAACAAGAAGAAATATTAAGTAAAGGCAAGCAAATCAGTTACACAAAACTAAGACAAGTTCAAGAACTTGCTTTATCAGTTCCCACTGAAATGGGGCTGCCATTCTTATATACTTATGATACGCCAATTTTACTTAGATTCGAAGGAAAGATCCAAGCTAAAGCTACTCCTCAGGTTTCAGATGGCAAAACATTAGCAAAACCTGATAAAATTGATGCTCAAATTGAAGGTTCTGTAACTTTCAGCGCAAAGGGCCAAAGTCATTTATCATTTGTTACACCTTTCGACCACCAAGTCTACACTGCCGGATTTGACAGAAACATACAAGCACATTTCCCAGTAAATGTCAAGGCTGAAATTGATACCAAGAAAGCTGAAACTACAGTTGAATTCAAAGTTAAAAGACCCCAAAATGATGCCCGCTTGTTGCATTATAGTAGCCTACCCTATACATCAAGAAGCGATTTAATGAGTGCCGTCCCAATAATTCTAAGACCAAATACCCAAATTATTACTCCTCAGGTAAACAAATTTAGATATTTCGATACAGTTTATGGAAAGAAAGAAACTGGAATGTCCTTCCGTGCTAAGGGACACTATCCTGTCCAGACACTTAATGTTGGTGAATTAGTCTATGCACTTAAATCTAGAAGAGTAGATACTTTATTGCAGTTGCTATGGGATCGTTCTTCGCTCCAAAATACCGACGTATCAATTACCTCTGTACCTAGCCAATCAACCACCAACAAAGTAATTCTACGTTATAGCCATCGCAATGAATATAAGATGCAACCAGACATCGAAAATCAAGAAGCCTTCTTTAGTTATGATCAACTGGCTGAAAAAAGTCAAGGTGAGTCACAACAACGCCACGAAAAATTACTTAAATACGTCGGAGCTGGAATAAGAAGCGCTCAACTCCACTCAAGTCAATTGTCTTTGGAATTCGAAGGACTCAAGAAGCAACAGTATTTATTCGGAGTAACCTCTGGAAAGAGCAACGCTGATCCTATCTCCAGAACCATTATGTATTACAAGCAAAATGGCGAAAAGCAACAGCAACACCAATTTTCTTTAGATGTGAAAGGTTACGTACCAAATACCAACGGTTTGGACCTTACGTATTCCCTGAAAAGTGCACCCGAAGCAAAATACGAAGTACGCATGTTATATGGAGCAAACAAAAATGACGCCGCCTTAGTATCTGGAAAAATCACCTTCATAAGAAGCGACGAACGTAAAGAAATGCTAACTCAGAAACCTTTGTATAATCAGTGCAAAAGAGAAATGCAAGAAGGCAACTTCCAACTTCCAGCATGCCAGAATATGACCATTGAATCTAACCTCTTAGACACCATTGAATCCCAATGGCAATATTCTAACATAAATAGCAATTCTAACATAAATAATAACAAGTATGAAGACATAGTAAAGGACGTATTCGAAACTTTAAAAATGTATTATTATCCAGTTACTAGAATAGAAAGGATTGGATCTAAACAAAACGAAATTGAAGTTAAGATTAAATTGGAACCTGAGGACCTCAGAAGATTAAACATTAGTATTGAAAGCGGTGAAGAGCGTACCACTATGCACGATATGCCTATTAATAGTGAACTGATTAGGACTTTATTATTATCACACCCTGTTTTCCATGCCCCGTCTAGATATATGGGAGTTCTTAAGGCATGGCCACTATTTAGACGTAAGTTTGAGCATATTTTAATTAACTGTCATTTATTTACATTGCAATTTAATTTACAGCTACTTGTGTTATTGACCAAACATCTGGCCAAACCTTCAACAACAGAACGTATCCACTCTCTCTTGGAACCGAATGGACTGTAGCTCTCCAGTATGTCCCACAAGAGGCTCGCAAATCTGACCTTAAGACTGAAACTGTTGAAGAGCAACTAAAACGACAAGAAGAAAATTACGCCGTCCTGGTACGTCAACCTTCCGCAGAAGAAAAAGAAGTATTGGTCACTTTCAACCATCCAAAATCGGAAGGCAAAACTGTAGAAATCAACATGAAGGCTCAACAACAAAGCCAACGATCTGGCTCAAGCCCACTCGCCACCGTTTACGTCGACAGTAGAGAGATGAAGTTTAACGACACAGAAGCAGCTGATTTATACAAAGGATTCGTCCAAATCTACGCCTTGCCAAACGGAGAAGTTAAAGTAGAAATCCAAGATGCATTCTATGTGATCTTCGATGGAAAACGCGTCAAGCTTACCTCAACCAGCAGCAAACTCCGTGACTCCAACAAAGGACTTTGTGGAAAATTCAGCAACGACAAATACGAGGACTTTACGGTACCCGCTAACTGCATTGTAGCCGACTACAACCAATTTGTAGAAAGTTACCAAATGACAGCTGGCAACGAAAGAAGTCAAGCAAAGACCCAAAACTGCATTGCTAAAGTAATGCCTCTATACGATGATGTAATTCCAAGCAGAAATACGAACTTAAACAGTGAACATTCAGCCGGCAAAGTGCAACTACGAAATCGCTATGTTGAAGAAAACGAACGCATTTGCTTTACAATCCGTCCAGTTCCTACATGCAAAGGAACACCCCGCAAGGTTCTATCCAAGCCAGTAGCTGTACACTGCATCGAAAAGACCAAAACAGCCACGTACCTGAAAAACCAAATCGACAAAGGAGCCAACCCAGATTTCAGCCATAAAGAAGAAACCAAACAGGTTTTGATAAGTCTAGCTCGTGAATGTTAATTAATATATAAATTATTATTCAGCATGTATAAAATGTAAAAAAAAATAAAACAAAAAATTACTTTTATAATAATACCACGTTGTTTAATATACCCAATAGTTATAATAATGAACCTTTCAGTTGGGGGTTGGAACCTTTGGTGTTACAACAGCAAAATATAATATTAATTCATCAAAATACACCAAAACATATTACTTTTCCACTGGACGCGAGTTTCGCTAACCATTCATCTGCTGATGATGCTAATGTAAAGTGTTTTGGTGTATTGTGGTAAATTAGTGTTTTATTTTGCTAAAATGAACCTGCTATACAGATATACCCGGTGCGTCTCAAAAGTGGCTCACCCTATAACTTTTTTATTTTTACAGTTAAAAAAACGAGATTTAGTATGTTAGTATTTGTTGGTATTTTAGTATAAAAAAATGCTTTTTCCAAATATGCTAATAATGAGCCACCCTCGTTCCATTTGGAAAAATTAAGATATGATTAAAAATACGATTTGAGCATTTTCTAACTGGCCAGGACAAGACACTAAAAACATTAGACTATCAAATCTAATTTTCCAAGGCTCCTTGATTAAGAATTAGTGTTTTTAACATAGCCATGGCACTCTAGGTTGAATTTTAAAATACATTTTTTTATTAAGCGAGAGTGTCAAAAGTTGACATATATGTCATTTTATTCAGAATGTCATTTTCTATCGAATAAAGTAGAAAATTACCGAGGGTGCCATTTAAAAATCAAAAGTTGTAGTAATTTCCGGTGAAACAGGAAGTGACTAAAAACAATTGAATACGTCAATCAATACTAATTTATGTTATATACTAACATACCAAATCTCGTTTTTTTATCTAAAAAAATAAAAAAGTTATAGGGGTGAGCCACTTTTGAGACGCACCCGGTAGACCATCATCATGGTTACTATTGTTCAATCACCACGGTTACTATTATTATTTGAGTAAAAAGATACACAAATTTAAAAAGATTTTCAGGCACAAATCTTCAATAGTTTGCTTTTCTATGATCGAAATGGCCTATAAATACAGACTAATGTAAAATACTAAAGAAATAAAAAATGTTTATTGCAACCTTCGGTTATATTAAGAAAGGCAAATGGTTCATTTAAATCAAACACTGAACAAACGAATTTCTATTACTTATTTTTCTTTAAAGTTTTTCCTTTTTTTATTCACAATACGAAATTGAGAAAATGATCGATCGCAGAGAATACGTAAAATTTTCTTACAATTCCGCATCGAATTCAGGAAAATTTATTTTTAACAACAAATGTTTTCCTTCTAGTAAGTTCATCGCATTTCGCGTTGCCTCTGCTTGTTTACCGCGAGCCTATATAAATTTATACAAACGCTAAAGTCAATTCTTTATGATTAATCTAATAAACCATCCATTTTCCCCTCAAAATCAAGTATGATCTTCTACATAGTGCAGATAAACCGAAATACAACTAGAATTTTTGACCAATTGTATTTCCAAATAGAAGATTTCGAAATACTATTGGATTTTTTTTTGTTTTAAATACCTTGGTTTTGTGAGAAAATTATTTCTTGGGCCCTTGTTTTTGAGCTATTTTCGATGATAGTTAAAACGTCTCTTACATCCATCACTCTCGTAAGACTACAGTGGCCTATATTTTCTTATGCTACACCTTTTAATTAGTAAATAACAACAGTTTTAACAAAATCAGTGACAAGACAAAAATCATTAATTTTCATGACTAATGTCAGTCGAAAAAATTCCAATTTTTCGCTATTTTTACACATTTTCAAAGACCTTAGAAACATAAAAGAAGTAGCCATAAAATTATGAAAGTTTCTATATTTGTACCAAAATTTAGGTAAATTCAGAATATATAAACGTTTGAAAGCCTAGGTACCTTGGCTTTGTGACAAAATTAACTTTTTGGACCCTTGTTTTTCAGCTATTTTTGATGGTAGTTAAAACTTCCCCTACGTCCATTACTGTATCTCATAAGACTACAATGACCTATATTTTCTTCTACATCTTTTAATTAGTAAACAAAAGCAGCTTTAATAATATCGGTGACGACGAAAATCGACAATTTTCATGACATGGAAAAAAGTGAAAAAAAATGACCATTTTTAGATATTGTTAACAAATCTTTAAAGGTCTTAAAGAAATAATAAACATAGACCTAGTATTATGAAAATATCAACATATAATATAGGAAATTGTATGCAGATTCAGAAAATATACACCTTTGAAGGTTTAGATACCTTGGTTTTGTCAGAAAATTAATTATTTGAACCCTTGTTTTTGAGCTATTTTTGATGATATTTAAAAGATCGCCTACAATTAATACTGTCTTTTCATAAAACCACAATGGCCTATATTTTCTTATTCTACGCCTTTTAGTTACTAAATAACAGAAGTTTCAACAAAACCGGTGACAGAGATGGAAATCGACAATTTAAATGATTATATGTATGGAAAATATGCCCATATTAACTATTTTTACATATTTTCAAAGGTCTTAGAGAAATAGGAAACATAGTCATAAAATTATGAAAGAATTTGTAGGAAATTTTATGTAGATTCTGAATATATACAGCTTTGAAAACGTAAATACCTTGGTTTTGTCAGAAAATTAATTATTTGAACCCTTGTTTTCCAACTATATTTGATGATAGTTATAACGTCCCCTACATCCATTACTGTACTCGTAACACTACAATGGCCTATATTTTTTATTCTGCGCCATTTTATTAGTAAAAAACAGCAAAATCTGTGGCATAAAGAAAATCGACAATAATATACAGGGTGGCATACGACGCGGAGGCTCACGCCAAATGAATGATCATATGCCAGTTAATTTAGAACATTTTTAATAATGAAGGATAACTTATAAATTTGAATAAAAAATTACCTAAATTGTAATTTACCCTGTATAGCCTGATATGTAGTTAAAATATATGCATTGTATGTTAAACAACATTAAATCTTAATCAAACGAACACTCTGTAAATATTTTTTTGTCCTTTTGTTTTAAAATCTCAGAAAATTATTGAATTTAACAAATTAGTTGACTTGATAACATTATTCAATGGAATAATGTAATTTTCTTGCGATTCCTTATTTTGCTGGTAAAGAGTCGATGTAACTAGGATAAGATTAAATATAGGTACATTTTGAGCGGGCATGTCCGTCATATATACAACTCATACATACCTAGAGCTACCGCTAACTGATCTTGTTTCAGTTATTTCATAAAGCTACTGAAATCGTGTGTTTAACAGCCAGTAAGTAATCATGTATCGCGCTTCAGAATTCCCAATCAAAAAGTGGCATTAACTTTTTTCTCGCTCGAGCATGCATGGAATTACTATTGATTTGTTTGATTAATTAATTAATCCTCCTAAACTAATTCGCTTTGTGCTAAATATGACGCGTACTTAATCTATATCGTTATCATAATAAAAGCTTTTTGAGCTTGAATGCCGCTTTCAAACAATTTGTTAAAGCTGAATAGATACAAAAATTATCTTAAATATCGATTACGCAGGTTAACGGATGTAAAGGACATCTCAAATAATTTTAGGTGCCAGACCAGAAGTAATGGATGAGAGGAAAGAGAAGAACTAGCAGATAAAATGTCTTCTACCGACGAGCAGTACAGTAGTATAGTCTACAGTAGTAGTAGCAGTAGTTTTGATTGGAGTGAACTAGTTCCAGTATTAGTTATATACGGATTTAGCTTTGTCTTGGGGTTAACCGGGAACTGTTTAATTATATTCACAACTTTCCGCTATCGGAGAATGCATAGTGTCACAAACGTATTTCTGTCAAGCCTAGCCTCCTCCGATCTACTACTCATTATATTTTGTATTCCAGTAAAGGTAAGATCTGAGCTCAATTTATTTTAAAAAACAATTTTTATAGTTTTAGAAGTTATAATACCATACGATCGAAAAAAATGGTGTCAAAGACGGCTGGGGAATGACAATCGATGAGAATTTTGTCGAGATCAAGCCCTAGACGTCATTTATTTTGCTCGTACTCTTCTTTATTTCTGCCAGTTGGCCTTAAGAAAGTTATAATTTATTTTTATATGGAATAAAAATGCGTTTTAAATGGTGTAGTTTAAAATTCCAGAAACAATATTTTTTAGAAATAGATTTATGTGTCTAGAAATGTTCTATCCTTTTTAATATTTTTATAATTAGTGTTAATAAAAAAAATTAGTGTTAATTTGGCAAGTTTTGAGTAAATTTTTGGTAAATGACGTCTAGAGATTGACATCGCCAAATTTATTAACGATTATCATATCCTAGGTCTTTGACATCGTTTTTTTTTCGATAATAAGGTATATCAGAGATTGTAATTCGAAAGTCACTATGGCGCCGCTTTTTGTTTCAAAACTCAAAATATGATGAATACATAAAAATCTAAATAATGCATACTATTTTTTCTTTTATACAGGATGTCCCAGAAATAAGTGCAAGTATTTTAAGGGGAGGTATGTAGATCTCGATAAAAAAAACATATTTTTTCTTTATAGTTTTTCAAATAAGCCCAAAATAACGGAGTTATTTTACTTTGAAAATTTTTAAAAAATCATTTTTTGCTAAAATTTTTAGAACCACTGTATCTTTTCTGGATTTTCTTTCTTGTAAATTTAATCTAATACCTATGTTGCCATATTATCAAGAAATTATGTTTTTAAACTAAAAATTAAAAATATTTCAAAAAAATTTTTCAAAAAATTTCGAATTTTCAAAAAAAGATTTTCGCGAAAAAAGCCTCATCATGTTTCTGGGGTTGAACTATACTACCAGTTAAAATACTTGCACTTACTTCTGGGACATCCTGTATAAAAAAGTGTGACAAAGTTAATGTTATACCGTATGATCAAAAAAAAAGGCGTCAAAGACGGCTGAAGAATGACAATCGTTGATAATTTTGGCGAGGTCAATCTTTAAACCTCATTTATTTTAAAAATACAACGTTTTCAGACACACAAATCAATTTTCAAACCACTATATTTTCTCGAATTTAACTAACAATTCAAAAAACCACACCATTCAAAAATCATATTAACTCAATATAGTCGTTCTATCCTCCTTTAATCTAGCTGTAATTAGTGTTTATTTTAGACAAGTTTTATGTCAATTAATAAATATTGTCTAGAGATTGACCTCGCCAAAATTATCATTAATTGTTACGACCCAGCCGTCTTTGACGCCTTTTTTTCGATCGTATGGTAAAATTAATATTCGGACGTTCTCGGTTGTTAAACTTATTCAACGTTATAATACAGAATTTCCTTTCTTAAATTTTATCAGTCCAACAATAATTACAATAATAAAAAGGTATCTAGTCAGTCTAGATGACTACAATAAAAATTCACTAAAATAAGGAATAGAGTTACGATTTTATATTTCGTATAATACAGTAGTTGGGATTTCTTATTATAGCGAATTTACATAAAAAAAATCATATAAAACACATATATCGGCCAGTTTTAAATTAAATTTGTTAACAAATAAAACTGAATATACTATACGATTAAAGAAAAACTTCTTGACTGTAGCCTTTGAATAATAATAGATGATAATTTCAGTCGTGCCGAAGTTCAAAAGTTACAGTGACGTCGTTTCCTTTCGACCATAGTGTCCATAGTTTATATTAAGGTCTGGTAGTTTCGTAGTTTCTTTACTATAATATTTTATTCTGTAAACTTTGCTATAATCGATCTGCACAATTTTGGCTGTTATATTTCAAACAAGTTTGACATTTTCTATTTAGATCTTATTCAATTTTGGTATTTTCTAAAGATAATAAATAGGAGTAAAGGTAATAATAATATTAATTTTTCAACAAGCTTTCTCGCCGCAGAGTTTATTTTGGCAAATTTGAAATAAAAAATTACAAATTAATTTAATCAACCTGATTTTAAAAACGTTCAAAAACCATCTGACGAGGCATGAGAGTGAGATGCAATTAATAACAATTGAAATGTTCCAAACAAGCCTTTTGAAAACACAACGGTTTATTTATTTACTGGAAACTATATTTAAATGGATAGAAAAGTTTATTTGTTCGCTATTGAAGTTACTAAAAAACGTTCCAATATTATCCACTGTATAAGCATTGGTAAAGATGAAAGACAAAATCATTTATACGTTTAAAAATCTATTTGTTTCTCATGTATATAAAATTCTTATGAAATAAATGTATCTATAATGAAAATAAGAAGTCAATTATGTTGTACAAAATTACCTAAATATCCATATGTGATCGAATAAAAGAGACGTCATAGTAGGCATATAACACATTTCGGTTCTAGTGTATGTCTATTTTTAAAAATTTTGAGAGTGGCGTTTATAGCTTTTAAAGTTTAATAAAGTGTACAAATAACTTAGCGATTGTTGATTGTATAAGAAGAAAGAAGTTAATCACCGCGACGAGAGGTTAATTTTTCATCTCCGGTATCAGTCGAAGTATCAACGGTATCAGTCCGTTGTTTCTTTGTGAAGTGTTCATTGAGAAGACAGTGTCCTGTAAAAAACCTCATGACAATCCGAAGATTGTTCTTACTGAAATCAAGGAAAATTTTTGATTCCTCTCGGCCCTAAGTTCTGAGAAATTTCTTCAAGTGTCTCAGACCTTTGGAAGATTCCCATCCCAAGTTACGGATGAAGTCTTCAAGATTTTTGAGTTCCTCTTTAAGTGAGTTGCCACTTGGGGTGGCAACTCTTAATTCCTACAGTTGTCAGTTCGTCCAACGAAGATTATATTAGATCTTTCAGATATCTTTCTATCTATAAGATGGATATTTCTTGTTTCCGATAATTCCAATCTAAGATAAACTGTACGCATCTATCGATAGCGTAGATTTCTACCTGAAGGCAATAACTCAGAATACATAACACTGTTAGACACTTGAACACTAGACGATACTATAATATTAACTTTTTTTCTAGGTAGCAAAACTTTTTTCTTTTACATGGACGATGGGATGGATATTATGTAAAAGTGTCCATTATATGCAAAATCTATCTACAATATGTTCTGTACTAACACTGACAGCTATTAGCATTGAACGGTAAGCAGATTATTTTAAAAAATGAAAATTAAATAACTCCAATATGAAATAACATTAATACATCGAGCTATTTTATGTTGTTTACAGTGGCTAAAATTTTCTGATTTCCTAATTCATCAACACGAAATCAAATAGATTTGTTGTCTAACTAGCACTTTGCAGTTTACACAGCGTGAACAGATACATTGTTAGAGCTTGTTTAGATGCGATAAAAACAAATTATTACATTTCTAGAGCATATTTTATTTTAGCTTAGAAATTGTTGAGTGCTATTATTTATATAATGTAATATCACGCCCTCACTAAACAATATTGCTTCTTCAAATGTTTCATATATAATAATGTATCGTTTTTCTGATTTAATAATAAAATATGTCAAACAAAACTGTGTGTGTGTGGAGTAGCAATAACGCTTCCTTTTAAATATGAAATGATTGAAGTGTTGTCAAAAAATCATAAAATATAACATATTTTTTTGTCGTTTCTTTCCCTTATAACCATATAATATTTTACAACATGAAGAAATGCTTCTAGTATTTATATACAGAGTATTCCCTGAACACGTTAAATCATTGCAGCTCCTGAATTAAGCCTTAAAATTTTGTATCACAATATGACAAGTGTAACTTTGAATGTGATAGACAATGATTCAGTATTAAAACTAAAAGAATTTCGGACTTCCATTGTCTTTATTTATTTTGCTTCTATCCATAAAAATGAGGAGGTGATGTGGTGTTAGCAATGTGCTAATATCGTCCGGGATGAAATTCTTAAATTTATAAAAGCTCGGTAGATTTTTCCTTCAATTGTCTTAGTAGGATCACTGGATATCAAGCTATATTTACTTTAGCCTCGTTGATTTTTCTGTCATACTCTTCTATGCGCAAAGTCCAATATTACCATCGCATTCCCCTTGTCCGCTGGGAGAATCTTGATGGAATCGTTCTTTCGTAGCTCCCTAATAGCGATTTTTTCTTCCTTGGTGGTGTTGGATATTTTTTTTTGGTTTTCTAACAATTTTCTTACCTTCTATCTCAGTTCATCTGCATCCGGTCCCTGTCTCAATGTTTCCATTGAGCTTATAATGTCTAGAGTAGGTTTTCTAAGGCGCAAGGGCAAAGTTGAGTCCTTTGATCAAAATTTGTTCTTCTCGGAGTTCACACTTGATAACGGTCAGTGATACTTCTGATCGAAACGTTGTGTAAGCAAAATATATAAAGTCAATGGAAGCCCGAATTTTTTTTAGTTTCAATAACAAGTGTATTAATATATTCTTAAAAATATTTTAAAAATCGACAAATTTTAACTAGTTTTCTGCATATTATTCAAACAATTGTTTAAATCGAGGATTCATGTTCCTTTTGAACGTAGGTATATTTTTTGGCATGAGTCGTATTACACGTTTTACAGTTTATTTTCTTACCAAAAAAAAATAAATATTACAAAACGACAATTCAATTTGAATGAAAAGGATGTTTTACTATGCACTGCATAATGTAGTTGCATAATTGCACCACAATCGTAAATAGCTTTTAGTGAAACAACAAAACAAAATACAAAGTGTTACGATCGAAGAAAATAAATACCCATATTTGCATCATAAGCAGTAACAGTTATTGACTTTCATCACAAATCACAAAATGTATACGCATATAAAAATAAAATGAGCTGAAATATCAAGAGCTCTATAACTTTTTCTAATATATATAAAGTGTTAACGTTAATTAACAAAATTATGCTTTACGTCATACTTAAGGTTACTAACCTCCTACGTTAACAAGATTATTTATATGTATATTTCGCTAATTTGCTTAATACTGGAAAATATTAAAGAAAAAAAGCAAAAGAAAAAATATTCTTTTATTAATATACAGAACTTATTTAAACATTGTGAATGAACAATTTCAATATTGTTTTGTTATTAAGGAAATTGATTACAGAAACATTACATATTTATTTAGAATATCTATTTTACGATATCTATTATACCCCCTACACATATAAAATCTATTATACTCAACAAGTCTGTAAGTCGCATATTTTCAATAAATTAAGTTGCATTAAGTTGCATATTTTCAATAATCTTCAAAATACAAGTTTATATTTTTTTTAGTTATAACAAGCTATCTTATTAATAATTCTCAGATAATTATTAATTTAATGATATTAAATTCTTTGTATGATAAAATGCATTAAAAAAATATACAATTTAAAATTATAGTATATAGTATATGGATATTTTTAATATGCATACTACCTAGCTAATATACTAGACACTAAAAATTATTATTGTAATTTTATGGCATAACAATCGTTATTAATGAAACTAATTTAATTTTATCATTAAATAATTTAGTACTTTCATAAATTACAGCTACTATGCTATAGTTCATCCAGTGAAGTCTAAATATATTTGCACCCTAAGGCAAGCAAAATCAATCATATTAGTAATATGGATTATGTCTGTAATTCTATCTGTACCAACTGCCATTGTATGGGTAATAATTTCGAGTAAAACGGAAATTTCATTGTCCTAAGTAATTTAATTTAATTTTTAGGTTCAAATGCCTGTAGGAGTAGATAATGAATTATTTTGGTGTTCAAAAGATGAAAACAATATGATTCTATGGAAAATACACGAAATCTACCTCTTAACTTTAGTTCTTATCATACCTTTTAGCATAATGGCTTATTCGTATACATTTATATGCTATGAAGTCTGGAAAGTTATGGAACATCGTGTTGTTATGACCAATAATAGTGCGTAAGTATATTCGGAAGATATTAAATTATTTAGTTATGACGAATTTCATATTTCAGATTTAAAAATCCAGTGACGTATGATCAAAATGCCGTATGTCTGGCAAAAAATGGCCAGCAGTCCAAAGAAAGCAAAAAATCCCGAAGCCAAATAAAAAATTATAGAGACGATGCTAATACGGTTAAGCAAGTAATTTACATGCTGGTCATTGTAGTGGTTTTATTTGCAATATGCTGGACCCCTGCATTGGTCGATAATATATTAACAGCTTATGGGGTATTAACACAAGAAAGATCAGGATTTTTGAAGTATATGTTGACAACTTTCCACTTATTGTCATATTCAAACAGGTAAATGTCAGAAAAAATGAAACAAAATAAATGTAATCATATACACTAATGTATGTACTAATATATGGTGCATGCGCCAGGATATTCCCAATCGCTATTTATACATGTAAATATGATACATTAAGATTAAGAAATAAAACATCTTGGAGTGACATTTACTTTACATCTACTTTAAATTTTACACTTACCGACTAAAACTAACAAAGTGAAAATGCTCTAGACATGAATTAAAATCCCTTATCAAGCCCACCTTCTATAAAACGTTAATATATGCATTTTTTCAGTTGTATAAACCCAATAATTTATGGATTTATGTCTAAAACCTTCAGAGAGAGCTTTAAGTTGGCTCTATGCTGTTCTTCCGATTCCAAAGAATATATACGCAGAACCGGTAGTAACTATAGTATGAGATTCATCTCAAGAAATAGCTCTCAAACGAGAACAACCCCCGAAACCAGGAGACAAGAAAGGACTCTGTTATGTGTTACACAAAGTGTTTAAATTTTATAACACCGTTGTAGTTTTTTGGGTGTTTTTGCTATGAAATGACCAATATACCGGGTGCGTCTCAAAAGAGGCTCACTCCTATAACTTTTTTATTTTTTCAGATAAAACAACGATATTTGGTATGTTAGTATATGACATAAATTGGGATTGATTGACGTATTCAATTGTTTTCGGTCACTTCCGGTTGCACCGGAAATGACTACAACTCTTGATTTTTAAATGGCACCGTCGGTATTTTTTTACTTTATTCGATAGAAAATGACACTCTGAATCGAATGACATATCATATGTCAACTTTTGACATTTTGGCATATGGTTTATTTGAAATTGTAACATGCGGTTCATAACAAGTTGACTCAAAATACCAAGTGTGTGGTATCAAATTATTGGTAAAAAAATGCTTTTTCCAAATATGCTAATGAGCCACCCTCGTTCCTTTTGAAAATTGAGAAATGATTAAAAATACGATTTGGGCATTTTTTAACCGGCCAGGACAAGACACTAAAAACATTAGACGATCAAATCTATTTTTCCAAGGCTCCTTGATTAAAAATTAGTGTTTTTAGCACAGCCATGGCACTCTAGATTCAAATTTAAAATGGAATTTGGTTTTGAGTGACTATGTCTAAAATTGACGTATGATATGTCATTCTATTCAGATTGTTATTTTCTATGGATTAAAGTAAAAAAATACCGAGGGTGCCATTTAAATATCAAAAGTTGTAGTTATTTCCAGTGACACCGGAAGTGACCGAAAGCAATTGAATACGTCAATCAATCCCAATTTATGTCATATACTAATATACCAAATCTCGTTGTTTTATCTAAAAACATAAAAAAGTTATAGGGGTGAGCCACTTTTGAGACGCACCCGGTATACAATTTATGATAATATACATATTTAATTCTCGTATTTTCAGGCTGCTCTTAAAAAATTAGATTTCTGATACTATTATAGCTATAGATACAGAAAAATAAACTTAGTTGTTGTAATTAAAAAGATCGCTTCTTCCTTTAAAATAATATATTTTCAACTTTATGACACCAATATTGCAATCCACCAGCCCAGCAATACTTCTCTATATAAAATAATTGGCTTTCAGGAAATGAAAGATCAGGAAGTGAATATAGATTGTTGACAACCAATTTGATAATTATCTGCAGCAAAAAAGGACGTCAACTTAAATGCAAGACTATAATCGCACCAAAACTATTAACGGTGTTTCTCAAAATGTTTAAGACTACAGACTATTTTATAAAATTTAAGACTAATATCCTAAAAACGAACTAGTCATTAGTATAATATTAAGGTCCTTTAGCAGTCTTATTAGTGTGTTATTGTTTGGACTTAAATTATTTGCCAATGAATTAAATAGGAGAAGCAGGGGTAATGCCGATCAGCGGGGAATACAGGTGACTTCTGTTAAGACAGATAATACAAATATTAAAAAGATGAGATAACAACTTATTTATTTCCATTTTTTTTTTCTTCTGAACTGCCATTACCCTTACTTACTCTAATCGTATATTTATTTGCTTTCTATGATACTGTTTGCCAATATTTATAAAGTATTTACAAATAGATGTTTAGTATTTTTATTTTTACAGCACCTTTATACAAGAGACCCCCTTTTTAAAATAGAACGTTGTCGCAATTTAGGTTGAAATACATTTCTGTCCGATAGCCTACGTAAGAAAAAAGTTGAAAACGTGTTAACCTACAATGAATTTAAAGTGAAACAAGTCTGCTCTAAAAAAAAACACGTTGGTCATATTATTCAAAACGTATTTCCTGTATAATGTTAAAATTGCGTAAGAAAGGACAATTATTGGTTTGTTTAATATTGTTTACATAGAACTACTTTCCGCTAGCGCGTGGTTTTGTGAAAGCAACCCAAACAAAATGCTAAACAAACAATTAACTGTCTGTAAAAGTTTGTACGCGTGGATCACACACCTATACCACCTATGTTCAATAGATGAGTTGCTAAATTAAAAATTGTAGTGCACCTTGACCCACTAATGTATTCTGTTGTTATTTACAATGAAGTATTATAAGATCATAAGTCATAAATCATATTTTGTATTTTGCGTTACTCAAATATTGTTCGCGCTTAACCCAAATAACAACTATAATAGATCGATTCGCAATAAATTAACCGAGTTAAATAATAAGAAATGCAAACGAAAATATTGATGAAATGATCAGCGTTGTTAGATGTAAATAAATAATGTAACTGTTTTGAAAACAAACAGGTAAAAATTAATCATAATGACCGACGTCGGGCTGTGTACGTAGAATGTAAATATGCGCACAAGCTTGGAGAATATTCCATTTTGTGACGCTGCGCTTAGTTTGTCTGTGCTGCGAGTGGCGTGCGGAGCTTTTTTCTATCGGGTGTCTCATTTATGGTCTCATTGTTTGTAAACATTGCAGCGGTGAGAAATTGTCTTTCGTGAAATTTCTGTGAAAAAGAGAAATGCCGTCTGCTGAACTGTGTACGTTGACCACAATGACGGCGCCAGCAGTACCAGCGAAGCAACCGGACATGGACGCTTTAGTCTTAGAAATCAAAGAAAATCTGAGGTTATCAGGACCGTCAATGAAGGCAATACCCTGCAGTCACCTTTCACGGAAGTCGTCCCGTGCCTCTCCATACCGTATACCGGGCAAATATTTCTACGATTCGTGCGACGCAACTTGTGTCCGACAAAAAAACAAACAACAAGATCTTAGTCAACAAGACCCCTACGAACTGTTACAAACGTTATTGAGGTCGGGTAATTTAGTTAATGAGGCTGTGCGTAGAGTTAAACTAGGTTTAACTCAAGGATTATCTACGAAAAAGTTATTCTACGAATCGGACGAGGAATCGTCGAGGAGTCCTGTGTTCAGGTTTTTTCAAGAAAACTGAACCTACGTAGAACTGTTACATATTTTAGTAAATCTGTTGTTCCTTTAGAAAAACGAACTTTGCTGTTAGAGATATGTTTGTTTATTTTTATGGTTCAATCTGTTTATATTTTCTCTCACTTTAACTAGAACAAGGTAAAAGAGTTCAAATGCCACACGAAATTTACAAGCTTCAATACCTGTTATATAAACAAAGTCAAATTCCATATTTATTTACTCCTCGCTTGTTTATTACAAACCGTTATCAAAATAAATCAAGTAGGCACCTTGAAGTGTAGTCTTGAGATAAATTTTATAGATAAAGATATTATATTTAGTCCATTGAAGTAAACAAATACTATCAAATCGTAAATGTACCCAAAGAAAATTTTAGATAAATAATGATTGAAAATACGTGCCTAGTCACATGTCATGGGCTAGCACAATATCAGTGCCTAAATGACACTAAAAAATTGTAAAACTGGGCACAAAAGTTACTTGTTTCCTACATGTCATGTTTCAGTTAAAAATGTCAGAGGGTTGAAATATTGATTTTATTAGATAATATATTAAGGAGATTTTGACACTTGGTAAAAAAACTACATTTCTATAAGAGATAGAGTTTTTTAAATCATTATTTTCAGCTCTATTCGACTACTGGTTAAAGTAATAAAACGACCAGTTTGTTTACGCTTACTACTAATTAAATATGTATGAATGTTTTGTAAACTTTACTATTAGAACTATTATTTTATCTGTGATTAAAGTAGTTATGCCTATCTGTTATTCCTGGTTTGTGTCGCAAGTTTCCGAACACACAACAGAAACACTCAATTGTATACAAAACGATATAACTTTTTCGATACAGAAAATTATAAAAATAAAGCATTATATAATTAGAAGGTTAAAACAATATATAGGTACCTGGCTGCTAAAAATAAACATGTTTGCAACACAAGATTAAAATTTGATAGGTATTTGTGTTAGAATAGTTTAACTTATATTAATATAGATAATTATTTAGTGGATAAAATTATGAAAATGAACAAAAAATTATATAACAAAGGATTTTCTCAATTTTTTGTTACAAAAATGTGAGAGAAAATGCATTTTCTCATTTTTTTAAATTTTACACTTAAAACTAAATAGCTTCTTCATAGGTACATTTTTAAAACTTTACTGTTTGTTTTTAACGTAAATTTTATATATTAGCAAAATTTTAAAATCCAGAAAATTTTAACTGAAGTACTAATAATTTTATCAATTTATAAAATGATTTTTACATGTTTTGTTTTATACAGGCAGTAAATGTTTGTTAAAGTAAATTATGCAATAATTTTACATTTAAACAATTTGTACTAAATAAATATATTGAGAAATAAATTTATTTCTGAAGACTCATACTAGTTTATTATATTCTTACCGAAGTACATACTAGTATTATTATTTATGCTTCTCAACAATGATTGGATTAGTATTCAATATTAAATTCTTATTTTTTGAGATATAAATTAAATTATTACTCGTTGTTGGAGGGTCACTTATATAGTTGGTGGCTCTCAAACAAGCAGTTCACACGCATCACTCTCAGAGATGTCGCTGTAGTAACTCCAGTTAAAATGTTTTCTGTACGGTAATTCACAGGACAGTGCGACCAACTATACGTTTAGGGTTTTTATTTTTTATTATTGGTGACAAGTTGTCTATGTTGGTGACCTATAAGTAAGTCACGTGATTCAATAACGTACCGTAAAAATGAGCGACTAGTCTCTGATCGTTATCGAGTAATTTGAGTGAACCTTTCGAATATTAGTAGTGATTAGTAACAAGGTTATTAAGAAAAGCTAAAACTTAAATTCTTTAGCATATGATATATTAATTAATCAATATTTTAGGCAGCATCGGCCCAAATAGGATATAAGACATGGCAGTCTCTTCTAGAATATTGTTCAAAATTTTTGGTGAGTATTTTCACTATCCTTACATAATATTCAACTAATTTTGGGTTAAAAAAACTTATCGTTCGGACCTTGACATACCGAGGTAGTATACTCAACTTATCAATTAAAGATATCTTCATAAATCAGTAAAATGCACTTTATACATTGATTTTTATATTTTAACCTCAAACTTAGCATTGGATCAAAGTTCAGAGCATCCGCCTAGCTTCTTTATGCCCTTTGTAATAATTCTATAACACACAATGTCCATTGTATTTAATTTATGCTGCTGGTTCTTGTGTTTGTAAATATTTACAAAATACCTCAATTGCTCACTATGTTATGAGGATATGTGTATATTTATTTAATTGAGCTTCAATTAATATGGATTTTGTTTTAGATATTAGACTTGGACAGTCAATTAGATTTAATAGCTACGAAGCCACAAGATTGAATTTAAAGTTAAATGCAAATACCAAAGTAATATGTCAGGGATTTACGGGTAAGCAAGGAACTTTTCACAGTAAACAAGCAATTGAATATGGAACAAAAGTGGTTGGAGGAGTTTCTCCAGGGAAAGGTGGCAAAACTCATTTAGATCTTCCAATTTTCAACTCAGTAAAAGAGGTTAGTATTTCTTCATAGTTCTGATGATATCCTTCACCCATTCTTGCAAAAATTAGGCCAGAGATGCTACTGGTGCAGATGCAACTGTTATTTATGTACCTCCACCAGCAGCTGCAGCTGCCATTAATGAAGCAATAGATGCTGAAGTACCTGTTATTGTGTGCATAACTGAAGGTATTTATATTAGAGGTCAATAATTTAATAATTATTCAATATAATATGTCTCTAGGTATTCCGCAGCATGATATGGTCAGAGTAAAGCATAAACTACTCCGCCAAAATAAGTCCCGCCTAATTGGTCCTAATTGTCCAGGCATTATTGCCCCGGAACAATGTAAAATTGGTATTATGCCCGGTCATATCCATCAAAAAGGTGTGGTTGGCGTCGTTTCTAGATCTGGAACTTTGACTTATGAAGCTGTCCATCAGACAACTCAAGTAGGCTTAGGTCAAACTTTGTGCGTTGGTATCGGCGGAGATCCTTTCAATGGCACGGACTTCATAGACTGTTTAGAAGTTTTCCTCAAAGATCCAGAAACCAAAGGAATCATTTTGATTGGTGAAATTGGAGGTGTGGCCGAGGAACAAGCTGCAGATTATTTAATCAAAAACAATTCAGTTAGTATTCTGGTGCATAAAAAATAAAATTTCTAAACGGTGGGTTTTAGGGTCCTAATGCTAAACCTGTAGTTTCCTTTATTGCTGGATTATCAGCGCCACCTGGCCGTAGGATGGGGCATGCTGGTGCAATCATATCAGGAGGAAAAGGTGGTGCTCAAGACAAAATTAATGCCCTCGAAAAAGCTGGCGTTGTAGTAACTAAGTAAGATCAGTTATATTGATTTATTTAGAAAGAGAACTTATCATTGTTTATTACAGATCCCCAGCGCAAATGGGCACAGAACTGTTAAAAGAAATGCGACGCCTCAATTTAGTCTAGGAATTATTTCCACTATTTATTGAATGTAAATAAGAGCAAAGTCTATTATACACTTCCTGAAATTAATCCTATTTAAATTGCACTTATATATAAATATATACATGTTAAAAATATGTGAGTTGCCAATTGTTATTGCATCTGTGAAATAGAACAAACTTACTATTAAAATTTCCAACTTGTTTAAAGTTGCTATTTAAAATAAACATTTTTTGGGATTTTTTTAATTATTTAAATTCTCATTATACTAATGATAATTATGTAAATGTCTTATCATATTCCTCTAATTCCAAATCATCCCAGCTTTTTAAGCTAATTTTATTACTAAGTTATTTATTGATAACTTAATTGTATGTTATTTTTTTACTGTGTTAGACCATTAAAATCCTACACCAATAAATTTTGTATAATTGCTAATGAAACTATAATAAAAAAGTTTGTTCAAAATAATTTATATGGAGCTAAAAAATCAAACAAACTATAAGGGAAACGCGTCAAAATTGTTTAATATTTTAAATGAAGTGGAAATTTGGACAATAAAATCGGTAATTTGAATAAATTAATTAATTTTAGTTTAAAATGACTCTTACGAGTTGATTTATTAATATTTCATATACAATATATTTTTTCCATTACTGGAAACCTTATTAGGGATATATAGGGAGCAAATTAAATTTATATACTTAAATTATTTATATTATTCACATAAGATTTGAGTCACATATATCTTTATTAGTATACTTATGGTAGCTAATAATGTTGAATATTAAAATATAAAATTTACCATGCAAAAATCATAGATTGCAAATATAAACTCAAATATTTAATAGTTGATTTTATTGGAAAAAAATTAAATATTTGTCTCAAGTGCACTGAGCAATACGTAGGATTAAAGATAAAAAAATTTCAACTGTCTAAATAGTTACAAAATATAATATTCCTAACTGCCAGGAATATATTGTTAATGGTTGTACTTTATTATCCAAAAAAAACACAAATATAACCTACATTAATAATTTGAACTAGAACGTTAAAATTATTTTAACTAAAATCCATCATGTACTATGTAACATCTTTTTCATACAAACACACGGATCTGTGGATGCAGAACCCCCTGTATGTACCTAATGTCTCCTTGTGCAACACTAAAAAGACATCTTTTTTTTGCTTAATATTTCCTGGATGAGCCCATATTTTTCCCATACTCAAACCTCCCATCATTGTAGGTATTAATTCCCGGAGGTGGTGGACATATTGGTACTATTCCCATATTAGAATTATTGGAAAAAGGTCTACCCCCACTTGCAGCTCCTTGATTGTTTGGATTCCACCTGCACAAATTAAATCTGAATGGTACTGCGCACTAATTAAAAATAATTTTTGGACACACATGAAAAATATTCAGAAACAATTGATACTTAAGCTTTTGTCTTCTTTCTTGCCAAACACCTTGAACATGCAATGATTCTTGAGATTTTCGAAACGTGCAAAACAGGCACTTTGAAATGAGTTTATTCTTGAAATTTTCTAAATGCCAGAAAAACCGCCACTTTGGACATGCAATAATTCTTGAGATTATGCAAAACAGACACTTTAAAATAAGTTTATTCTTGTGATTTTCGAAATGCAAGAAAAACCGCCACTTTGGACATGCAATGATTCTTGAGATTATGCAAACAGACACTTCGAAACGAGTTTATTCTTGTGATTTCCTAATGCCAGAAAAAGCGTTACTTTGGCCATGCAATGATTCTTGAGATTATGCAAAACAGACACGTTGAAATAAGTTTATTACTAATTTTCGAAATGCAAGAAAAACAGCCACTGTGAAATGCTTTATTCTCGTGATTTCCTAAATGCCAGAAAAAGCGTTACTTTGGCCACGCAATTATTTTTGAGATTATGCAAAACAGACACTTTGAAATAAGTTTATTCTTGTGATTTTCGAAATGTAAGAAAAACTGCTGCTTGATTTTGGTAAAAAATTATGGAATTATTAAATAAGAAATCAATAAAGATTACGGAAAAGTTACGGAATATGAATATGTTTAAAATTTGGATAGGATAAGGCGACATGATTTAAAAAAAAACCTACCTGTCAGAACTGGCTGGTCTCCAGTCTTGTTTCTCCCACGGTTTTGGTGCATTACCTACAAATTTCGACGATTGCGCGTTCCAGTTATTTGCCCTCCTGTCAAACCCTGCTGCGTCTGAAAAACAGATTTAATTAATACAAAATCCAGCCAGCTTTTTTTTTAATTACCGTTATAATCTCTCCCCCTCTTATCACCATAAGAATTGTCATGTTTGGGTTCATATCCTCCTGATCTGCCTTTACCAAATGAATCTTTAGAAGCTCCAGGGAATTTTTTCGGACTCAGCTCGCGAGTTTTACTAAAAAAAGAGATAAATAAAAATCAAGTATATTTTAATTAAAACTATTATTATAGGATTAAGAAATGAGTAGCGCCACTCAGTTATGTGTTGACAGCATGTAAAGTGCTTTAATGTAACTGTATTTTAACTTTTCGTATAATATAATTTTCAAACATAATATTAAAAATTTTACTTATATTTATAGTTACAACATACAGCATATTTAATACTGCTTTGGCATCTCGCAAATGTATAACAGTGAAGCTTGGTATTCTAGATCACATTAATCTAGATCACATTAATAAATTAAATTATGAAACGTGTAGAGCTACTAATTCCTTTATACTACGCTGAAAATATACTTTGAACTATCGAATCTCGGTGGTGGTGGAGCATCGAAATGTCTATCTGAAGGTGTTGGTCTTTTTCGGTCATCATAGCGATCGTCGCCTCTGTAAGGCACCGGCCTTTTCCCAGGTCTTCGATCCTCTTCCATCCTGATATACGACCTCTCCCCGTCTATTTTAGCGAGTTTATGACGATCGCCATCAGCCGCTGGTCTTTTTCTATCATCAAAACGGTCTTCGACTCTGAATGGAGCACGTTTCACCGCTCTTCGATCCTCCTCTAATCTTATTAAAGTTCTTTCCAACTCCATTTTTTCCCTTGCAATTTTCTCGCGTTCGAGGCGCTGATGTTCGCGTTCCAACCTCAACAATTCGGCCTTTTCCCTTGCGATCTTCTCTTTTTCTAATCTAAGCTTCTGTTTTTCTCTCTCTAATCTAGCGGCTTCTTGACGTTGACGTCTCTCGATATCCCTCTGCCTCAGGCTCTCCTCGTGACGCCGCCTTGATTCTTCTCTTAAAATCCGTTCTCGCTCGCGCATCTTCTGTCTTTCTCTTTCCTGCTATATTAATGTATATAGAGGTATAACAATCGACAAACCTAAATAAAGACTTACCTTAATTCTGGCAAAAGTCAAGACACCCCTGGGTTTTCCTCCGGAGAACCTCCGATCTCCTGATCTACTTCTGCGATCTCTGTCTCGACCTCTCTGAAAATTGTATTACAAAGCATCATATATAACGAAAACCAACAGCACTGCATTCAATAAGGCTTACATGCTTATCATCTGTTCTATGAGGTCCTTCTCTGGACCTCTTCCTCTCCTTGGAGTCCCTTCTTTCGCGTGAGCCACTTTTGCCATCTTTACTGTGCTTGTCATCATCCTTTTCTTCGCCATTCTTCTCGCCCGCTTCTTTCTCTGCACTGTCGCTCTTCTTAATTTCTTTCTTTTCTGTGTCTGATTTAGATTTAGAACTGGGAGAAGACTTGGAGTCTTTCATTTGCCTCATTTGATCAGCGCGTACCTGATCAAACTATTTTTTTTCAAATTAAAAAAAAAGCTATACTTAAAGTGACGCTTCTTCAAACAAACCTTCTCAATTTTTATTATCTGCCCATTTAATTCTGTGTTGTTTAATTTGCTGATAACATTCTCTACGTCCTCGATAGAACCCATAGTGACGTAACCGAAACAACTAGAGCCTGGATAACGAGCGTTTACCACCACCTTGGCTCCCATTACTTTACCACAAGGGGATAGGGCAGACTTCAATTCGCTTGCACGTGTTCTCTGGGCCACATTGGAGATCCAAACGACATTTGGATTCGATTTTCCGCTAACTTTCTTTTGAAGTTTGTCTCCTGATGATCGCCTAAATTAGAAATGCATGTTTACTTTTTTCCTTAGAAATAAACAAACATCGATCTAATACAGAAATATCTAATATATCTAAGAAACACTGAATTCTGTTTTACTCTGTATAAATAATTATATATACAAGGTGTGCCAAAGAGTTCACATCAAGTAAGAATATTTTTATTGATTTAAAAATGTTTATACCGAATTTCTTTGACTTTGTTTTTTAGTAAAGGAATTCCATATAAACTGATTTTTCAATAACTCAATATCAAAAAATTTTCCCATTTGTAGCAAAAAACTTTGCTATTTGGTACACCCTGTACAATAACTACAGCTTTAATTAATTACTCTTAGTTTCGATAAATGATGTAATAAGACTAAGAAAATATTATTTACTACTATAACATAATTTAAAAATTAAAATGTAGGCACTGGTTAATAGATTAAATTTGAAATATTTGAACTAAAATATATAATTTTCATAATTTAGACAATCAGATGACATTTCAAAGTAAGTTAAACTCTATAAAAAGAATTGTTGACATTTAAAATATGCGAAAATATTACAAAACCTTTCTTTTTCTTCATGTTTTCCACAATATCACATAAACTCTTCTTACCATAAACAATACTTTATCCACGTTTTTTTACTCAACATAATGCTGCCATGATCAAGATCCTCCCTATTTTTTAATTTATTATTAAAAAAACTGTGGTCAACAGCTGGTCCAATTGAGTTCATTTGATCCTGGAATGGGTGGCTTTCCAAAAACAGAATATCTGGTGATGTAAGCTGGAATATTGGCTGATACTTCATTGGAATCTTCCTCCTTCCTAATGCTTCATGTGATGTGTCATAAAAAGTCCACTTTGTACTGGTGACATAGATTCCAAGTTCCACTTAAATTGAGAGACAGGGAGAGTCCAATCAAGGTTTTTTGTTTTACTGATTATTCTTCATGAAAGGATTGTCAAATACATTTGAAATAAACATATATTTCAATCCTCTAATCTCGAAAATCTAATTTATATTTGAATTTTCCTACTAGTACAATCAAAGAAGTATCTTAGGCAGCATTATGGAGTAGTAAAGTTGACAAAAAGTGTAAACCAACCTATAATCATCTCCTCTCTCCTCCTGTTGAGAATCCTCACTCTTCGAACGTTCTTGATCTTCATTCTTCTTTTTATCTACAGAAATCAAAATCGACGTGATATATAGGTGATCTCTTTACAACTTTTAACAAACCATGTTTTGCACTGTAGCTTCAACATTATATAATACAAATAAAATAAGAAATTGTAAATAAATCAAAACTCAAACAATCAATAACTGGCATAATTTATTATAACAAAAATAAAATAAAGGACGTTTTTGACAACCAATTGCATATTTTTATATCACCCTCAATATATTTTACTTTGGTCTTTTAAGCATTGTGGAAAACACAACAGTTTCTATTAAATTCTGATGATCCTTATCTTCAGTAATCTTTACGCTGCAAAACTTCCCTCATCTGCCTTGAAAATATGCTCTAAATATATTCTTGATCTATTCAAATATACTTGAATTCTTCGTCCATCTTGATATGATCACTCAAACATGTTGATAAGTTTATAAAACTGGTCTTCTTGATTTATCCATAGGGAACATGATGTTGTACGACTTAATTTTTGAGGGATGAATAGTTTTACAATAATATGCAATTAGTTTCAATTTTGGAAGTGTAAGTAATAAATATAACATACATTAACATTGTTAGGTATGCATATAAAAAACTTACCATTTGTATCTTCATCCCGGACTTTGTCAGTAGATTCATTCTGTAATTAAAAATAAAACTTAAAAATACTAAAATAAATTATAGAATCTGATGTACCTCAACATCATGTAAAGTCTCATCATCATCTAAAGTAAGCCGAATAGGTGATTCATGGCCATCATCCTCCTCTGATATAACAGGTGCTGCAGGAACTTTCGGTATGTCAGTTTTGACAGTGTCTTCTTCATCTCCCTAAACAAAATACGAAAAAAAAATATCTCTAAGTAGGTATTTCTCTTTAATAATATGTTATTACCTTTTCTTCCTTAATTTGAGCCTTTACATTATCATTAAGGGGTTCTTCATCCTTTTTAGAAATATTTTCTGTATCATCCAATTCACTATTTTTATTTTTAATTTGTGCTTCGCTTTCCTTCCCATTCAGTGTTTTTATTTCTTCTTCAACAGGCTCTGTTTGATCATCAACAGACTCATCTAATTTTTCTTCACTTTCCTCAGCAACTTCTAAGCAAATTATATATAGAATTAAAATGTAAACAAATTATAAAAGTTCAATATTAACATTAGTCTCTAATAATAATAATAATAATTAAATACACTTACGAATCAAAGTTCTTTTTTTATTGTCTGGTGAGTCGAATATATATGTCTCAGGATCATGTCCCTCTTGTTCTAACGCCTAAAAATATAAAAAAAACTATTTCTTCAGTCAGATCCGTCTTAACTCGACTAATAAAGTAAAATAATATAAATGATTAGTTTACCATTTTTGCGTAAAAGATCTCGTACTTCCAGTATTCCAGTATAAATAAAAAAACTAGTATGCCATGGATACAAATAAATCTATAATACCTACTATTTTACACTTTTCACTTATAATATATAAACCTATATTAATGAAAAACTGAAGCAAAACTTTGGTAAACCAAAACTTTAATATATACTAAGCGCACGTTTTAATATATGAGATTATATTATAGTCTGTTAATTAACATTTACCTACCTCTTTCAATCTCTGAACCAAAACCTGCTTGACGCCATTTCTATCAAGACCCCTTTTTTCTAATTCGGCTTTCAGATCTATTACTCGTAAGTCCCCCAACTTCTTATTCTCACCCTCAGACATGGCAATATGCAACAACTTCCAGAATGTACCACTCACAAAACACATACACAACCACAACTTCTTTTAAACACAAAAAATTTATATAAATTTTCTTTTACACAAAAAAATGGCGTGAAAGCCGACAAAACATTGAAAAAACTATGCGGGTGGCGGGGGTGACAAATGACAAGAGAGTGGTTGTGAAGTGGCGTCCCCTGTTCGAAGTACTGTAAACTATTTCTGATAATAGAACCCTTTTTTTAGGATAATTTAAAAATATACCATAGGATCGAAAAAAACGGCGTTAACGTTGGCTGGGAAATAAAAATCGCTCTCAATTTATATATCAAATTTTGTGGAAAATATTATCGTCGTTTTCAAGCTAACTTGAGGGGTTTAAGTTTTGGATCATAAGGTATTAATTTAAATTAAAAAAAAAATACACAAAAGAGAATGGACTTAATAAAATTTGAACTAATGATAAATGATCCTTAAAAAATCGTTGCATGTTAAAAATTAAATTAATTTCTAAAAAGCTGGTTTTAAAAGGACACTATCAAACCAGTTTTTTAACGTCCATTCATCTCCCTAAATAAAAAAAAAATACGTTTAATTATATGCACCTCTATTTAAGAAAAAAATCGTTAGAAAAGTAAATAGTAGATGGATTTTTTAAATGTCATATAAAAATAATAAATAGTGATTCTAAAAAGAAATAAAATATTAAACACCCAATCATTGAGATGGCTCTGTACAACAAGGTAGTCGGTTTTGTGAGAAAATTAATTTTTTGAACCCTTGTTTTTGAGCTATTTTTGATGATTAATATAAATATATATATATATATATATATATATATATATATAACATATATATATAACCAACCTTATATATATATATATATATATATATATATATATATATATATATATATATATAACTCCTTTCTGCTATATACCTATATATATTATATATATATACTATATATATATATATATGCTGCTGCTGCTTAACTGACCTTATATATATATATATATATATATATATATATATATACTATACTGTTCTCGTAATGCTACAATGGTCTATATTTTCTTATACTATGTCTTTAATTATTAAATAAAAGCAGTTTCAACGAAATCGGGGGCATGACGGAAATCGACAAATTTCATGGCAATATGTATAGCTGTGGTATAATTTTTTTTGCAAATAAGAGCAAACGTAGACTTAAAATTATAAACATTTCAGCATTTGTAGAACATTTTATGTAGATTCAGAATATATACACCTTTGAAGTTTGAAGGATTGGTGTTGTGAGAAAATTAAATATTTTGACCCTTCTTTTTGATGACGGGTAAAACGTCCCATTACTGTTTTCGTGTATGACTACAATGGCTTACATTTTCTTATTTTAGGCCTTTTAATTAGCAAATAACACCACAGTTTTAACAAAATTCGAAAATCTCCAATTTTAAAGACTATACAGGGTGTCCCAGAAATAAGTGCAAATATTTTAACTGGAAGTATAGTTCAACCCCAGAAACACGCATATGAAGTTTTTTTTCGCGAAAAAAAAAATTTGAAAATTCGGAATTACTAAAAACTAAAAAAAATTCTATTTTTTTTTCAGTTTTTAGTTAAAATTAAAAAACATAATTTCTTGATAATATGACAACATAGGTAGTAGATTAAATTTACAAGAAAGAAAATCCAGAAAAGATCCAGTGGTTCACAAAATTTTAGCAAAAAATATATTTTTTTTGAAATTTTCAAAGTGAAATTACTTCTTTATTTTGGACTTTTTTGAAAAACGACAAAGAGAAAATATGTTTCTTTTATCGAGATCTACCACCCCTTAAAATACTTGCACTTATTTCTGGAACACCCTGTATAGATGGTAGGAATGTCCAAAAATATCGATTTTTTTTTAAAAGTTCGTTAAATAGTGCGAAGATATTACATACCTATAATAATATATAAAATAATAAATAGTGATTCTAAAAAGAAATAAAATATTAAACACCCAATCATTGAGATGGCTCTGTACAACAAGGTAGTCGGTTTTGTGAGAAAATTAATTTTTTGAACCCTTGTTTTTGAGCTATTTTTGATGATTAAAAAAACATATGATTACTATAAAGACTTATACATATACATTTTTTTTTACTGTTGATCATTTTTCTTCTCCAATATACCGACAGGGTGAGACATAAATAAGTGCAAATATTTTCGGGGCTGGTAGATCTCGATAAAAGAAACATATTTTCTTTTTATCGCTTTTCAAATAAGTCAAATATAATGGAGTTATTTTACTGTGAAAATTTCCAAAAAAAAAGAATTTTTGCTAAAATTTTGAGAACCACTGGATCTTTTCTGGATTGCCTTTCTTGTTAATTTAATCTACTATATACCTATGTTGCCATATTATCAAGAAATTATTTTTTTTTAATAAAAACAAAAAAAAAATTCAAAATACATATTCCGAATTTCCAAAAAAATTTTTTCGCGAAAATACCTCATAGACGTTTTTCTGGGGTGAAACTATACTGCTAGTTAAAATACTTGCACTTATTTCTGGGACACCCTGTATAGATGGAAGCAATTATTATATACAGGATGTCAACAAAAATAGTGTATCTAACTTCGGTGGGTGATTCTACGGACAAAAATAAAACAAAAAGTTCCTGTGAATGTGAACATATACACTAAAATGGCTTCCTTAAGAAAAGGTAAATAAAAATGATATATTTTGTTTATTTTTAATTTTTAAAAACATTGGTAAACTGTTTTTCTTGAAATTTGGTACTCTTTCACACATTGCCAAAGCGAATGGCGGTAGTGTAAAATTACGTATCAGGCCTGAAAGGGTACTTTTCATTAGGGTAGAGAGTACAGAGTACTAATGGTGGTACTCCTTTTATCCTTATAGATACTTATACAGGTTGTTAACTGGACGGGTACTACTTGGGGAACAGAATGGCAACACTGCCTACATTCCAACTGAGTCGTACTAAGCTAAGCTGCCGACTCGTCCCTCGTCCCGTCGTCGCGTCGCGCGTCGTCTCTCGATGAGCGGGCCGAAGTTGTCATATTTCAACCATAAAGCTCTTGCCGCGAGCAATAAACAAATTAACAACCTCTATAACAAAATTAACAAAATCAGGAGATTAATTCATTTAAAATTTCTTTACAATTTATTATTTCACCAATACTAAAATCGATGCATCGCAAATGCATCCTAACCTTTAAACGCAAATATCTTGATAAACCATTCACCATTCAAGTTCTAGCTTTTTATGTTATTTGTTGAAATTACTGTATCTATAAAGATAAAAGAAGTACCACCAGCGGTACTAGTACCACTGTCTACCCCAATGAAAAGTACCCTTTCAGGGGTGTTTTTTCAGCGGAATTTTACACGATCGCCATACGCTTCGGCATTAAAATGTGTGTATGAATACAAAATTTCAGAAAAAAACGGTTTACCAATGTTCTTAAAAATAAACAAAATATATTTTTATTTGGGCTGTAACTTCTTCTGGACGCATTTTAAGGCATATATTTATAGGAACTTTTTGATTTATTTTTATCTACAGAATCATCCACCGAAGTGAGATACACGATATTTTGACACTGCATGATCAAACAAGGCAGCGTCACTTTTGACATTCTGTACAAACAAAAATCTAGATTTGTCGTGAATTGAATAGTTATAGCTTTAAAAAACTTTGAGAAAACGTTAATATCCCTATCGCTGATACTTTTAAAGATTAAAGAGAACGTTACGGAAAAAATGTAAATTAATTTTCCTCCCCTAAGACACCCCAAGAATTAGAAAAAAGTTCGTTAGATATTGCAAAGAATTAAAAAAACTACCCGGTGGGGAGGGGGCAAAATACTTATATACCGGCACTGAAATAAGGGAGCCGGACGCGACAAATGATAGCGCGGTCCTTCGAGCGCCAACGAGCGATACACCCCTTTCGCTGAAAAAGATCCTAGAAGTAGTGGGGGTTCGGCCGGTAGAGCTTTGCCTCGCGCACACATCGCAAAGCAAAATAAAACAAAATCGCCCGCTACTGCAGTGAACTGACACCAGTAGAAAGCTACATTGCATGCGACTATACGAATTTTCTTTTGACGAATTTCATCTTCTTTGGAAAGATGGATTTGCCACCGAACAATTCCAATTCGACGGTGAATAGCAATTCGGGAGACGACGAACGCCACTCGAATGCCAGTGCCGAAACTAGCAACCCTGCTATTACTGGTTCGAACTTATCATTGCCGTGTTCTTACAGTGCTAGTGTTGCCCCCACATCTAGTGCTAGGGAATCACCGAAAGTTGCACCCTCACAAGTTCTGATGCCAGTGAGAAATTCGTCTTCGCCGTCAGTTCCACGCAAAATTATGAGCAAGAACAAAAACAACACAGGTAAAACACACCACCCTTTTTTATATTAATCCTGATATTAATTCAAAAACACTAACTATATATTCTCTGGACAAATCAAGCAAACGTCGATTTGAAATCGGAAACAAACATTTCAACCGTTTATTTCTCTGTAATTTTGGATAGTCTGCGCACCATGTGACACTGTGTTAATAATGAAATACAATGTTGCTATTACTATCTACACAATTTTCAGATTGTAAACTAACTATTACAAAAAAAAGAAATTACTCAAATTCTACACAATATTCCATAATATCAACATTAACACTGAACAGCAATCACAAATTATAATGGTGTTAATTATAACACTACAATTATAATGGCAAAACATTTAGGTCTTTTTAATATTTAAATTGAAGAACATAAGAACATACAATTTTTCGCATATATCTGAAACGTAAATAGGCACTGAGAAGATTGTTATAAATCAACTGATGATACATGCTTAATAAATTTGGCATATAGAGTTTGAAATTAAGTTTCTAGTGAACCTATTGTGATGGATGTGTGTGAAGGTTCCAACATAAATTGCATTTAATCAAATATCAGCTAAAAGATACAAAAAAAATTATTAGTGTATGCGTTATTATTTGGACATCGTTTGTTATATTCAAATACAATTTAGCATGTGTTTGGCACTTTATATAGTATTCTAAACAGTTTAAGTTGATTACTTAAAAATTCCTATAAAATGAACACCGTTTATTTTTCTCCTTACCCTTCACCTATGATCATAATTCCTCAATTATAATCTAAAAAGAAAGAATACTTCCAAAAATTCAATAACAACTATAAAAGAGCTTCATATACAGGGTCCGGTAATAGGGCTTCGGGCATCTGAATAAAAAAACTTGGGAATTTTGTTTTAAGTGCAAACCTAAATTATGTACTAGGATGTATTTCAGAAAAATATTTTAACTTCTACAGGATGACTCAAAAAAGTTTGAGTAAATCGGGATGATTTTTTCTAAATGAAACAAATTGTATATTATTGCATTTTTGGCTTCCTTTCAGATCACTTTACATAATCCTAAAATATGAGTAAATATATTTTGAGAGTTTCAGAGATATTCATAAATAAATAAAAAATATCTATTTTTCGGCCTTCCTTAAAAAATTATTAAAAATAGGTACAAGAACTGTCCTGAAATCAAAACTTTATTAGGTATTTACTTTAGATGGTCTGTACTTAACTTTGCTATGAATATCGTGATGTTAAATCATACAGGGAGTTCAAAATTCTACTCCAAACTTTCTAGAATATAAAATAATTTTCCTTCCATTTAAAAAAATCGTCCCGATCCACTCGCACTTTTTTGGGCAACCCTGTAGAAGTTAAAATATTTTTCTAAAATACATTACATACTTTAGGTTTGCACTTAAACAAAATTACTAAGTTTTTTATACTAGGAGCTAGGAGCTACAGATGCCCGACGCACTATTGCCGGACCTTGTATATGTAGTAATTATTCGTCGTTTGTGTGAATCCGTATACAAAATATGTATATACATATGTATAATAGTATATAAGTGATGTTTTAAGTCTATTGAATATTTAATAAAGATATTAAATAGAGAGGAAATAAAATTATGATTTCTATAGATATCCGGCCTGTTCTTTAAATTATGATGCCCTATTTATATAGACATTACAATGAATTAGATACGAATTTTTGAAGTTAACTAAGGTGTTTTTTGCTTATATGCTATTGTTTTTCCATAGAAATGGCTTACCAGTCTTAAGGAAAAAGAGATAAAAAAACGAATGACTGTGAATGCTTCAAGGGCGATTAAAAAATTGGAAATCTAACAAAAACTGGTAGTTTATTAGTTACGCAACAAAAGTGGATATTTAATTTTAATAAACGAAAAAATCGGTACGCAATAAACTATTTTCAAACAAAAAGCTACTCGGTGTTTTTCAATAGAAAATTATTATCCACGCTACGGTTTTTTAGCTAGCCTGACTGAGATAGAAAAATGTAGCAGTAAATTAATTGTTTAGATATAACAGGACTGAAAATAGAGAAAAAAATATAAAAAAATTACGTGTCTGAGATGGCATTGTTATTCATTGCCCATCCATTCCAAATTATAGCCAATATTCTATAAAAACAGGAAAAAAAACAAATCTACTTTTTTAGAAATGGTTATTATTTCAGATATACTTTTCTATAACACCGTTAAAAATTTATTATTTTTTTTTATAATTGAAACGTTTTTCTCTCTAGCATAGATTAATTAAAATTTTTAGTGACAAGATTTTTAGTTAACAAAACCAAGGGAAAAACTAAAAATTACCTGGTGACATAATTTAATATGATTTTTATTTAATTTATCTAAATAGAGAATTATTAAAAGAAAGAATAAATAAATCAAAATAAATCGCTACCCTCTCCAAGAATTCGATACTACATATATACAGGGTGAGTCTTAAATAAGTGCAAATATTTTCGGGGCTGGTAGATCTCGATAAAAGAAACATATTTTAAAATAACCGAATTATTTTACTTTGAAAATTTAAAAAAATGATATTTTGCAAACATTTTGAGAACCACTGGATCTTTTCTGGATTTTCTTTTTTGTGAATTTAATCTACGACCTATGTTGCCATATTATCAACAAATAATGTTTTTTTAACTGAAAACTAAAAAAAGTTGCCAAATTTTCAAAAATTTTTCTTCGCGAAAGAAACCTCATACTCATAATCGTATCTCTGGGGTCGAAATCTACTACTCCTAAAAATATTTGCACTTATTTAAGACACTTTGTATAGTAACATGGAAACAAAATATATCGATATTCTTCTATAATGAACATCCCTAATAGAATGGAAAACAGTTTTTCATTCCATTTATTTTTTTAATTCTAGACCTATTAGTTATGTAAATATATTTAAAAACTTACATTTTTAAAATTTACCTACGTTTATAACATTAACCATAAATACCGTGTTATCGAAAAAACGGCGTCCAGTTAGCTTAGAAATAACGATCGTATGGTATATTGGTCTCGATATTAAAATACAATATTTACTTTCATAATATATTGAATTCTATTTTTTAGCACGTATAGTGTGACTATTTTAGTTCAAATTCTGTTGTATATAAGTTTTTAAAAGAATATTCTTTTTAGACTAAAAATCAAAACTAAATTGAGTTCACCCAAATACGTTTAAATAAAATATACGACGGCCTCCCCATAAGAGCAATGAGAGGATTTACGTCCCAGTATTGAAGGAGGACAGAAAATCGAGTTGAATGGTTTCAAGACATAGGTTCATCCTTGTTTAGTCAAACCTCCTACAACACAAGGATAGACTTATGTAGAAAATGCATTGAAATTCTATAGCCATCCTTCAATATCGGGACAGGAATTTAAGCGGTACCCTTCGTACACTTACTTTATTTTAAACGTATTTGAGTTCACCACAATAGATAACTACCGCATAACAAAAGTTTTGCAACCGGGCTTGTATATAATTTAATTTTCCATAAATATTGTTTATTCAGTTACTAGCCAATGTACGTTTTATCATTATGCATTTTAATTTTTAATATAATAATGTCGATAAATAAAAAAAAAACAGTTTTTCTGCTAGTAAACCGATCTCAACCGTTTCGAACGGTGCTGTATATAGCCCGACTGAGTGGAAGGCACAAAAGAAAAGTTAGATTTTTGAACGTCTTGTATAAATCGATCCTGGACAGCTTTTTGTAGCCAGTCGTGGCGTTTTTTTTTGCCTTAGAGGAATGCCGAGTTCAATTTCGGTAGCGCGGCAGCCAGCAGCGGTAAAATCGATAATTTATTTTTTTCTCGAGACGGGTCTCTGTTCGAAAAATTTTTCGGACAAAAACTAGTCCGCGGCGAGTTTGTCGGGTATAGGCAAAAAACGGCCGGTAAAAAGTTTCCAGACACTTTTTCATACGAGAGCGCGAGCTTTAGTCGATTCCATAGCGAGGCGTTCTTAGGGTACATTCTCAGGAACAAGTGTTGTTATTTCGCGTCGCTTTAGTTCGGTAAGAAACGTCTTTAAATCATACACCTACAGCTATATTGATCTCACTAGCAGTCATATCCATAGTCAGAGCTGCAACAAGTCAGTTTTAAAAAGACTTAAGTCTTAAGTCATTTCTAAAATCAAAATGGTTTAACTCTTAAGTCAAATTCAACATAAAGTTCAAATGATTTATTAAGTATTAAGTATTTGACTTTAAATCATTTTATTTCAAGTCAACTCATTTTTGTAAAGACTTAAAAACTGTAACTTTTCTTTTTGATGACTTAAGTCTATATTTTTGAGTTAAATCATGATCTGCAAGTTAAGTCAGTAAAATGACATAAATCAATATAATTATATCCTCAAGTCGAGACAAGGAGAATTCAATTTAAGTACCTCTTTTAAAATGTTAATATTAATTTTCTTGTATTACCAATTAGGCGATTTTCTTACTAAGTATCATATTATCACATTATTACTTTATTGTAGATACAAATGAGACTAAAACCGTAAATTTAAAGTAGTAAAATAAAACGGTTAATTTTCAGAACAACTACAAACACAAAAATATGTTGTTTTTTATAAAATTTAACCGATTTTGTAGTACTTTATATATGTATCCATTACAGATAGATGTCATTGAATACATGTCTATTAACAAATGGTGATGTGTTTTGATCACGATGTAATATATCGATGGCAAAAGCTAATTGCTGGAGGATTTTAAGGTACTCTTCAATATATTGGGGATAAGTTTCTTTCGTTCGTCTTTTGGGCTACATAACTGAGTCGGGTATTCACTTGAAAGACAACAGACTCGCTACGCACGCGTAACACGACAAATAATCAAAACCAATTCCGCAAAACTAACATTTTATTTACTAGTGGTATTAAGCATTGTGTTTTTATTTTGCTGCTTGGCTGCCGCCTAAGGTACATTCAGGCTGAGAGTGTCGAGCGTCGCGTCGCGTGTGCGTCG